TCCCTCCCCTACTCCTCCTCCTCCTCCTCCTCCTCCACCTACAGGTCTGACGGAGCTGTCCTCGCTACGTCCGTCGTTCGTAGGAACGAGTCTAGGCTCGCATCGCTGAATCGTTGCACCGCTACATCGCTGCACCGCTAATCGGCGAACAGCTCCGCTGTGGACCATCTTTCCTGCCTTCTTTTTGTCTGCTTCCCAGCCTTCGTCCACACGGCTTTCTGCTGGCATCTCCGCTGTTGGCACTGTTTGCACAAGTGCTTTCGTGACTGCTTGGTTGGTTTGTTTCACCACCAGCAGTGATCATCAACTCCGGTTCTTGACCTGATTGAGGTACATAGCGCTGCCGGTGTGACACGTGGCGGTGCCGTTCGCAGGCAGCACTTCGCACGTCATCGTTCGATGGGCGAATGATTGCATGCTTCGACGGCAGTGACAACACCACTAACGACTCAACGGCGACTCAGTACCATGCACGGCGTGGGTTAATTCAACGCAGTCGCTGCTCCCCCCCTTTCTATATATCTTCCTCCTCCTTCTTCCTTCAGTACCAACCATCAACGTTCTCACTCTCCTTCTCCCTTCTTCCTACTCCACTATTAACCTCTTCTCCCACCCTCCTCCTTCTTCGTACTCAACCTTCAATCATCTTACGATAACCTCCTTCTTCCTACTACCCTACTTCCAACTTCTCTTCCCTTCGTCTCTCTTCTTCGTACCCCACTATCAATCATCTTGATAACCTCCTATCGCGCCATGCAACTGAAGATGCCAGCCATCCACCACCCCTCCATCCTCACCGCAACTCTCATGACAACCCCTTTGTCTCTTACTATCACCTTCTTCCACCTTTAAAACTCCGATTCTCCGCTTCTCTACAGACTTCCAGTACTATAGAGCATGGCTGTCAATATCATCCCCACCCGACCCTCATCACGGCACTCTAATCATCCTACTCGCAACACCGTCCCCAAGATGGCTACGCCCTGCTCCGCGAGGCCGGCCATGGAGGCCTCCACCGCTTATGTGCCCTCGCCATTTTGGCCCCCCTGGCCCTGCTCGCCGGCAATTTGGCGGTCAACGAAGACGCTCGTACCCAATGCGGCGGCTCCTGGCCCTGACCCCCGGCAATTTGGCAGTCAAAGAAGACGAACGAAATCATGTCTTACGAAGACGACGGAGGATACTTCGAAACCAGCCGCAAAACCACATATTAGGAGGACGACGGAGGATATCTTGAAGCAACCTTCTATGAAGACGGCGCAGGATGCCTCCTCCGTCGAAGACGCATCCGAGGAAGACTCCGAGGATATACTCGGAGGAGGAAGTTTTGGGAAACGAAGATAAGGACGACTCGGACGACTACGGGAAAAGGAGCTTCAGACTTCCGTCTGGAGTGGGTGGAGCTGGGAACTACTAAGGGTGGTAACCAAGGCAACAACGGAAAGAATATCCAGGGAATCCAAGTGCAAGCCGTCAACAACCAGCAGCAAGGACGAGAAGATGAATAATCAATGGGTGGAAGGACGAGATGACGAGATGATGGGATGATGAGATGATGAGATGATGAATGATGAATGAATTGGAAGAGGACATTATGACATGTTGCGATGATGAATGATTAATGAATGGGAAGACGAGATGGGAGATGAGGGCGAGGAAGAGAAGAACGGAGAGGAGGCTGCTGAGGGTGCTGTTTTTTTCTTCTTTCAATTTTATTCCAGATAGGGTACTTTAACTGCATCCTGAATGACTTGGTATTCTTCCGAGCTCGTCGTGACGCAATATATCCCAGGCTCGTAGCCAGCCAGTGCTGTACATATTCCACTTCAGCCCAAACGCACCCCACCTATTTGCCCCGTTCATCGGCGAGAAACTTCACTGTTGACATCCCTCCGTACTCCTCTTTGCCTGCTTCCGAAGTTCCCAACCGTCGCCCACATGGCTTTCTGCTGGCGTCTTCACCATGAGTAGTTTTCGATTAGGTGCTCTCGTAATCGCGTTGTTAGTCTGTTCAACCACCAGCACTGATCAACATATCGCTTCTTGATCCACTTTTGGTACGTATTTGTAAGAGCGTACCCCGTCTTCGGTCGATACAAGCGGTCAGCGAGCCTTTCTGGCGCTTTGGGTGGGCGCGGATCGGGTGTCTTTTTGGGGCACCGCTTAGTGTCGTATCCGGGATTTTGAATCCCGCATAATGACCGTTGATGCGCCTCTGTCTATTGCTCGTCGCTCATCCACCTCTTGAGAAGCACCAGTGAGCCCGGAAGATGTACGCCACGCTGGCGTCCATATCCGCCATCTTGCCAGAGCAGTTCTACTCCATCGCCGTCAGGAGTTTCCGCCGCGAGTTTGTTGCACTCGTCTAGTATTTCATTTCTCAGTGTGGTTCTCGGGCAGCACTTTATACGTCATCGCTTGATCAGCGAGTCACGTTGCATCCCTCAACGGCAGCGACAAGCCGCACAAACACTCAACGGTGATTTAGCCCTAAGCACCGCGTCGGTTATTTCGACGAAGTTTCTTCCTCCCCCCTTTCTTTCCTCCTACTTCTTCCGTACTCACCATCATCTTCCTCTCTCTTCTTCCCCCTTCTTCCTACTCTACCACTAACTTCCTCTCTTTCCTCGTCCCTTCTCCCTACTTTACCATCAACTTCCTCTCTCTCCTTCTCCCTTCTTCTTACTTTACCATCAACACCCCTCCATCCACACGACAACTCTTTCATTTCTCACCACCACCCTCCTCTAAGTGTCAAGATCCTGCATCTCTTTACAACCCCCGCTCCCCCTGGCCATGTTGACCCTCCTCGACTTATTCGCCGCCAATTTGGCGGCCGAGGCTGCCGGCCATAGCGACGACTGTCTTGAGCACGCACTGAATTTTACTTGTGAACAACAGCTGATCTAAATGCAGATTTTTTCTTTGCGTTTCTATGAGTGGAACACCACAGCGAGCCATTGCTTCGCACGCAGTGCGGCGGTTCCTCGCCCTGCCCACCGCAAACTTGGCAGTCGAAGACGAGCGCCACACCCAATGCGGCGGTTCCTGGCCCTGCTCGCCGCCAACTTGGCGGTTGAAGATCGACGCGCTGTTGGATGACGAAAACATCAATCGCATTATCGAATGCGTAGTCAGCGTGATGGATACGTAGGAAGCGGTCACCGAACCCACCGCGGACGAGCAGGAGAATCAAGAGGAAGATCTTTCAGAGTTCCTGCGGCTTCTGGAAGAGTCAGAAAATGCCGATCCCACGCTAGACCACCCGGATGGACACCACTTTTGAAGATCTGATGACTTGTTGCGACATGTTTCGTTTGAAGAATTTGGTACGCTGTCTGAGCACTCACTGAATCTTTTTGTGAACAACAGCTGATCGAAATGCAGATTTTTCTGTTTCTTTCTACCGTCGAAATATCACCGCCGATTTTGAGATTTTTTTTTGGTACGCAATCTGAGCACTCACTGAATTTTACTGGGGAACAACCGCTGATGTAAATGCAGTTTTTGTTTTTGTTTTTGTTTTTGTTTTTTTGGTTGTTTCTGCGAGCTGAACACCATAGCGGAAGCCTCCTTCGAAGCACACTCGATCCGCTTCAACGTGTCAATGAACCTTCTCAATGCGCAAATGAGAAGACGAGAAGGTGAGAAGATGAGAAGACGAGAAGGAAGGTGAAGACGATGGTGAGGAGGAAGGGGAGCAGGATGGTGGGGATGAGGACGGTGAGGAGGCTGCTGAGGGTGCTGTTTTTTTTTATTTCAATTTTATCGCAGAAACTGCATCCTCAATGAATTTGTGTTCTTCCGAGCTCGTCGCGACCCAACAGATAGGAGGCTTGTAGCCGACCAGTGTTTTACATATTGCAGTGCAGCCCCGACTCTCCCGATCCATGGTCAGGACTACATTACAGACATCTAGTTCGTTCGGGGGTGACTGCTGGGCGGCCATGTCCACCGGTTTGCTCGACCGTCAGATGGGACGGGTTGCAGTCGACTGCAAAGAAGGGTAGAATATAGTACATCTGAAATGAAATCATACGGCGACATTTGTATGCATGCAAGAGGGAGAGCTCCTCTACGTCGTGTGCATAGTTTTAGCGGTAACAACTAAGTACTTATCTAGGTATTCGAAGTATTCTCGGACAGCAGTCGACTACAATCCGCCCCCGTCCAGCAAAATGTCTGACTAGACGCGCTATTTTTATCGCTTCCTCCAAAACGGACGGGACTGGGGCCAAAATACATCACTCCGAAGTCCACTCCCCTACCGCGCCTAAATCCACATCCGGGGGGAAACTCTCAGCGGATATCTCCGAGAGCACAGCTAGGAATGTACCAGCGATCGAGACATGCGACAGGCACTCGGTAATCGTCTCACATGTGGCGACCGGGCCGACGGAAACTTCTCCAAGCATCCTGGTCGTAGTCCCCCAGCCCCGGTGAAGTTGAGTATGAACGGTAGGAAGCCCCCTGTCTCCATTGCCTCGATTGGCCTCGGCTGGTGAGCCCCAAATGAAAGCTTGTTGCGATTAAGATTGTTTCTCTTCCGCAGCGATCCGCAGGTACAAGAATGTCCTTGACTGGACCACGATCCCGCGATTACTTGCATTTCCATGTAAAAGAGTGATAAGGAGGGAAGATGTAGAAAAACTGCTGTTTCACATCTGGCATGTTACCGGGCGCTGCTTATAATACCCCTGTATCCTTTGGGAATGAGAACAGCGAGGAAGATGGCGGGCTTCCTATTTCTGTGGCCGGAAGTCATTAAGCTACTCTTTGTACCTGCATTCTATGTATGTACTCAAATATCGGAAAAACTCTATGGGTCAATCCAATCTTTTTACTGGGCGCGCAGGGCGGCAACACCCGAATTGACCGAATACTGCCAGGTTCATGGTACATCACACCATGTGCATCTCATCTTACCTCAGCACTGCCCTCCGGCAGACGACGCCATCCCCGATCGAGCGCAACTCTACGCTGCGCCTGCCCAACCCCACCACCACGCAAATCAACGGCCATCCGCGAACTGCAGGGTTCGGGATTCCATAAATACTATTAGTACCTGTCTTCCGCGCGCGATCTACATTCTTCTCTATCAACATCATATATGAGGACTTCGACATTATTTCTTCTCGGGGCCACCGCTGCCGCAGCATTTGAGCTCCCGGCCTCGCTTGATGCCATCTACAACACCCTCAACAGCACCGATGCAAATTGCAAGAAATATATCGACAGCAACCACAAGCTCTACGACGGCCACGATAACCAAGGCTGGGGGTTTTGTCGGGATCTGCCCGGCGCCGTGTACGTGCGCGGACCGGAGGGGAAGCTAGGGGATATGGATGTCGACTGTACGCACTTCCAGCGAAGCCGGAGGGAGAGGGGAAGGGAGAGGGAACTCACGCTGACTGAGCTCTAACTAGGCGACGGCGCGGCGAACTGCGATGTGGCGAGCAACGACTACCAGGGCGGCACGGCGTTCGATGAGACGCTGGTGGAGGACGACTACGGCATTAAGTCGCTCAATGCGACGGTGCACCCGTTCGTCGTGCTGGGGACCTGCGATGTCAGCTTGACGGATGTTATCAAGCCGCTGTCGCTTGTTGCGGTGGTCTGCGACGGTGCGCTGCACTATGCTGTGTTCGGAGATACGAATGGATGCGATGATGATAACTTCACCGGCGAGGCGTCGCTGGCTCTCGCGAGATTGTGCTTTCCGGACGACGGCATGAGCGGGATGAATGGTCATGAAGAACACGACGTGTTATGTGAGAATCTTGTGCCCCCGATTACCGTAAACCCACGCTGACCCGAGTAGATCTTGCATTCACCTCGGACGATGCGGTCCTGGGCCCAGATGACGCGGCGTGGAATGCGACAGATCCGACGGTGTTTGAGGAGAGCCTGAAGGCGAAGGGTGATCAACTTTTGGAAAGCTTCGTGAAGAAGGCGGCAGAGGCGAGGGCGAATGGCAGGGCTGCGGCTAGGTGGGCTATGGGGGGGATTTCGATGGCAGTTTTGTTGGCTGCAGATGGCTGGCTGTGAGAGGGCCAACAGGTGAAGTGGGCCTATCGGCGACTCTTTCGTTCGTCGATCAGGAGCGCACTGGCTACCAAGCCCCTGGTGATATACCGCTATTTAGACTTAATTTAGTGCGGAATTTAATCTTCGAAGTATAGCTTTCCACGAGCTTTCCACACGCTTTCGTTCCCAAGGCTTATCAATAGCGAGTGACGGAAATAACCTGTACCTTCATAGTACCGCTTAAATAGTTTCCCGATCCGGAAGTCACGTCCGATGACTCATGGATCATCACGTCGCTCCTCGCGGCCGTGGTCAAAAATCACCCGAAAGCAATCTCCCTCATCGCACGATCACTGGAAGCGGTCGTTGACAGACGGCACACCCCGGGCAGATTCACCGTCTAATAGGTATGCTGCACCTTCCAAATGAATGAATTTTCAATATAGTTGGGAAGTCTATCGAAAGGAGGAGGAAGAGGCAGTCTTGGTAGAAATGTACCGGATTCTGATTTCTTCCTTCGATAACATATCAGCAGGATTTATTACGAGTTTGAACTCCGGGTTTTGTAGGTCGCATGGCGAGGCCGAGGCGGCGTCAACAATGTCTCGCATCCTGTTAACTTTCGACGAGCTCATTGAATGGCATTTGATCGTTCACGTGAAGTGACAACAAGGAAGTACAAATCGGTCATAAGTATCTTCACTGATTCCGGACATCTTGGGTTCGCTGAGAAGGCTTCCTGAAACGTTACGCGCTCCGTTCCACTCCCTTTATGTGGCTACTAGTCGTTCGATTTATTCACTCTCCATCGATGGCTCTTGATAGAAGTGCTGTCAACTAGGCTTCCGGCCTCCACTGTCCTTTGCTCCTCGTCTTTGCACAAGCCTCTTTGCGCTTGTTACTACCTCTTCTCTCCAGTTCATACTGTGAACCCAATCCCAGTCATTCCCCTCACCACATCATTCTCCCGCCGGCGCTGGAACTCTAATGGTGTGCTCATCTCGAGTGGGACTCGTCACTAGACCTCCTTTCAGTCCTACTAGCCCGTTTCCCAGCATTCCACCAAGCTCTCTCGCCACCGCCACCCAGGATCCGCGAGCGTACTAACCCAAGGTACCGGCGGGACCTCGGGATCCTTCAATACCGCAATACGACCATAGCACCTTGGCTCTCCTCGAAGTAGGTACAGTCCCAGCTCTACTTAACGGTGGCCGAGCGTTTGGTACCAGTAAAGCGCCTCTTCTCGATCCCAGGATGAACATTCGAAGTCACTTGCTCGCGGCTCGAATGCGCCGTCAAATTTCAGCCTCTGCTTTCCCCTGAGACCGGAACAGTGGCATGGGTGGTAATCGACCAAAACCTGTGGTGCGACCAGGTGGACGATCAACTCCAACCTCCGGGCACAATCGGCGGTGGGTCAGGGGTGAGCGGTGATCGGGTTCATTGGTGCTTCAGTGGGAGCTGGATATCGACATAGTAACAGCGGGAGGGCGGGTGGAGACTCAGGAGTGGTGGCTTCTGCGGCGAGGACTTGACTCTGGAGAGTGGCATTCCGTTTGTAGATTGTATGCTTCCTGCTGTAAGGCCCGTTCGTTGTATCTATGTAGGTATGCAATTCTGGTTCCACCCATGATTCGCTAATGACCCTCCTTCTACGAATAAATAGGTGAAATTGAAGTCCAGCTACCTAGTCGAGACCGACGAAAGAAGTCGCTGCTGCTCGTCACTAGAGGGGTAAAGAGAAGCAATACTTCGTCAGTTACGGCCAGAAATACCATCTGGGACTCAGAGCCAAAGCAAGTAATTACCTCCAGAACCTCCCCATTACCGTACCTCGGTCGGCATTCGAGCTCTCCGGTGACCACGGTTGGTAGTTCGTCAATGGGCATACTTGCCGCATCCTCATGGCGTCGAGGGGAATAAGAGACGGCTGGACGACCTTGAATTTGGCATTCTGGCAACGTAGACGTCGGCGTCGCGAAGTAAGGATCGGTGCTGGAAATTGAGGCACATAGGGGAAGAGGAACTGATGACCGCAGAAGAGACGTAAGTAAATGTAAGAGCTGGTGTGGGTTTTTGTGGAGACCGATTGGTTCCAAGATGCACCGTGTTGTACCGGGGAGACATGGCCCGGTGGTCAATCTTCCGCGGCGGTAGGAAGTATCAGAGCAGAGGAATGAATAGCGGAGGTGAAGGAAGCACGTGATAGCTGCGTTGTTGAGGTGCTAGCGCTTGTGGATGACGTATTGCATGGTATAGGGAGGGCCCGCAGGGGGGCTGTTTGTGTTTTTTCTATTGATTGGGCATGACGGTGACGCATCTGGTTCTTCCCATCAAATCAATCCATCCCATCCACTTTCACTCCACCCCACTCACTTCCACTCCACCTCACCTACTCCCCCCACTCGCTCCCCATCCTCACCCCTAAATCTCCAAACACAACAACTACGATCACTATCAATTCAGCCCTCCGCGGTATCAACTTTGCAATCAACAATCCACTAGGATCGAAGCTCCCATCCGACGACCCGAAACAAAGCTCACATTTTCTCATCTCCGCATCTCCTCATCTCCTTATGTCTTCATCTTCTCACTCCTTTCCCTCTCCGACGTGGATTCGCCTGAAGCCCGCGACCGCTTCATTCACCGCCTCAGTGACAGTCACTCGCAGCTGGCCCTCCTATTTAAATCCCGGTCATAATTGTCCTCATCCCTTTCCTTTCCTTTCACATCCCCGATTTTGCCCTTGCAACTTGCCGTTACGGCACATCAGCCCACTGCGGTTGCCATCGTTCCCCAACCCTGTGGTCTGGGAAGGTGTCAACGGATACGGTATGTGCACTGATCTCTATCACTACTCAGGATCATCATCACACACAGTAGCTACTTTAGCCCGCGGCAAGAATATCACAGCGGACTCACCGCTGCGGCTGGGGAGAAGAGATGGAGGACAGCGAGCCTCACCCGGCTGCGTCTGGCAACATCTGGAGCGACTCCAACATGGATAACGATGCGACGGAGAGCGACGAGGAGCACCCCGTGTGCATCCGAGCCCTAAGGGCCTAATTCCCTCCAAAGGATAAAAACCGTTGCGGCTAATCAGCACTGCTCCGCCAGCCACTGGTCCAGCCAGCAGCACATGAATAACGCGACTTCACACGAAGGGCTGTGAGATCGTGGAGTAATGCGTCGTCCCCACTATCCCCCTCCAGTCGACGGGCGTCGTTCTCCGCTCGGGCACCAGGGGGAGGAGGTGAATGCGGTTAGCAACCAAAGTTGGGGGCGCAAACTGTAGTGGTAGTAGAGAAAAGAGCCGAGGCTAGGATCGGTGTAGACACGCATCACGTTTCCGGTGTAGATGCACCGGGTCGTGGTCGGGGGAGGGGGGGGGGGGGTTGAGACAAGAGAGATCGGGAGGAGAGTCACCTATTGAATGTGGCTATGCGTATTGGATGGATTAGCTCGACCTATTTATGATAATGGTTCAATTTCTCGCATTCGTATCTCTGCACAGTGATTCCTGTTCATAATCTTCCAGCTCATTAAAGCCACACCTTGGATATCGGCTGTGGTAGATCTAGACTTCTCAGAAAGCCGACCCATAGCTCAAGAGCCACAACGCCCCCGCCAAAGAGATAGAGGATTTCTTCTCGGGAGCGTATCACATAAATCTCGCAGCCCACAGAAAAATAAATACTCGTGATAAATGATGCCTCAGATGTACTCGCTAAATTGGGAAATCGAGTCTTCGAAGTTCGAGCAATATGAAGTACTTTCCCAAGACTCTGCTGAGGGGAAGCTTTCGTGAAATACAGAGGTTTGCTGCTCAGATGTCGGTACTTATGTGTTCAGCTCGCCCGACTTTTCTGTTCACAACAGCCCTCATGGTTCCGCCGTGGCGCCGCCTGTTTCCCTTAGCAACCGGACCTCAGCCTCGCCGACATGCTCTAGACGACTGACTATCTCGCTAATGCAGTGTAGGTAGACCTCCATGTCATCCCTCCCCGCTCCTGATCTTACAACATCGAGTTTTCACACGTCATCGCTCGATGAGCGAGCAGCTTTGCATGCCTCGACGGCAGCGAGAAGCATCACTAACGACTCAAGGTGTGTCCTCCCCCTGTTCGTCTGTCTTCCTCCCCTTGTTCTGAGCCCACCATCAATACCCTATCCCTCCTTCTCCCGTCTGCCTACTGTGGGACCTAGGGTAAACGACGCCTTGGCACGTCCGTTTCGGCCCAGAGGTGCAGACTCGGGCGGGACCGACTGTCAACAGCTTGTGAACAGACTGGGACCCGTCGCGACCTGCTCTGCTGGCAGGTATGACCGTGGGCGGAGAGATTCGTTTTGATTCGATTTGAGGGCGGCCATGGCAGATGCACGAGCGACGAAATTTCGCCGACCTGGCTACACCATATTCGATCGGCCAAATTTGGGAGAGCCCTTGTTTATAAAAGGCAGACCTCCTCTTGTGCCGGCCGGTGGTTTCTTTCCTCATCATCTTTCTCATCGTCTTTCTCATCACTGTTGTGATTGATTTCATTGATTTCATTTCTTTCCTGCTTTCTCATCGTTGTTTGGTTCACTACCCTACCATCAATGCCTCTCCATTCTCGCCATACCTCCCTTATCTCTTTCCATTACCATCCTCCACATTTCTGCACACCCGATCCTACAACTTTCTACTACCCTACCCCTCTTCCGAGAAAACGATTGTCAAGTCGGACGACCTCCAGTCCGTCTCCTTCGCTGGTACCATCACCATCCTCCTGTTGTCAACCACCCAACTTCTCAACCACTCCACAACCGCCGCTCCCAGAAAGTATGGCCGCCACTATCATTCCAACGTGCTACCTGCACGCCGCAGTCCAGTCATCCCTCTCCCATCGTCGCCCACAATCTATTTGCTCCCGAATACAACATCACGGCACTCGACGCCGGTACAGCCAAGTCCCTCCTCGTCGTCTTGGCCTACTCGCCCTACTCGTCGCCGCTTTAACGGACGAGGACTGCAGCAACAGTGCCGATCATACAGCGTCTCCCGTCCAGGAGATAGGACTACCGAAGAGTCACAATGGTAGCGAACAGGACATGGAGGCGGTTGTGGAAATGAAGCAGATCATGGAGGAGGTGGAGGAGATGGAGGAAATGAAGAAGATGGTGGAGGTGCACATGTCGGAGGAGGTGGAGGCAATGGAGGAGATGGAGGAGGTGGAGGCTTTTGAGGTGAAACGAGGAATCCTCGGGCGACGATGAGAGGATGAGAGAACGAGAAGACGATGGAGGGGATGGTAGGAAGGAGAGCAGGATTGTGAAGACAAGGACGACGGATAGCAGAGATTGCGCGGAGGGTGAACTATTGAATGTGGCTATGCATATTGGATAGAGTGGCTTGACCTAATCATTATAATGATTTAATTGCTTTTAGCGGGGTCGTATGTGTTTTGTGCCACCTGGCAGAATCATACTTTTTTAGATAGGCCGGCGGGTTGTGTTGTTAGCCGTTTGTTTGTATTTCTGTTTCTTGTTCTTCTTCTTCTTCTTTCTCTCATCATCATCAAAATAGACGATCAACGCTCGCGTCGTCTCCTTTCTACGTGTGTGCTTTCATGTAGATCTTGCCTGCAGCCTGGAGTGTTGTTGGCCGATGAACCACACACAAACCGGCTCATAATCACCGATCAAGCCAGCAGCTCATCGCCGCCGCTCTAGCCCTTCTCTTCACGTCATTAGACTCATCGTTGTCGGTCAAGAATCCGGTGCACCAACTTAGCTGCGGCTCCTCATCGCCGCTCCGGCTCACAGTCGTGCCTCCGGCGGTAAAGAAGGTCGGCATATGACGACACATTTGCGGAGACGATTTCTTGACGATGAATGGTTCAATGCCAGCCGCGCTGGAGATCCTTCCCCAGGTTCTAACAAGGAGCCGTTGGATACGTGGCCGTTCACACCACGCTGAAACGAAATTGCACCGTTGCACAGATTGGATGAAAGCAACGGGAAACGATTAACCCAATACCGGAAATCACTGCAATTGAGAATCCTACAGACTAGAGGAGCGGAGGTCAAACCTGAGATTGCCGACTGCAGCATCATTCTATGATCCAGCCGTACCCCCCCCCCCCCCCGCTAAGCAACATCTTCCATGGGCAGAAGTGAGGAAGTAAATGAAGCGAAGACGCAGAGAATCTAGCTCCTCAGGGATGCATAGTTTTAGGCCGGGTGGTATACCAGACGTTCCGAGAATACGGTGACTACATAGGTACCGCTCACCAGTCGAGGTAAAGACCCAGTCACTCAGGAGACGTAACATGTAAAGGATCAGCAGTAGACAAAGGATTTATGTATGGTATGAAGTACATGTTTTATTTTAAACAACTTCTAAGTAAAGAAAATATGATATAAAATTATAAATGCGACATCCCAAAGTTTTCCACCGACTGCACAATCGAACCAGAGAGAATCAGTACAGAAATGTCGGAGAACTATCTCGTAGTAGCCCTCATCGGGTCTCGTTGTTATCCTCTGGCATATCTCCCACTCCATCAGTCGCTCAGTTCGCGCTCAGACGTTGAATCCTGACATTCCGAAAGGTTGCGAAGGTCGCAACCTGCTGATTGACACCGATCCAGGACATTTCAATCGGCGACTCCTGGCCGCCGCCATCGATATCCGATTCCCGAGAATCAAAATATCCATCATTATTGAAGGGAATGAAGCTTGGAATATTTAGGTAGGAAAACCAAGGCGATCCGATTGGATCCGCTTGGTCCGCTTGGCTCGGCGTAGCGGCAAGACCGGCTTCAAGGGGGTTGGGTTCGCAGCCAGTAACGACTACTCGCTGCCTATAAATACAGGCAGGAAGCCTATACAAATTAGAATTGAAAAACATCTTGCTGTCCGGAGTATTCACCCACCTTAGTGGGTAGTGGAAGGTTGCTTGGGTTTCAGCCAGTCAGTGGCAGCATGTGCCCGCGGCAGTCTTACTTTCATCATGTTGGGCAGGCGGACCTGTCATTATCTCAGAATGCTTTAAATAAAAGGACAGGAGAGTGAAGCCGGTGAGTGCTTACCTGAAAGTTGTCAACCTGTTTGACTTCGAGGGATCGCAATGCTGTGATTTGGTCGAATAAGGGTTTTGATTGTGATAGATGTAGTTGAAGTGGAAAGAAATGCCTCCTGCGGGGGATGGTGATTGTTGTTATTGGTGGTGGGAAGTATATGTGAGGGTGAGAAGAAGAAGGGAAAATGAGAAGAAGAAGTAAGTGTGGGGAAGTAGAAGTGTGGGTGAGAAGAAGAAGGAGGAATGAGAAGAATAAGGAAGGGTAGGAAGTAGAAGGAAGGATAGCTATCTTATAGGTAGGGCGGCGGCGAAGAAATAGGGTTTCAATCACGCGACAGCTCCCCTCCAGCCCACCCCTCCCTCACTAGTCACCATAGCAACAAGCAATTGAAAAGCATAGAAATTGAATTTTCTGTTTGTTTCTTCATCGTTAGTGCCCAGCCTATGCAGCCTATGACGAAATGAGGTGCCCGGCTAGGTATCCTATCTGCAGGCAAGAAAACTGGCACGTAAGTAACACATATGCCTCCACCATCCGCCTGGGCAGCAAAACGATAGGGAGAAAGCACCCGGGAAAGTACACGACAATGACGGCCTTCAAAGAAACTGCTCAGACCTCCACTTTCCGTCCATACCGGTACTCGCCCACTACTAGAATGGCCTCCTCCGTCCCCTCCGCCTCCTCCGCCTTTTCGGCCACCTTCTTGCACCTTCTTCAACCGTCATCTGGCCGCGCGGTCTGCCTACATGCTATCATTCACACCACCTGTGAAGAAAATCAATCCGAGCGGTTCAAGAGAAGAATATCGTAACGAGGATAACCTACAACTGAATCACGTCCGGCACCCGAGCAGAGGGAGAGGCAGTGCACGACGAGCCCACACATGCACGGAAATATGACGGAGAGACGAACAAAGCACACCGCCGAAAGCAGGTACCACCAGCGCCAACAACAGTAGATCGGAAGGACCGAGGGTTAGGCCGTGGGTGAACGGACGGAGAGAAGCACAAGGAGCGTGGGAGACATCTGGTGATTCACTAGAGGGAAGGAGGAGATATCAAACATGGGGTATTGGCGGGCAAGGCTGGTACGAGCGGTCGGAGCGGGGGAGTGATGGTAATTGGAAGGGAATCTGGGCAGTATTGGTGGAGAAGAAAGCCTCAAGGTATAACGTTTCTTGTCTGTTTATGCAATGGAGACATACTCGAAAATCTGGACCTTGAACAGTGGCTGACGAGTGACATTATGTGCAGCGCTACATCCCGACGGGTTCCTCGGTTGCCGGCATATCCCGCTTCGAGGAACTATATATTCATCATACGGCTGATGGAAAATGGTTTCACCGCGCCGGATCGCGAGCCACTTGCTCAGCAGTGGTAGAGGAAACGTTCGCAATATCCACACAGTTGGTGCAAGCAGAATCATGGTAGGGACTCTCACCGTTCATGAACGAAGCTAATATAGGTCCTGAAGAAAGACCACGATGTCGAAGGCCGATCATGAGGAGGGATGCGGACAGTGGTACGAGATAGGTACATGCAAATGAATATCGACCTGACACTAAATCCTAAAAAAAGATTGCGATCGAATACTGGATTCCCCTTGGGAAAAAAACCACCATACCAATGGCGCGGACGCCCACATATGTACTTGCCGGTCTCTCGCATGTGCATCGCCTCTAAGAGTCCGGAAATTATAACCGACAGCCAACCCTTACATAACCGCAATGGTTACCCGCACGCCAGGACCAGTGTTTGAACTGCCGCGAGATATAAGCGAAGGTCGAATCTCCATGCGAGCGGAAGTGGTGATGACACTGACGAAAGTTCCTAGCAGCAGCGACGCGGTGGCTAGCGGTCGCGATCGACTCCTCCCCAGTGCGCGAACTCCAGAAGACACATCGGTGTAATTTTTGAAGTTGTCGAAAGCGCACCCAATCTGCTGCTACTAGCGGAGAAGATGAACTTATTATTGGTATGCATTCATGCCCGAGGCCCACACCACGCCTAGGAGGGATTATGGGGAGAGCATGGAATGATGGGTTGGGCGATTTGAGGTATGGCGGTTTTGATCTGAGTAGGAAGGATTCTGCCTCTTCCTTTGCATTCCAATTTTCGGCTGACAATGAAATAAGATCTCAAGTCCCATGTGCACCGACTTTCAACCAAGTTAAGGAGCGAAAGTTATTTGATTTCCTAACAGAAGACAATACATCCAAGCAAACGATCCAAATACAAAAACATCATTGTGCTCGTTATCCCCGCCTCCACAAAAAAGAACCCACGACAGCTCCTCCGCCTCGCTTCTGCAGTAACGATGGCGACTTCCCCGCCGCAGACGACTCCTCCGCTTGAACTCCCGTACCGGTACCAACCCGCAGAACAGCGTGCACGACAAACAGAAAACAAACGGCAATAGAAACGAATCTGCAATCACCGGCTAGGCCCACCGGTCCTCTTGTTCACCATTTCACCGCCCCCCAACACTTTCCTTCTCCACCAAACCCACCTCATTGCCCACCCTGAAAGATCTGTGGACCGACGAACCGATCTAGACAGCGTTGACACAGTTGACACCGATGATACCGAGCGGTCCCTGCTTGAAGTCACCGCAGCACTTCTGGCTACCGCCGAGGATGTTGACGTTGCTGCACACTTTACACGTTCTGTCAGCGATCCAATACCGACTTCACACTGGGATAGTGAAGGAACTCACAGCCGATAAGACAGATGGAACCCCCGTTGCAGCAGGCAGGAGTCTGCTGGTTCTGGCATGTGACGCCACGCTCGGCAACGATGGGAGAGGAAGCGACGAGAGCGGCGAAGAGGAAAGTGATGGCAACGGAGAACTGCATGGTGCTGGTGGAGGTTGCTTTGTCGGAGGGTTATTGGGAAGAGAGAAGGCGTTGATTGAGCGGAGACGAAAGTGCTGGCGGTTTTGTTGGTTGCTTTGATGTGGAGGGTGTTGTTGAAAGGCAACTTGGTGAGGAAAAGAGGGTGAGGTTGAGGCAGCGGAGGCCGGGTTTTATACGAATTTGGGATGCCAAAGGCGGGCGTTGGATGACGATGAAGCGTCGAAGGGAGCTGAATGGCGATGGGAGCTTGACGATGGACTTGCAGTAGGGAGCTCGACTGTGAAGACGGCAAAGCCCGCGCGAGAAGCTAGTGCACAGTCGATCTCTCGATTATCGTCATTATCGCCAACAGCATTTCCATCCGGCCAACGATTCGGGTATAGGAATCCACGGAGTTGCCGATGCCTGTCGCCGCTGTTCCCGGCAGTTGGATCGATGATCGTCAACTGCGTTCCTTCTTGCAGCGCTTTGATGATCACCAACTTCTCAGCCGTTCGTCACGAAACCTGAAAGAGGATTAATGGACAACGTCAAGCAACTGAGTGATCGTCGAAGCATGAACTTTGTGCGACTGGCCAAGTACCATCTCCGGCCAACTACGTACGCCGGGCACGTGCATCAACGTTACATCACTTTGCACTTCACGCATTCTGGCACAAATGCGGCTATAGTAGAAGTTTAGGCGATGTCGTCTCGACGACCAGACAGTGACTGGTGCTGCGGGTTAAAGCCGGAAATAGCCCCGTCCGTCACATCTCCTTAAGATGCCTTCCCGTTCACTATACGCAAAGAGGTACTCAAGTGTTCTACCCCCCGAACAAAGTCCCGTCGATCTGGGAAAGAGCCTGTTTCGTCTCCGTGGAATTCCATTACCCGTCAGGTCCCAGTTCTTCCCCGGCGACACCCACCTCCCGGCGTCGGGCTGGGTTCGGGATATGCCGTCAAATCTCACCGCCGTCATATAGGTCAGTCAAATTCAAGTTTCTTCTGCCGTGGCTACTGCTTATCATCTGTATCCATGTAGGGCTGTGTGAGATATCTGCCGATGACCTCCGTCGGAGTCTCTTGGTCACTGTATCTCACTCTATCTAGGAATACGACTTTTTGTTGCGATTCTCGTTCGAAGTTCACATCCTCAAACCGCACCGTCATTTCTCGACGAAGTTGCACATTGGTCATCATGTTGGTAATATTTGCACGCTTCGAGAATCTTGTTTATTTTCATATTTGCTTCTCCTTCTGTCTGGTATGTCTAGCTAATCATCCGCTATGTTTTGAAAATCAATCGAAGAAATAAGCTCATCACGTACTTTTCGACATTCTTCCAGCTTAACACTTGCACTTTTGACCGTGGATGGGAAATGGAGTGTGTATATCGTCTCGATCTAGACTGGTCGCATTCAATGTGAATACACAAAACAAAATGGACTTGGCCAGGGCAGGTGGACAAGACTTCTCGGGTGCGTTTGCCACAGTCAAGACAGGCTGTAAGTGAAACAAAATCGATATCTCCTAGCCCCCAACTGACAATTTTGTAGTGAGGTAGATAACTATCACCAAAAGCCGCTACTTACAAGGAGTCCCGCACGAAGGGCACGAAACATTCGCACACGCAGCACACGCCCTCCCTCTACATAATGGCTGTTGCTCCAGAGTAGCTACAAACGCTGCCGTCACGGTCACGGTGTTCGTGCTGGGCGACAATCCTACGGCAAACTCCGCAGCCCAGACTTATGATCGTCTGGTATCTATATGATCTCCCGACCCCCCCCCCCCTAGCTTCCGGCCTTGATTAATCCTTCCCGTTATAAGTCCCTCCTCCCTCGAGCGAAGCATCGACATGCAGAATTTCCTTTCACATCCCAATATGCCGGGTCGGGTCAGGCACGCGATGGTACTGATCGTTGATTGGTCTTGTGTAGCCTTACGGATGTTGCCGTCGAACACTCGTTAACGCCGCCAATGAAAAACCAGGGATCACCACGCGGAACCTGAGTTCTGCTCGGGAGCGTCGATTCCGTCATCGACTATCGTTTTGACTAGGGGATGATCATGCAGTCGCCAATAGAAAGAATTACATGGGTGAAGGAAGCGAATACCTTACTTTGACCACTACTAATTGCACATGCAAGTAGCTACTCGGTGGTCCCGTTAAGTCTTTGCCAACTCAGCTCATGTTGGATTTTGTTCATCATCCTATATTCGACCATGTCCAGCCACCAGAATAGTTCATCCTTGTGTCGCCAACAGCGGGTCCCACTCCATGGTAATGTTGGAAACGGTCCGGCCCGGAATGCAGTCCGAGTGGGACCAACTTCGTCGGTTCGCTCCTGTCCTCTTGACTAGTAGACAGCCCGTTCAATTCATCGTCACTGACGGCTGCGGTCGACCGCGGCCAACTGTGGAACCAGGATAGCTGCGGCGATAAGAACCTTCGACTGAGACGTGTGGAGATATTTGGGGGTCTTGGTTAGGTATCTTAAGGCCTCATTCATGCTCTATCTAGGTAAAATTATTGCTGCTCGCGTCGAGACTCGGGAGTCGTTTCGGGATTTCTTCATTGCGGCGTGATGATCTGTGAGTTATTTTTGTTTCTTTCGACGGCAAAGTGGCCGACATGTTGATCTCACGAATTCTAACTCCTATCCAGTTCACGCAGTCGATTGCCATTTGTCCACGGTAGTGACCCTCCCAGGTTTGCCTTCTCGGAGTCTCCGGGTCCTAACAGCTGGACAGACCCATGACGCAGTGCACCTCCGTCAGTCTATGCCGGAAAACCAACCCGGGACTGGATTTTGTGGAAAACTACTTGACGACTGCATCGGGGCTTCTCGTTTGAACTTCTTCACCCTACATGCCCGCTACGTTGAAAAGACGAACAAGAAACAGGAATATCACGGACTCGGACTTCTCCTACCGCGACATTCATGCGGTCCGCAGGACTCTATACATGATAAGGCATTCCCAGAGGTATGAGAAGAGCAATGTTATGGAGGTCCAACAGCTACTTGGATATAAGCTCCATCACAAATCACAAGTGGTCACCATCGTCTACATCCGATAGGTTTTCCGGGGAGGAGGGGATTCTGGCATTTGCCTTGCTGTGGCGATGGAAAAAGAAGAAACTACTGGAGTTCCTTCTCAGTCTCTCATGCGCGGATTTGCATCGCTGAGCTCTGGTGATTCAGTGGTGATGCGGAGTTGGGAGAAGGAATTGATCTGCTGAGGACCAACTTGATGCACTGTCGAACCGGTGACGCCAGGCGTGCGAAAGAAACGGGCACCGGCAGGAATAATGCCGCATGTTATGGGCAATTGTGAATTCCCATCAATTCCTTCTGCATAGTCATATGGTGGTGTTACCTCTGTTCAAGGAGGGTACTATATCACAGTTCTATAGGGAAAGTTCTTTTTTCATGCAATCACAAAGTGCCCTTCACGTGCATATGTGCAATTCCGCTCTTCAGAATTCAGACCAGTATTTCTCAGCTATGTATTTACAAATTCTCCGGATACCGGTACGTCCGTCGTGCGACCCTCGCATCAGAGAAAAAGCTCCGCTGGTAAGAGCGATTTGTGCCAAATGGCGAGGGAAGGTGGTTCCCGCAGCAGGATGTTACAGAGCCGAACTGAACGCCCGGTACTCCCGCCAGCCGAGCCGCTATCCGAGAACCATCATCCCCGAATATCGAGTACGTTTGTGCCTATGGCGCCTCTCCAGCCAGAACTCGGCTGTGAAGTTCCGCTTTCCTTCTTCTGGCTCGTTTAACGCACAGGATTTCCCACGAACATTAGCATGCCTGCAGAGGCAGAACGTCCCGGCATTCTTCCGATCGACTTCCCTTATTAGCTGTTAGCCTTGTTTTCTTTATGCGGAGCACAGAAAAGGTGATCTCACGCGCATCCCCGTGAGTGATAGGTATCAAAGGTTTCAGCTGTATGCTCAGGCCTCACGGAAGTAGACATGAGCTGAACCCGCAGTTCTCTCACATCTTCAAATCCTGCTTTTCCTCCCACCACTGTAGAAAAGCAATGGGTTTTTTCAACCTCCATCCCACGTTGTTGTAGACCGTCTATCTATCTGCGAAGTCAAATGACCTCACAATCGATCGAAATTTGAAACTGAACCCCATAGGCGAATGCATGTTTACTCGCATTATTGATCGACCGAATAGTCGCTGCACCTTCACTCTTTCAAGCACCATGGCTTGTCCTCCAATTACTCGCCAGAGTCGCGATGACCAGGGCAACACTCAAGATTCGGCCCAACCTATGCGCCCCACGTAGACATGGATATCACCAAACACCATCCCACTGACCATGGCTTCTCGACTCTCGATCTGTCTCAGATTCCCGTTCCCATGCTTTTGCGTGGGCATGGTCCAATCAGCTGCACTGCATTCGACGGATGCGGATTTCGGTAGGAGTGAGAAGTCAGGCAACCTTGCAGCAGGGTAAAGAGAACGCCGGATATGGGAAAAATCGGCATATATTCGTGCCCCGGACTTTCCAATTAAATTAATATTCGTTGAAGAAGAATCGATTTGGTCGCGGATCAAGAAGCCGGATGTCGGGAATCGAAAATGCAAGACTCGTGAAGAACCGCGTCATGTCGCAGCATGGGAATGAGTTGACGAATCTTCTTTCATGACAATGATGTGACGGGACTCGGGAGTCCAACGACGTCCCATCTCCAACTTTCAGAGTGCTGGCCTTCTGCGCGCCAACAACAGCCTCAAGCCGGACGGTTAATGGTATACCGTATACGAATGCATGAAGCACCTCAAGCTTTCTCCCTCCCAACACGTAACCATGCATCTGGAGTTTATCCGTTATCTGAGCATTTGGAATTCCTGTTTCCTTCCCAGCGTGCCTCCTTCGCAGCTCATTGGATCAAGTTATCCACTTGATGTCCAGCGCTTCCAGAATGTTCCGTTTCTCGGGCGAAAATGAAGACCCAGGATCCAACCACAAAACTACTGCTTCCCGGCAACATCCGTTCCCCCTTGTCCATCCGCGGCCGCGGATGCTACTCGTTATACGAGTGCTGCAGTGCGTTAGAACGTTCACTGGATTAGGATGTTGCCAGACCACACGCGTGACGCACCGGTAAGGATCTGTCAGAATCCGCGGAATTCAGAATGGAGAGGCAGGCGAAGAGGAAAGAAGCTGCTGCACTGTCCGTTCGCCTGCCTTCCTTAATGATCGACATCGTATCGAATTCGAATGCGCCGCCACATTGGAAGTCCAGTCAAGCCGAGAATGTCTCATCGTCGATGAACGACAGGCGAAGGGTACGTCTACCACGTAGGGAACCACGTTGTTGCAGAGCGGCGGGAGATGTCGGCGAGGGAAGAAAGCAACAGCAGGGAACCAGAGGAGGACTTGTCGCAGCAGGGAGCATCAACGTTGCGGCGGTGCCGGGGCCAGCGAGTCGTCCGTCTGCTCTCTTAGTTGTCTTTTCCGTCGTCTTCTTCTTCTTTCGATTTTATCATCCATCGAATAGACGATCAACCCTCCATATCTTCTCCTTCTTTTGTGTGTGCTCTCCCTCTCGATCCCGCCTCCCGCATAGGGGGTGACGGGTAAATGAACCGTCCGCAAAACGTCTCTAACGATGCAGGGATTGAGATGACCACAAGCACTTTTCTGTCTCTTCCACCACTATGTCAAAGCTGTTGCCGTTCGTTCGACTCGATGGACCTGGGCGTCGACAAGTTGGTTTCTCCACAGCGGCTTCATTGGCTTCGCCGGTGCGGAAGTGAAAAAGGTTGGATCCCCCATGGAGCATCCATCAGGTAGAGAAGAAAAAGGAACTGACGTCTCCCCTAACAAGAGATGGCCGCAACCTCATTGCTTGAATACTGCCCCACGGTAGACTCCAGAGAGATCTACATTCCCTCCCCTACCCCGATTCCCCCAAAGCCGTCAATATGGGATCTTCTCAGGCTTTTGCTGCAGAGCGATTTCACGCTGCAACCTCCTATTCTCTTCCATCACCATTCTCCTTCCCGTCTCTTCCATTTCCATGAGCCCTTTCAGCTGTTGATCCTAACGAGAGCATACCGCCATTAAATTCCTTCCCATACACAGGAACGCTCACACAAGTCGTTGGTCGTGCAGGCTTCGACTTCATCTTTGGCTGAAGAAAACCGGTTCAGATGATTGGTAGAACTATGGAGGTGAGAGTCGTCTATTTCATTTTTTCCGTTGGGCGAGAAGGCCTTCCCATCAGTGATACTTCTGATTCGCTATTTTCCAGTTGTCAATACAAAATGAACGGCCAAGGGATCGATTGCAGCTCACCAGATGCTTCAATGCGTTTTACCCTGAATGCGCCATTGCTGTGGTTGAATGGCAATTCCGAGGAGGTGAACTGGCCTGATTGTAATTCCTCTCGATTATGCTAGACGATCCGGTGTTTCAGCACCACCTCCTCGACTTCATGATAATGAACACCAATCCCGGAAGGCCTTGCGGAGACCACGTTCGAATCCACCGCTGGAATCCGCGCTCATCAGGGCCGGCACATCCTTCCGGCACAGGTAGCGATCGCTTTTCGATGAGGGGTTGCCAATGTAGTCCTGAAGAATAGTACTGGCGTGATTGGCAGTCGGGTCATGTTTCTGTTTTTTACCATTTATTAGTTTCTAAAAGATAAAAAATGAGGTCCTTGGTGAATACCGTTTTCTGCAGTGATTTTGGCCGTGGTACATAGACACGTTCTTCACAGTCCGTCGTGCGGACTTAATTTACTCCTTAGCTAAGAAACGGTTCCGATAATTGGACGGTGGAGGATGAGAATCGTGTAACTTGGTATGATAGAGTAGAGGTCGGTATAGTAGAGGGCGATATAGTAGAGGGCGGCTATCCCAGCAGTCATCACTTCAGATCCGCTACTCTTTTCCAGATGTCAGTAAAGAATACGGAGACAAGAGACCGAGTGCAGCTCACCACATGTTTCAGTTATCCTTTTTACCTCGAATGCACCATTGTTGTGGTTAATGGCCATTCCAAGGAGATGAACCAGCCTGTTGGTGATTCCACTCATGCTTGACGAATCGACGATCCGGTATTTCACCACCGCCTCCTCAGCTTCATGGAAATGAACAGCGATCCCGAAAGGCCCTGAGGAGACCCCGTTCGAGTCCACCGCGGAATCCGCACCCATGAGGGGCGACACATTCTTCTGGCACGGGCGGCAGCGATCGTTTCTCGAGGAGGGGTTGTGGATGTCGTAAAGAAGAATAGTAGTAGGCGGCGCCGGTAACCGGGTCTTCTTTCTGTTTCTTCGCGTTTGTAAATTGTCAGTTTGTAAATTAAATTAAAATAAATATGAGGTCCTTGGTGAATACCGTTCTATGAAGTGATTTTGAACGCCGGCCGCATACGAGTGATTGTCGGGGTCTTATGTAATTATCTAGTACTATGATAGCTGTACGGCCGCAATCCAAGCCATGACACAAAACTGCACGCCAAGTAGTTTGAACCGGTGCCGCAAAAGATGTCGTATAGCTGAGAGGAGCCGGTAATTCATTGTCGTTGTGTAGTAGTGGATGAGGCCCATGGTCAAGTTCGTCCACTTATAAACATTCGCTCGTCGAGGAATTCGGATGAGGAGATGATTCGGTAAACGGTTTCCGAGCGCCGCGTACGTTTCCGTGGCTATCGGTGACAGGCTCATCATCTGATGTCTTCGACTTTCCTACCATAATTTTGGCCGGAATGTCCTCGCCGTCGTCTAACCTTATCCAGGTGGTCTTCGAAGCCTCGAAGTGCTTAACATTGGAGTGTAGAGGCGTATCACAGATTCACAGATGTCAAGATTTCGTACGGCGGGCTTTGCAACGGCAAAGGTTTCGGCAGAAGCTCATCCGAACCGTCGGTAACGCGGACTTCAACTTCATCCTTGGCTAAGAAGCGGTTCTGATAGTTCGTGGACCGTGGATGTATAGGTAGTCGTAATATTCGTCTTTTTCGGCCTTCCGTTCGGCGAGGGGGCCTTCCCATCAGTGATCACTTCGGATTCGCTATTTCTAGTTGTCAATACGAAACGAACAGCCAAGAGACCGATTTGCAGCTCACCACACGATTCAATTTTTTTTCACTCGAATGCGCCATTGTTGTGGTTGATGACCATTCTGCTGAGATGAACTGGCCGGCTTGCGATTCTGTTCGACTATTCGACGATCAGGTAACTCACCACCGCCTCCTCAACTTCATGGGAATGAACACTAATCCCGAAAGACCCCGAGAAGACCGCGTTCGAATCCACTGCTGTAATCCGCGCCCAGCAGGGCCGGAAAATCCTTCAGGCACGGGCAGCAATCGCTTCTCGACGAGGAGTTGCCGTGGTCGTTAAGACGAATTGTAATGGGCGGCATCGGTAAACGGGTCTTCTTTTTGCTTCTTACGTTTTGTCAGTTTGCAAAAAAAATAAAAATGGTCCTTGGAGAATACCGTTTTATGCAGTGATTTTAGCCGTAGTAAACCGACCAGTTGATCACAGTGGGCCGTGTGGGCTTCGACTTCCTCCATGGCTGAGAACCGGTTCAGACAATCGTTTGACGTACGGGGGTGAGAGTCCCTTTTTTCGGTTTTCTGTTCGGCCTTCCCATCAGTGGTGACTGCTGATTCGCTATTTGCTGGTTTTAAATACAAAATGAATAGCCAAGGAACAGATATGCAGCTCACCACACGGTTCAATTTTGTGTACTCGAATACGCCATTGTTATGGTTGAATGGCCATTTTGAGGAGATGAGCTGGCCTGCTTGTGATTCCGCTCGACTATGCTGGACGGTCCGGTATTTCACTGCCTCCTGAGCTTCATGCGAAGAACACCCATTCCGAAAGGCCCCGCGGATACCGCGTTCGAATCTCCCACTGCAATCCACGCTTCACGGGAGGAGCGGCACAAAATTCCGGCACGGGTAGTGAACGTTTGTCGAGGAAGGGTTGCCAACGTCGTAAAGAAGAATAGTAACTGGCTGCTTCGGTAATTGAGTCTTCTTTCTATTTCTTGCACTTTGTCAGTTTGCAGATTCGTCTTCGATTTTCCGTTCGGCGAGGGCGGCTATAGCCTATCCCATCAGTCATCGCTGCAGATCCGCTGCTATTTACCAGATATCAGTACAGAATGCCGAGTCGAGAGACCGATTGCAGCTCACCTGATGCTTTATGTATTTTTCCCCCTCGAATCCATCATTGTTATGGTTGAATGACCATTCCGAGGAGACGGATTGGCCTGCTTGTGATTACGCTCGATTGTGCTCGATAATCCAGTATTTCACCGACTCCTGAGCTTCATGGAGGTGAACACCGATCTCGAAAGGCCCTGCGGAGACCACGTACGAATCTACCGTTGTAATCCGCGCTCAGTATCGCATCCTTCCGGCACGGGCAGCGATGGCTTCTCGAGGAGGGGTTGCCGATATCCTGGATACAAAAAATAGCATTGGGCGGCATCGACAATCTGGTCTTCTTTGTGTTTCTTACCATTCGTTGGTTTGGAAAAAAAAAAAAAAATTAGGTCCTTGGTGAATACCGTTTTGTGCAGTGATTTTGGCCGTGGTAAACAGGCAAGTTCATCACGGTCGGCCGTGCGGGCTTCGGCTTCATCCATGACTGAGAAGTGGTTCCGATAATTGGTGGATGATGTAGGGGGGTAATTCGCGGATGATGTAGGGGGTAATTCGCCTTATTCGTTTCTCCGTTCGACGAGGTGAGCGATGGCAACACTCCAGACCTGGTATTATTTCCCATTTGTCAATATAGAATTAACCGCCAAGGGACGGATTGCAGCTCTCCACATGCTTCGATTATCTTTCTACCTCGAATGTACCATTGTTGTGGTTGATTGGCCATTCGGAGGAGATGAACTACCTAGCCTGCTTGTCGTTCCGCTCGAGTATGCTTGACGATTTGGTATTTCAACGCCTCCTGAGCCCATGTTTGCTCAGCTTCATGGAGATGAACACCGAGCCCGAAAGGCCTGAGGAGACCGCTTTCAAATGCAGCGTTGCAATCCCTGCTCTGCGGAGGCGGCGGCACAACTTTCCGGCAAGGGTAGAAATCGCTCTGCGAGGTGGGATTGCCGCAGTCGTAAAGAAGGATGGTAACGGGCGGCGAAGGCAATAGAATCTTCTTTCTGTTTCTTGGCTTCTGTCAGTTTGCAAAACAAAAAAAAAAATCGTATGAAGTCCTTGGTGAATACCGTATTATTCAGCTAATTTGGCCGTCGAGCACGGAAGATTGATCTTAGGGGTCTTGTGTAAAATGCCAGTGTAATGATAGCCCGTGCCGCCGGCATCCGGGCCATGACAATCATCCCCACACCACGCAGTTTGTTCCGGTGCCGCAAAAGATGCCGTATTGTAGCTGAGAGTAGACAGGAAGTCATTGTCCTTCTGCGGTAGTCGATAAGCTTCGTGGTCAATGTCGTCCTCTTGGAAGCACTCACTCGTCGAGATATTCCCATGGTGAGGTGATTCGGGCAACGGTTTTCGAATGCTGCGGATGGCCCCGTAGCTATATTCCAATTGAGTCAGCACAATGAAGCGGAAACCGGAAGACATTGTGGTCAATAAGAGGACCGCGATAAAGGACAACGGCGGATGGATATAGAGTGAAAGTGAATTGGTACATACAGTCCTGACGTAAATTCTATCGTATCTCTGGCTATCGGTGATAGGCTCATCATCTGATTCTTCGACTTTCCTGCCCCCATGTTGGCTGGAGCGTACGCGTTGTCGTCTGCTCTGATCGGGGAGATTTTCGTAGCCGCGTGGTGCCTGACACTGGAATGTAGACTCGATTTATCACAGATGTCTAGATTTCGCATGGCTGGCTTTGCAACGGCAATAGTTATGGCAGTCTTTAACAACGGCTCGCGAGGTTGCGCCCTCCTGCCGCCTGCTCGAGATTCCGCTCGACTATGCTCGACGATCCGAGGTGTCACCGCCTTCTTCGTGGCTTCATGGCGATGAACACCGAGCCTGAATGACGCCGAGGTGACCGTGTTCAAATTCACCGCTGCAAACCGTGCTGAGCAGGAGCAGCAGAAGCTTCCGGCTCGGGAAGCGATCGCTTCCTGGGGAGGGAATACCGACGTCGTGAAGAAGAGTAGTAACGGGCTGCGTCGGTAATCAGGTTTTATTTCTGTTTCTTGCCCTTTGTCAGTTTGCAGAGAATAATGTGGAGTTGGTGGTGAATACCGTTTTACGCAGTGATTCTGGCCGTCGGGTGCAAAGGAGTGATCGTCGGGGTCTTATGAAGGATTCCATTGCTATGATAGCCGTGCCGACAGCTTCCTGGCCATGACAGTCAGCTCTGAGCCGAGTAGTTAGTACCACAGCCTCAAAAGATGCCGGAGTTGGTACATACAGTCCTAAGATACATCCCGTCATTCCTCTGGCTATCAGTAAGAGGCTCACCTGGTTCTTCACTTCCCTGCCCCCATTTTGGATGAGCGTACTCGGTGTAGTTTGCGCCGATCGAGGAGGTCTTCGAAGCCGCTAAGTGCTTGACATTGGAATGTAGAGACTTGTCACGGATGTTGAGATTTCGTATGGACGGCTTTGCAACAGGGAGATCTCGTATGGCGGGCTTTGCAACGGGGAGATTTCTTATAGCGGGATTTTGCAACGGGGATGTATCGGTAGTCGTCAACAACGGCCCCCGAGATTTCGTCCCTCTGGCGACTGCTCGACAGCTTTTTCGGCGGTATCGTTTGTTCGGCACTGCTGCTGGTGTCTCGAGAGCACGAATATTCGAAGTTGCTGTTCGGGCGGAAGTATGAAGGCTGATGGAAGGGCCAAAAGTGACTTCATTGTAGAGTGCTTCAGTGTACGAGGTGCGGTACATGCCGGGCTCAAAGAAAATAGATTGGGGCCAACCATATCCAGCCACCACCGCCATCAATGGTCAACCTCTAACTCGGGAACCAGCCGCGGCATAGCGGCAGGAACCTTCGCTTTGCCGCTCTGGCCATCCTCTTACAGTTGTCTCGGGTTTGGAACGGTCGGAATACAGGAGTCACCATGGCGGCATAGACCGTATTTGTGATGTGTAAAACTGCAATGCTTGGCACCTTCCTCGGTGAAATCAAGTGTATTGTATCGCTGTTCTCCTGTAGGTTCAGGCTTTTCGCAGACTAGATTAGGATAAAACAACGTTTGGTTGACGTCAAAAGACGCCAGCAATATAGAAGGGTATGATCGAGTGATGTCGCATCCCCGCCTCCCCGCCTCCCCGCCTCCCCGCATCTTCTTGCATCTCACCCGCTCTTGCCCTCTTCCTCGCCGCACGTAACGACCTCCACGCAACCACTTCCCACACTCCCCACCCCCTCTACCTCATTTACCATCACCAGAACTCACAACACCGCAAAAAAAGCCTACATTTACTACACTACCGCCCCCGGCCCCGCGACCAAAAAATGGAGAAGTCCACCCCGCCCCACCCCCACAAGAAAAGCATGCGTTTTGCTCTTCCCGACAAGGAACATCCCATAGCCGCCGCCGGCGACCGGTCCAGACCCGTTTCGAAGGCAGGTGACCGCTCCACACCCGTTTCGAAGGCCGGTGACCGCTCCAAACCCGTTTCGAAGGCCGGCGACCGCTCCCGAACCGCTTCGAAGGCCGGTGACTCCCACAGATCCAAGCTACCGAACACGCCCATTGCGAACGCCCGCCAGCCTTCCATTCCAGAACAACAGCAACCCATCCGTTCTCTTGTCGGCGACTACATGCGATTCGAAGACACCATGCGCAGCTTCTCGACGCTTACTCTCGCGCGGCCCGACATACGCCACCCGCTTCCAGCGCGCCCGCCGATTCCCCTGCGTGAGATCCCGTTCCACCCGGCGCAGCGTTCCGTCATCGTTGCCAAGACGGGTACGCACGAGACTGTTCGGGCTTGGGCGGAACAGTTCGGTCCCGTCGAGAGTTGCAGTCTTTACCCCGGGATGGGACACATCAACTTCTTCCGGTCGGCGGACGCCAGGAGGTGTGTCCTTGAGGGAAAGGGCGAATGGAGTTCTGCCCGGAATGTGTACATCGAGATCGGTGTCAGGGTGGGAGAGTGGGGTGTTTCTCAGGAAGGAGGTGCCGTGGGACACGTGGACAGTTGGACTCCTCCGCAGTGGTGAGGTGGCGCGCGAAAAGTGGACAGTTGGAGGGGAGTGTGAGGTTCAACAATACTGACGAGATCTTTGGTGATGAGTACGATGGCAAGTGAATTCAGGGCGCATGATGGTCGAAATCGGCATGATACGATAGTGGCAAAAAGGGCAGAGGATGTAGTAGTCTAGGAGGTGGTGGCGAGTGGGGAGATTCTTCTTGGCTACTTCAATCCGGTGGGGGCGGATACTTGAACCACGTCTTGTCTACTATACTACCATTACCTGATCGCCTTGTTCTCATATTGCACTCTCAAACGCCGCGCTTTAGAATAATAACGTGAAATGACCTAGTCGTGAAGGAGGTGGATGTATGATAGTATCGGCATTTCCGACGTATGGCATACGGGAGTGGAAACGAGAAGCAGCAAGGAGAGATGATAAAATCATGACAAGAGAAACTGCCATACGAATTCACAGCTCCACATTCTTGCTAGTTTTTTCTCTACAAGTACTAAACAGTATCACCAGTTTTCCCATCCCAATAATGCGTTCCTTTATTGCATACTTCGATGTTCGCCTACAGCCATCTAGATTTCACATGGCCGCTGTCATCCATCCCGCAACCGTAATTATCGGGTGACAACCGACTCTTGCCTCTTCAGAAGTGGATGTTATGAACGGGATTGCAGTGGGAAGGAACGGCGCCTCAACCCCAACACCCTCCTCAACTTCACCACCACCCTCCTCCTCCTCGAGTCGCCTCAGCTCTTCAACCTCAGCACCCTCATCAACCTCAATACCCTCCTCCTCCTCCTCCTCCTCCTCGTCGTCGAGTCGCCCCAGCTCCTCGGCTACACCCTCTCCATCCTCTCCATCCTCTCCTCCCGCTCCCATAGCTCCCACTCTCACACTCGGACAAGTCACCTGCTACATCTTTCTACCCAACAATGAGAATCGGTTTGCGGTTGCTTGATCGGAGAAAGTACTCGTGGACTTGGCCGGGGCTGCCCTACTTGGTGATCGTGATCGTGAAAACGACTTGCATGCTACTCCCAACGACCATTCTCTGATACATACAGCACTTGACCGAGCCTTTGACACATTGAGTAGATAGGATAGTAATAGAGTCTGGTGCCGTGTTCAATTTGCAGACACTCTAATCCCCAAACAAGGAAGCAAGTTCCCGAGTACCTAGCCATCCTCAACACCAACGAGTGATGTCCATGAGTCAGTCACCTAACAGAACACACCACCCACACCAACGGCAAATAAAATCTTTAGCGAAAAGTGAAGCGTAATGTAAAACGTAAAGTAGAATCTTATACAGAAGTGGTATTGGTATCTAGTGCCGCATTTTGAATTAAAAAATACAGAGCACCGCATCCATCATCCATCCGTTCGCAAACCATTCCCCATCGAGTAGGAAAAGTCTTCCTAATCCACCAGAAAGCCTTTCCCATAAAACATTCCTCGTCAACAGGTATCGCCAGTTCCTCAACGGTGCGAGCCCGACAACGAAGGGAATTGTATCCCAAACTGGACGAATTGTACCCTCTGCGTAAATCGGTTAAGACATCCCCTCTGAGGGGGAAGACATGCTGTCGGTGGGTGAAGACCCGGAGAACTGTGTCGCGTAGCCGTCATCGGGTTCCATACCGCTGCCTTCGAACGTCGGGGAAACGAAACGGCAATCATCTTCCGATTCTGTGTCAGAATTGGAGTCATGCTCCGATTTCGCGACGGTAACGGCCACTTGCAGCCTATAAATACAGGCAACAAATCTATACAGATTAGAGTTGAAAACAATTCTGCTGTCCGGAATATTGACCCACCTTAGAAGTTGTACTGCTGTCTGGGTACCAGCAACCGAGTGACATCGGTGGTCGCAGTTCGGACGACTTTAGTGTCGGAAGGTGGGATGTTTGAGGCTGGAACGTTTCATTGTATTAGAGAAGGGGGAATACATGGAAAGGAGAGTGAGGTACGGTGAGTGCTTGCCTTAAATTCGTGGTTTTTTGTTTACTCATCATAGCATTCGACCTTATCAGAGCATGGCTCTCCACACCTCCAGTTCCTTCCCACTGTCTCCGACCGCTGATCGCGAACTCGATGTGGGTTCCCCATTGCCCTCCGCCCGGCCTATCCGCACATGGAAACAATGAGACAAAGGAGGAATAAAAATGTAACGACCAAAAATAAGGGTTTGGATAGTGATAGAGGTTAGCTGCAGTTCGAGTGGAAAGAAAATGCCCCCGAGGGCTGAAATGTAGTGTTGATGATGGTTATAAGTTGGTGGTGAGAGGTAGAGGGCATGACGAGGAGAAGGAATGGTAAGAAGAAGTAGGAAGGGTGGGAAGCAGAGGGAATGGTGGCTATCTTATAGGTAGGGAGGCGGCCAAAAATAACAAGGCGGCCAAAAAATAGGAAGGCGGCCAAAAAAAGTAGGAATGTGGCCAAAAAATAAAAAGCCGGCCAAAAAATAGGAAGGCGGCCAAAAAAAAAATAGGGATTCAATCACGCAACCGCTCCCACCCCCCCCACCTACCCTCCCCCGCCGATCAGTAAAGCAACTCGCAACTGAAGAGCAGGGAAATTTAATTTGCTGTTTTCTTCATTTGTCTCGCCCAGCCTATGCAGCCTATGACGAAATGAGCTGCCCGGGTTGGAATCCTGTCTGCAGGCAAGAAACCTGGCACGTAAGTAACTCACACCCCTCCACCATAAGCCTGGGCAACATAACGATGCAGGTAGAGTGCACATGGGAGAGTACACGACAATGACAGCCTTCAAAGGAACGTCTTACCTAGGCCTCCACTTTCTGTCCCTACTCCCCCTCAACTGGACCCATCTCCTCCGCCACCTCCCACTGCAGGCTCTAGCCGCCGCCTTATCCATCCGTCGTAAAGTTGCCGCTTGCGGCTTCACACGTCATGATATTACATCTAGCGACTTGTAGCCACTTCTTCTGCGTAGCGCTACTACTTAGTGGACCACTAAAGCGAGACCGGTAATGAGAAGAGAGGGAATCAAAATTTTCCTGCATTGTCAATACTGCATATTTGTGTTGTATCGAGTGCGAAGATTTGACTGGCTGCATAGGTTTTCACTCGCTCCACCGTTCAAACCAGCGCCACGGAGTGTCAGATCTGGACTGGACTAGACCTGGGTTGTTATGAAGTGTTTACTCTGTCGTGTAAACAGGCCGTTGCTTTTTGCTTGACTGCCTATCCTCAACCGTTATTCCTACTTCAACCAACCTGTACGATTATGAACTGATACAGCATGCCGTCAAGCTCTCGCTTCACAAGCTCCTTCTACCAGTAAATGGAGGACATTATTGGGGGAAGTCTAATTGTATTTAGTATTTCAACTTTCGAGTTCTAACTGCACTGCGATTGTGATATACGCCGGTGGCGGACACGTAAGAAAGATGAAGAGAATAGTTATGTTGATGATCTAGCTACCGCTCAGAGCGCAATCTCATAGCTTTAATGCCATTCCTCTGCAAATATCCTTCGATCCTATCATCCTGGCTTTTTATCCGATCTACAATCTCCCCTTCCGTATCATCTGATCTTTTCATATCCATCTCCAAGAACAGCAAACATCGTATGCATCAGCCTCGTATCTCATATTGATATAAATCTCCAAGAACAGCAAACATCATGTCCATCATACTATCCATCTCAATCCTATCTCATCTTTTCATATCCATCCCCAAGAACAGCAAACATCATATCCATCTCCAAAAACAGCAAAGGGAAGCGTGGTGCCGTGGCGTTGACCGGGGCGGTGATCAGCCGCTGGCTGGGGCATTGGTGATGAGCTAGAGGAGGCGCCGGTAGCGATGAAGGGTGGTGCCGTGGTGCTGACCGGGACGGTGATGAGCCGCAGCGGTTTTCTTCCGGAAGCAGTCCAGGACGTATGCGAAGATCACAACGGGGCTCGTCATCGCCGCGAAGACGATAAGAACCCAGGTGAACGCGACCTCGAACCAGTGCCAGTGTCTCTAGAGCGAGAAGCCAACGAGGATCAGTCCGAGGGCCATCAGCGGTGAGGCGTGATATAGTCCCCAGAGACGGTCCGTATCCGTTGGAGCCTTTCCGGCCCACGGAGTTAGGAGGTGATTCAACAATGGCAACCGCAGTGGGTTGATGTGTCGTAAAGGCAAGTTGTAATTGTAAAAATAGTAGGAAGTTGCAAAGGAAAAGGAAAGAAAAGGGATGAGGAAAATTATGAACGGGACTCGAATGGGATGATAAGGTAAGGAGTAAGAAGAGGAAGAGATGAGGAGATGAGAAGATGAGAGCTTTGCTCCGGGTTGTCGGATGGGAGTTTCGATCCTAGTGGATTGTGGATTGCAAAGTTGATACCCCGGAGGGCTTAATCGGTTCTGGAGCGCATCGTTGAACTTGAGAATGACGTTAGCCCGATCGATAAGAACTGAAGGGGACGAGAATGTGACTTACGAAGTGGCCGAAGAGCTCGCCAAGAATTATCGCAATAAAGGGTGCAAGGGATTGTTGAAACGATTGATACGGTTATAGCCCGTTTCTTCGAGGATTATAATGACCAGAAGAAGCCCAAAGGCAACTAAACCGACAGCAACCCACCATGCCTGACGCCAGGTAATTAACTTGGGCTCGGTTTTGGGATGGAGCACACGGGGCGCTCCTTGTCACTCTCCGTGGAATCGTTATCCATGTTAGAGTCGCTCCAGATGTTGCAGGACGCAGCCGGGTGAGGCTCATCGTCATCCGTCTCTTCTCAAGAGCCGCAGCGGTGAGTCGGCTGTGATGTTCTTGAGCAGGCTGAAGTAGCTACTGTTAGTGATTATGAACCGGAGTAGTGATAGAAATCAGTGCACATACCGTATCCGTTGGTTCAATTCCAGACCACCGGGTTGGGAGATGATTTAACCATGGCAACCGCAGTGGGTTGATGTGCCGTAATGGGAAGTTGCAACTGCAAAAACAGCAGGAAGTTGAAAAGGAGGGTAAACGGAACGGAGATGGCAAACGAAAGAAAAGAGATGCGGAGAAGTATGAAGAGGAATTGAATGGGATGGGAGGAAATGGCGGAGAAGATGCGAAGACAAGTCGAAAAGGTGGGGAGGTAGACGGAAAAGGAAAGGGATCGGAAATAAGCATGTAAATTGACTTGGAGATGGGTGGAAAAGAGTGAGTAGATGAGAAGATGAGAAGATGAGAAGATGAGAGCTTTTTTCCGGGTTGTCGGATGGGAATTTCGATCCTAGTGGATTGTGGATTGCAAAGTTGATACCGCAGAGGGCTGAATTGATGGTGATGGTAGTTGTTGTGTTTGAGGTTGGGTGGGGAGTGAGGGTGGGGAGTGAGTGTGGGGAGTGTGTGAGGTGGAGTGAAAGTGAGTGAGGTGGAGTGAAAGTGAGTGAGGTGGAGTGAAAGTGGATGGGATGGATGGATTTGACGAGAAGAACCAGATACGTCACCGCCATGCCCAATAAATAGAAAAAACACAAACAGCCCCCATCCAGGCCCCCCCCCATATAATGCAATACGTCATCGACACGCGCCAGAACCTCAACAACCCAGCTATCACGTGCTTCTTGCAGTTCCGATGTTCATTCCTCTGCTCTGCTTCTTGCTACAGCTGCGGCAGATTGACCGCCAGGCCTTGTCTCCCCGGTACAATCCGGTGCGTCTTAGACCCAATCATTCTCCACAAAAACCCACACCGGCTCGTACACTTACTTGCCTCTCTTCTGTTGCAATCAGCTCCTCTTCGCATACCTCGATCTCCAGCACCAATCGTTACCATTTACTTCTTGCTGCCGACTCGTCGGCGTCTGCGTTATCATAATCCTAGAGTCACTCCGTGCTGCAGTACCATGCTCGATGAGGTGCCGTGAGGATGCAGCAAGTACACACCTATGCCTCATCACAGACTGCCAACCGCGGTCACTGTTCCGTGGAGAGGTCGAGTGCTGATCGAGGTAATCAGGGGTTCTGGTGGTACCTACTCGGTTTGGCAGTGGGACCTAGATGGTGTTTCTGGCCTTAAGTGACCACGGATTTCTGCTCTGGAGGAAGATGACAAGGAGGATCAGCGACCTCATTCCTGGTGTTTTTACCTATTTATCCGCCGACGGAGGTCGCCAGCTAACTGTGAGTGGAACCAGAATTGCATAGGTACACCAAACAGCCGCACAGGATGAAGGATACAAGTCGTATACTCTCAAAAGTCGAGAGTCCATTCATCGCAGCCGCAGCTGCCACCACCCCCGAGTCCTTACCTTCCCTTCCGCCGTAACTACCTCGATATCCGATTGCAGATTTAGCATCAGAAAACTCCGACATCCCCCTCACACAGCGCCGGTTGTGCCCAGATGCTGGAGTCGACCGTCCACTTCGTAGGGTCACCGGTTGGTCGATTATCACCCCTACCAGCGGTCCGGCCCCACAAAGCAAGAAGAGGTTGAAGGGCGTATTCGAGCAAGGGACTGGATGAGTTCCACAAAGTATCGAAGAAGAACTGAGTACCTACCGGTAGCAGTAATGTTGCATGCTGATGTCGGGTAGTCGTCAGAGCGGAAGGGATAAGAGGAAATCGGGGACAATCGTTACTGTGCCGAGTGCTGGAGTCTGAGTGCTTGCTGACGAGCTTCATTCTTACCGCGACTCCACGAGGGCAATCGTTTCCGCGACGAGTCCTGATTTACTGCTGGTAAATTTCACGCTTTCCGGGAATTCTAGGGAGCACCCCTCTCGTGATGGGGATGTTGGCGATGGACGGAGTACCGGATGCTTCTCGGCAGGATAGTGACGAGGAGCAGTGACCTCTTTGGTGGGTCCCTACTATCTGTTTTCACCAATTTATTCGCAGAAGGAGGATCGCCAGCTAACCATGGTAGGAATCAGAATATCCTCAGTACAACGAACAGGCCGCACATGAGGAAGGATGGGATAATACAAATGGATGCCCTCCAGAGTCCGATCCTTGCAGCAACTGCCACCACTCCCGATTCCGCGCCCTTCACTGCCGCCATACCTCGATACTCGATTCCGAATTTACTATAGTACCAACGTGCTCCATCGGGCATCTCCCTCACTCCTCACCCAGCGCCGATTATGCCCGGAGGCTGGAGTCGACCGTCCACTTCGTAGGGTCACCGGGTTGGTCGATCATCACCCATACCAGCGGTCCAGCCCCCAGTGGTAAGCAGACGTTAACGGCGTACGAACATTCGGTCATGGGACCGACTGGATGAGATTGACAAAGTGTCCGGAAAAAAGCGAGGACCGGTAGCGGCAGCAGGGATGTTTCATGCTGATTTCGGGTACCGGTAACCAGGGCCGAAGGAATAAGGCGAAAGTCTGGGGCAATTGTTTCCGTGCCGAGTGCTGAAGCCTGAGTGCCTACTGACAAGCTTCAAAGTTCACTCATTCCGCAAAGGCAATGTCGAACCATTCTCATGATGGAGAGATTGGCGTTGGACGGAGTACCTAGAGACTACCGTAGACAACTTCAGTGCCCCTCTGACACATTCTGCTACAATAAAATTAAGGAGCTACTACCGTACTATATAGTCAAAATAAGATGCTGTGCACAATTTTTCGAAAATGTAAATAGTACCCAGGGCCAGAATCACATTACACAATCCGATGGTTTGCATCATTCATTCATTCGTCATAGTGTGGTATCCAATCATCCCATCCATCCTATGCCCTCGAATACAATTCATCAGACAACCGCAAAAGCGCCACCCAATTCATCTCCGACCATATGCACACTCTATTTATCGGCGACAGGGAACTCCTTTCCAGTCGCACTCTTGTACTGTCCACGGATGACTGTATTCAAGTAACATCAGCACCGTGCACACGAGAGAGAGAGAGGGTGTGTGTGAGGGGGTGAAAGGGGATACTAACAGTCGCTAATAGCCTCATCCTTCCTCTGCTCGAAAGCATTCTCGTTGTTCTGGGGACCCTGGCCGAGGACCTTCTCCTGGAACATGTCGATGGCTATTTCGCACACGCGCATCGTCAGCGCACGCTTTTTGACGGTGGTGGGGAGGGGATGATTGTAGTACCCTTGTCGAGCGCATCCTCCTTGTGCTCGCTCTGAGGGCCTCCGCCGGCCGCGCCGTGGAGACGGTCCATGAATCCGCCGCTCGACGCGGGCTGCTGCGCCGGCTTCTTGCTGCTGCTACCGCCGGTGAAGTTCTTGAGGAGATCCATTGCGTTTTGTGTGGTTGTGGTGGTTGTGGTGGTTGTGGTGGTTGTGGTGGAGTATGTGGAGGTGCTGTTGAGGTTGTTACCGAGATGGAGGGGAAGTTGGACTATCTATATGAGTGTTCGTTGAGTAAGCGGCCTTGGAAACGCGGGGTTCACGTTGATGTCATGGTCGCAGGTGCACGCAGGTCGTCGCACGCACCAAAGTCGCGTATGTAGAGTATAAAACGCCAAGGACCTATGGGAGCACTGGATAAACAACCGGACTGGACGAGGGAAATTGTGCTCCAGAGCGCGACTTGGCATGCGAATACTTCTGAAGCGATCTTGTTAGTGGCCAGCAATAGTCGCAGCCACGGCGTGCGAGCGCGGGACAGCCCAGATCTATCATCTCCCATCGACTCCGCGCAGAGCAGAGCAGAGCAGAGATCTCGCGATGTCTACTCTGATCAACCTGCCTGGTTTGTTTCTAAATATTTCCATCACGGCAGGCCGATGCTGTTCGCTTGCGGTCGCCGGTATCGATCCCTAGCTTGCAGCTTAGGCCCTGCGTATCGACATATCGCGATTCGCCATACCAGTTGCCGCTAAACCCATCGGAAGCTTGATTTCGCGACACCTCGAACACTGTGCATCGATGCTCCATCAGCTCCGCCCCCGCCACCCCCGCAGCCCGCCTCCGCTCCCGCCTCCGCCGCGCCCCCGCCGAGCCCGCAGTCTTACATACATGTCGGTTCGCCACCTTCCTTGTGCGCGATATGGTAGGTTCATGTACCATCAAGCCCACCTACCTTTATCCCCCGCGAATCACTCTCCCAAGACCCGATCATGACCGTTCGGATGCCTGCCTCTGCGTGCAGTGGCACTCCCCGCCATTCGTGCGCCAACGCCCCTATCGAGCCCGCTTTGTGGGCGCCGTGCGGCGTGGCGTGCGCCACCGGCCAGCCGTTCGACAGAAACCACTGTTTTAGCGCACACCTACACACATACGGATTTAGAAATGCACCAACGAACGACGGCCCACGGGGTGTGGTGGATAATGGATATGCCGCTGAGATCTCCGAGCAACACTCTGGCACTCTCACCACTCTCACCACCCTCGACTCTCGACGTCTCGAGCTGGGGCGGGGGCTGGGGCTAAGAACGCGGTGAGTGATTGGATGGATAACAGGACACATCTCTAGAGTAGGTACATACCGGTATGTGGAGGTTCGGCAGAAGTCAGAAGGCTGGCTGTACGGTATGTATGCACAACGCCACAGCGTATGTATATCTGTACGGTATGTATGCGCCCCGTTACCACCGCACCACTGAACCACGTCAACAAACAGCAGCAGCAGCAGCAGCAGCAGCAGCGTCACAGGCGGCGGCGGTGGTCGAATTGCTCCCCTAGAGTACGGTAGCTGTGCATAGGTTGGGGAATACCTAGTTGGGAGTAGAAGGAGTTGAAGGAGAGGAGAGGAAGGTGCACGCGACGCGCAAGCGGCCTGGGGGACCAGGCAAATTGCGGGGAAGGTAATCGAGGGGAGGGGAGGGGAGGGGGGGTATGCTCGATCAGATTGTTTGTCCCATGTGGGCAAAATGTGATCGCCGGTTGGACGATTAGTGAACGGTCACCGGTGTCGACGGGCCCGCTTCTTGGTCGAGGTCGAGACCGTTCTGATTTCTATGTCGTCGTGCTGTTTTGATTCGAGGCGATTAAGATCACGATATGGTCGAGGCCGTCCTAACTTCTGTGCCGGCGTGGTGTTTTAATCGGAACGATTAAGATCACGATATCATCCCAATTCGAACTTCGTGATAATCGATCGCGTTGATATTCGATCGCCCTGAATCCCCTGGCGACTCAGTCGGTATGGGAATGTACGTGTGAAGCATAGGCGTGTGGTGATAGTCATTCGGGTCCCGACGAGTGGACGACAGCACCTTACGGTACTTAAAGATGAACTTCAGTGCGCGTGGTATGTATCGGCAGCGATATCAACGCCGGCATCCGCGTCGCGCGATAAGTAATCTTGCAGTCGTCTCCAAATATGTAACCTCTGCGGTTGTGAAGGATGTCTACCTATTTCTGCAACATCTCGACAGTGATTACTGGGTGAGGAGGTACCGTATGCGGGACGTTTCGAGCTTTGGCAGGTGCTTGGGAGGGGCCAGACCCCAACTGCTCTCGATCAGTATGTAGTAGCGATCCGAACGAATAAGACCCTCAATAAACACAGCCAAAGTCGGGTACGATATTTCCATCGATAAGCCGCGCTTTCGCTGGAGAACACATACCTACCGGTAACATAACCACCACAGCTGAGATGTGGAGTGTGGATGAGTCTACTACTACAGTCTACGGTACTATGAGTATAGGGGTAACACGATAAAATACGCCAGATAGCTGATAGAAGAGTAGATTTGGACATGGAAATTATTGCCTCGATTCTCGAGATATCTACAGGCCTCAGCTCTACACAACTTTCTTGTCGACACGGAGAGTCTCCCGAGTCAGCATTCCAGGACAGCAGCACAGTGCACTGCGGGACAGCCCCCCTGGTCAATTTCCAATCGCGAGCCAGGATGATGAGTACGTCACTTTAGTGCCGAATTCTGGCTTGCAAACCGCTCCCCCTGTCAGTCGGCCAGACACCAGTCCGCCAGTCCTCTTGCCTGTCAGAAACGAAACCTGTCGAGTTCGTCCCGCCTCCCCTCCCCCGCCACGAGGAGAGAAAAAACCAACTTTCGGCTCACTTCGCTAACTCTCCACGCGCACTTTGGCTCAGCATCCTCGTTTCTCACCTGCTTCTCCACGAACACCGACCGCCCCCATCCTCCACCACCACGGCCAGCAACTTGCAGCTCGTATGATCGTCTACACACGCCCGCCCACCATACCGTACATACATCTCCATCATTATCCTCCTCTTCTACCTTCGGCCCTAGCGAAACTTTGCACACCGCCGCCGCCAGCGAATCACCATCCTCCACCAGCACAAATTTGCGCCACGTTACATACGCATGTACGTGCTGATAACCGACTGCTCGTCTATTTAGCCCTGTTTGCTTGTTTCTCCGCTTTTGCTTTTTGTGCTGCTTTTTTGCCTGTCGGTCCGTCCTGCTTGCACATGCAGGTATAGTTTTCTGCTACCTATTCTACATACCATTTGGGTTTCGGTTGCATCTGCATTGTCCGTGGGTACTGCGTGTCTCGTGTCTTTTTTTCTGCTCGCTCCCACCGAAAGTTCCCCTAAATTTGCACGCTGTCCCGCTGGCGAACTGGCAGTCTGAGACCTGTCGCACCTCCGCCCCCCTCCACAAAGTCTTATCCCATCAGAACTCACTGCACGGACAGACAAGACTTTCTCCACATCAGAAAGGCAGAACTTCCACCCATTGCGTTCGCCAAGCATCATGAACCTCTTCCGCAGTTCCATATCCTCCCTGGCGCCCTCCTCCGCCGCCTCCTCCGATCCCACCAGTGCAAGAGCGTCCCTTTCCCTAACCCCACCATCAACGGGCACCTTCCCATCGGCACGATGCTTCAGCCACCGTCCTTCCACCACGACCACCAACACCACCACAACGACCGGCTCCTCGTCTCCGGCTCTCAACGGCGGCGGCTCTAACTCCACATCCACAACCGAGTCCACCGCATCCCGCATCGTTTCCTCCTTCAACCCAACAAAAACCTACCACATCCCGACGCACGGCGGCGTGATGCCTTCGACAACGCCATTGCAGATCTACGACCTCACGCCGCACCTGAAGAATCGAGTCCCCGCCGCAGATCCGTATTCGGACCGAAAAGCGTTTAAGCGCGAGGTGCGCTCGATCCTGAAGGCGTGGAAGGAACGGGAAAAGGAGGGCGGTAAAGGGAAGGATGTGAATGTGATGGGAGGGCTGGAGACGGCGATGGTGGTGCGCCGAGGGAAGAAGGGGGTGAAAGTACTGGAGGATCTGGACTCGAGTGGTACGGCGAGCTGGAGTGTGCCGTGGGCGCTGTGGAAGGAGATCGTGGTCGATATCGATTACCCCGGCAGGGGAGAGTGGGATGTCGGCGTGTGGACGCATACCTTCGATCCACGCAGCCAGATCTTTGAGTCGCGAGGGGCAAGGTTGGCCTTCCTCTACGCCCCACACACCTGCAGGGCATACCCGGCTGACAACTGGAAAAGCTACAGGTGGAAATTCGCGACTCCACGCGAGTTGGTGCTTGAGAAGAGCGCGCCGGGCATGGGGCGATATGTCGTCGCCGTGTTCTACCTAACAGTAAGCAGTGCCTTTTTCCCGGTGGACCTTAGGGCGTGGGCTGAGGGGGTCGTGAAGCGTGGGGTGGGCACCACGGAGGGAACGTTGTTGTTCGATGAGAGGGGCGTAGATAGGTTGCTTGCCGTGGCGACGATCTTGACCGCACTGAAGAGGGAGAGGCAGAGGTGGGGGGTGCTGGGAGGGACGGTTTGAGAAAGAGAGAGCGGGCAGGCGGGCCGGCGGGTGTGCATGCATGGAAGGCGGCGTTGGGATCTGTTTACATATCTGTCTTTTTGGCGTTCGGCATAGGGTGGTGGGGCTGTCGTTTCTTGTTTTGGCATAGGTACATGTTCGCGATATCGTTCTCCCACTGTTTACTTTCGTTGTACTGTAATCTGGCCCTAGTAATAGTCGCATGTGGAATTGACCGATTACCACTCATCCTAGATCTCTAGCAGGATCGCGAGCGCGGGGAGTGACTGTTGTCTCCGCAACTCCTAAAAATCCCAAAACCTTGAAGACGAGCATGCAGATCGTGACGTCGTATGGTGGGGGTTCCACGTGTGGTGGGGTTCCTTGTGTGGCTGGTGAGATCGGTAGATATTCATGGTCACTTACTCGCACGATTACCTGTAATTCGCTCGTCGGACTACTGGTAATTCAGTATGTTCGAACTAAACCAGGTTTCAGCACACCATACCGGGCTAAGATCAAAGGGGAAGGATAGCGGGAGGCAATCGCTCTTGTATGTACATAACAATCACGATCTACCGAAGGTCGAATAGTAGGTATGATATGACGAGTAAACCGAATAAAAAGCTGCACGAGTACTGTGCGTACGGCTTATTTTGCTATTGTATGATACTTTTGAGCTCTTGCTACCAGTAACCCCATGCATTATACGGCACTGAGCGGCAGGGCGGTTCGATACTGCGTCAACTAGTGTGGTGCGAGGCTGACCGCATGCGAATTATCACCCACTCGCCCTACCCACACGATCACTCCTTTGAAGTTAGGTATCAACCCTCACATTGAAAATTTCCACAGTCACAGCGCCCACAATCCCCAACAAAACCCGACTTCCTCCCACCTCCCTCCCCCTCTTCCTTCTTCATCCCTCATCTTCTTCCACTATCAATTCATCTACCATCACTGCCTTCACAATTATTTCTTCCACTATCACAACTACAATCGTTAAGTCGACCAACGACTTGCACCAGCTTCCACACTGTGGTTGGTCCGCCCCGGCGTGCAGAGCGTGAAGCTCAGCGCCTTCGATTCAATGGCTACGCACCTCTCACCCGTTCGGTATGTAATACGCTCAACACCTGCATCCCTTCCGAACAGATGCTGATACTGGTCCCGCCTGATTAGCATCACTACCATCTCCGACCCAGAACCACTTTTCCAGTTCCTCAATCACAATACCAGTCACCCACACGGGGGCTTTTTTACAACTCAACCTAATCGATCCGAATTGCAACGCTATTTCTTTCCACCCGACCAGCAGCGGACAGGTTCCGGCTGATGACCACGCTGCGTCGCCCGGTGCGCGCTAATGTTAGGCGGTGGCGAGCTCCACAGAATACGCCTATGGGTTGTGGGAAGTGTGCGAGTCTACGAACAGCACATTCAGCACGCCGTGGACAAATTCAATCTCATTGAGGAGCTTCACTATGCGAACATACTGAACAATCCGGCCGGCCGATTGTGAGATGGGAATTTTATGGTGAGTTTCTTTACGTCGTTTCCGTTTGCCTAGCGGTGTCTTTGACTTCATGTGCTAATATTCGTCAGGTTTCTCTAGTCCCTTTAGTACTTCGCCCGCGAGAACGGGCCCCGCCTTTGGTGACAACACCAAAGGTGATGCCTACCTGGGGCCTCTTTTGGTGTGATGTCTGCCAGTTGACCTGGCCGACGTCCGCCAGAAGGATCTGGGTCCTGCCTTTGGTGTCTGGCAGGCCAGTTGATCTGGTCCGGCCTGACGCCACGGCGGCGATGAGGATGGGCCAGCTGGGCCCAACCTCACTACCATCGCGATGTTAGGGGGATGCGGGGGTGCGGGATGTTGCCCGAATCAATAATATCGCCTTCAGGAGGAACACGAACCGTTGTGAAATGGTTGAAACTGTCGCCCACTGGATCGCCGCCAAAGTCAAGATTGAAGACGAGAAGGCGGCCGCAAAGGGCTACAATGATGACTGACTTTTCTTCCGGCCGATTTTGAGATGGGAATTTTATGGTGAGTTTCTTTACGTTGTCTCCGCTTGCCTGATGGTGTCTTTGACTTCATGTGCTGATATTCGTGTTTCTCTAGTCACCTAGTTTTACAGATCATTCGAAATGGGCTGCCACCGTTGGTGTCAAGACCTGGTGTGATGCCTGCCAGTTAATCTGGTGGAAGGCCGCCAGGTCATCTGGTGCGAAACTCGCCAGGAGGTGGGTCTTGTCTTGGTGTGATTCCTGCCAGAACATCTGGTGAATGCCGCCAGCAAGACCTGGCTCCTGACGGGGCTATATCACCACCGGCGACTCAGCTGGTGGTGGTGGTGGTGAAGGTGGAGGTGGTGGTTACGACCTGGTGTGATGCCTGCCAGTTAATTTTTTCGTTTCACGGGGGATCTCAATGGGAGGATTTTTTTCTTTTTCGATTTGTTGTTTTCATATGAAATTTCAGTTTTAATTGGCCAGCCGCACAGTTCTTTGTTAGTCGGACATACCGGTACAGTGTACTGCAGTTGTCACGTAGACGAACACGAAGTGCATGCAGGAGAAGATTTCCTATTCAGCTGGCTACAGAGGAGGACTGTATACTCGTAGCTAACGGGAGACAGCTATCCCTTTGGTTGTTTCCACGGCCCCAAGCTACGGCACCAGCGGTAGGGGGATGGTTGGGTGGAGGCGGCTAGTGTGTTGGTTATGATGGGAAGCTGATGTCAAGTGGTATGGTGAGGCGACTATGCGGCCGACTAAGAGATCCCTGTCGCCACCACCGCACCTATGCCTGCACCACATGCCAGCCTTCTTCAGCCGGCTGATGGGAGGCTCCTTGCTAGTAACCAGATTCGGACTACTCCCTGTGTCCTTCACTCGCCCGTTGCCGTGGAATATTTTCGACGAGGGAAGGGATCTGTCCGTCTGAATAAGCGACAAGGTAAGCATTGTCATAATATGACGAACTTCCGTGCACGACATCATGCGAGATCACTCTGACTTCCGTTGTCCGTTCTCACACGGAGGTGGCGAGCGGCAGCGAGCGGCCTCTATCCGAGGCACCCCTGCACCTTCATCTATATATGCCTTTTTCTTTCCTCCTGCTACGATACAATGTACACTACTTCAGAATACCACTTTTCTTGATAAGCATCCTCCAAAGCAGATCGAGTGACGGTCTATGCTATTGACCGAGTGATGGCGCATGCAACCTCGTGTCGTGTCCATAGCCGGTGCCAGGGCAGCCGGTCAGCGGGAACCCGTGCCCTTTACAGCGGTCAGGGTGACAGCGGTCTGTGGCGGCAAGATGTTGGACGTACCGACTACACACCAGTAACACTGCCCTTCATGTTTATGGGCCACACCCGACTGTAGTATCGGCATTCGCGAGCTTTGAGCAGTTCTTATTCCAGGCTCGACCTTTAAGTGCCACGGTTGAAATTTGGCTGGATGGCTGATGAGTTGGGTGGACCGTGGCCTTGTTTCTTTCGGCGCTTGGGAGTAAACAGGGATCGAGCCAAAGAGTCAGTGCATATACAGAAGGAGAAATAGAGGATACAGACGACAGCAATAAAGATTCCTCCCATCGGACAACTTCTTTGGATGCAATTGTACCTAGATGCCGGAGTCCCATATATATACCCGGAGTCCCCGTCTTCCGCCAACTCCAGAGGAGATGACATGGGTGCATAACTGGAAGGTCTAGAATATCCACGCTGCTTTCACCATTCACCATTCACCACTACTACCACCACCTCCTCCTCGACCACTGCTCCTTTTTCCTCTCCCTCATCAGTCATAATCGGTTGAAATCCAGACCTGCAGGCTAGTACGAGTTGGACCGGAATAGCCGAGGACTAGAATGCCTCCATCACCGGTAATCGATCAGAACTCCGCCTTAATCAGTAGTCGATCGACATTTGGAGTTGCGCTGGTGCGGTGTAGGTATGTTCGACAGTAATCGGTGGAGGTGTTCGTGGGGTGTCGTTTCATGTTGGAAACGGTTGTATGGGTAGTCGACTGTCGGATGGTGGCAGGCAGCGGGTTTCAAATTTCGATTCTTTGGCATATGATAAAACTTGGATTCACGTCACAGCACACCGATGCATCTGAAAGTGGTAAAGCCCGCCGTAGCTAGCAAGCTCCTTGCAAGTCGCACGCCAATAGGAAAAACCGGTTCGGCAGAAATATGACCTGAGAAAGACAGGAAATTGCCTCACCGGCCAGTACCTCCAGTGGACGACAAGCCGGCAGGACGCCCGCTGCGGATGGTGCCGCTACAAGACCCAGACACGAGAGCACCTTTTCAAGAATTGCCCTGAATGGAAAAGCCAACAGAAGACACTGTGGGCAGAGGTCCGAAAGCAGACGAAGAGGGGCAAGGATCGATTCATGATCCGGGACCTCTTCGCAGCCGAGCGCTGCAGCAAGGCAATCCTAGAGTTCCTCTCTTCCACTGATGTGGGCAGACGGATGCGTGAGGCCGCTGAGCAAGATAAAGAGAGCAAGGTATCCGAGTGGGAGCTCAGGGAGCAGGAAGAAAGGGAGGCTGAGCTGAGGCGGGAGGAGGAGGAGGGTGCTGATGTTGAGGAGCTGGGCTCAGTCCCGCTGTTTCTCCTCACACCTTCTTTCATAGCAACCCTTTTAAGAGACGAGAGAGGGAGCAGAATATGTCTTTTACTAATGTTATTTCCTTGCTGCGCTGTATCTTCATTGCGGGGACAGGCCGAGGCGGTGGGCAGGGATAGCCACATCGGGCCACTCGATGAAAGTCGAGTCGGATAGTGGCAGGGAACCGGAGTGTGTACATAATATATTGCCATGATCTACATAAGTCACAATCAATTGCTGATTAAACAAAAAAAAACCTTACAAGGCGCAACCCGTGTGATCCAATCTAGCTTCGCGTGGTCATGGTGCAACCCCGGTAGCGACTGGATGCCCTAGACCTAGAATGTGACTGCACTTTTGCCGACCCCACAAACCTACCGCAACCACTTCTTCCTCTCCTTCCTCTCCTTCCTCTCCTTCCTCTCAACATCATCCACTTCATCACGCCACAGTGCGAACTTCTTATTACTCACATTACTTTCTACGTCCACAGGCGGTGAGCCGGTGGATTCGTCCAGTTGGCTCTACGGTCGATCCTTTCCTTCCTTTCTCTTCTCTCCCCGTCCACCTCCGGTGTACGTTTCCGTTCTCCCCCAGCTTCTCCCATCATTCCCTTCCCGTCGAGCCCCTACCATTCATTCCCTTTCCCTTCATCTCCTTCACGGCGCTGGCCATGAATTTGTGTCGCCGACGGCCCTCGCAGCCATAGTAAGTGCTTTCCCATATTATTTCAATCTTCGCCCTGCCCGCCCGCCCAATAGCCAGACACTAACTTCCTCTACAGATGGCGACTCTGCAGTGGATAGGTCATTTAGACCTACGGTTCAGGTCACTATCCATAAGCTCTTTACAGAGGCAACTTTGATATGGCGGACCTGATCATGGAAACTGTCAAGTACCAGTATGAGGAGATAAAGACTCCTGCTGCAGTGCTAGCCCTGTAATAGATAGCAACAGCGATGGAGGCTATGAAAAGGAGGATATGGAGATCCTCGAGGCGTCACAGTTGAGGACAACGGATTGGCGAAATGTGGCATGAGCCCATACGTGAGTCCCGCCAAACTCCCCCATAGGGCCCTCTCAGGCTAACAGACGCAGGCGTACATCATGAGCTCCGTTGTTGATGTTCGTGATATTCTCTCCGCTGAGGAGTACGAAGAGTACACAGACATCGCTTAGTTTGGTCAGAGGCACCATTCACTTCAAGTATGCACACGCTTCCCCACCCAAACTCAAGTTTCACTAGCTAAGAGTGGATGCACATTTAGTTTGGGATTTGGTCACCGCTTACCCGGTGGGCAATCCACAAAGACTCAATTCCCCGCATCCATCGCGCGCTCACCATCCGTGGTGCAAAAAGCTGCGGGTTGGGTGCGCAATGCGAATCCCAGCCATGAAAATCCCAGCCATGCAGTTGCTCGCGGCGAAAATGAGAAGAGACCGGTACATGCAGACGCCTATCATGGCGCGCTTGAAAGCCTGCGTGGCTTTAAAGCGACCTCGTGAACCCAGCCTCGCCGAGAGGAGAGATGCGATAAAAATATAGCGCGTTACCAAAGAAATACCAGATCGATGTGCCGTGCGCGCTGTTTGTTGTTTGGTATCGGGATCGCTTCTGTTTATTTCTGTTGCAGATTTACCGTTTCTGATCTTATCCAGGGGGAGGGCAAGGGGGGAATGGGGGCAGGAGAAGAAGAGAGCACGATAGGCAAAGACGAGCAAATGACAACACCTTGCGCGCTGCTTGTTCTTTGGCTTCGGGATGGCTTCTGTTTATTTCTGTTGGAGATTTACTATTTCTGATCTTATTCAGGCGGGGGAGGGCGGATGGGGGAGGGAGGAGAGTTGGGTTGTGGACAGTTGAGCTGCTGAAGTTGCTAATAGTTTTTTTGCAATTTATCCAATTATCCAATTCTAAACGGTTCCTTGGTTACATGGCTCTCAACAGAGCAGTTGGTCTGGTGAATTCTACGTACCCTGTTGGTTCAAGTCGGAATGTTACTCTTCGACAAAACTGCTTCATTTATCAGTTCTAAATAGTGTACCTTCGGCCGTGTGCAAGTTTTAAATGCTCTAGAGCACCAGTACATAGAAGCATAAGTATGCCAGGAAGCTGAGCACTCCCTTTCAATCACGGAGGTTTACTTTCACGATTTACTGTCAATTCTTGCCATGTCATGATGACTAGAGGGCACGCCTTTCTCTGAGTACAAGCGGGTCATCCAGATCATAGATGACCGTCACTCACCACAGTCTGATTCAATTGAGGCTTCGGTGGAGTGCCTGAAGAGTTATATACCACCGCAATTAGATTGTAATACTAGCTGGTACTACTTTGTGCAACGAATCCTGTATGTTAGCTTTACGTTCGTACTGCGTCAGCAGTACTACTGTTCTACTGGGTCTCCTAGGCGCCTCCTACCTACTTCAGCATCATGCCATTCATATACGTTATCATGAGATCCACCGCGGGTTGCCAGATCTTCGGTGTGGCCGGTTTTACCGGTTCTTTGAACTAGGCGAATTAAACAGGTTCTGTACGCAGTCCCCATTCTGGTTTGCGTTCTTCCATAGCCGCTTCACTGCAGTTCTATGTTCCAAAAATTGTTCGAACCAGTTTGCACTGCAATGTTGGCATGTCTACCGGCGTCTGGATAGGGTTTGAGAGTCGAGACGGTCAGAACCCAGTGGCAGCCCGGCAGGGCGCAAGCAGAATAAATTGATGTTCTCTCTCTCGCACGGTGAGGCTGTCAAACAACTGGTGCTCGGGACCCTAGTTGCAGGCTACAGTACATCAGTTTGCAGCCTTGCACTTCCTCCGTAGCACGGACGGGCGGAGGCAGATCGATGCCCAGCTTGGTGGGGGACGAGACAAGGAGACAGCGGGTGAGCCTTCCGAACAAGGTAACTGGGCAGCTTCTTCTGTAGACGATGGGAAGGCAAGACATGAAGATGGGCCGATGCGGTCAACGCGCTCTGGGAATCCGTAGGTTCTTAGTCCGACTGTGATGGCGGTCCTGGTGGGGTCTATTATATCAGGGGGTAGTCGGATGGCGGTAGGCAGCCAGGTTTCAAACTCCAATTCGTGCATAGAGGTATGCTCGAACTTTTGAATCAGGTTCCAGCATGCCGATGCATCCAAAGTCATAAAGCCCGCCGTAGCCACCAAGCTCCTGATAACCCGTGAGATCAAATCAGGCGGCACGTGAACAGTGTGCAACCCCGGTAGCGACGGGATGCCCCAGACCTAGAATGTGACCACACTTTTGCCGACCCCACAAGACCCACACACGACCACTTGCTCCTCTCCTTCATCTCCTTCATCTCCTTCATCTCCTTCATCTCCTTCCTTTCCTTCCCCTCAACAACATCATCATCCACATCACGCCACCGTGCGATATTCCTATTACTCAGCTTACTCTCTACGCCCGCATGCGGTGAATCGGTTCTTTTCTGCGTTCAACATTCGGCTTCGAGCAATAGTGACGAACAACCCCATATGATTGAATGCAGTGGACCTTCCTCTCCCTGCTCTCCCTTCTCTCCATCCTATCTTTCCTCATCTTCCCTCTGAACTATTCGGATACGTCATGTAAGTTAGATATCTTTCCTTCCCATCTTTTTTTATCTCTGCCTGCCCGAGAGCTAGATACTGACTTCCGCTACAGACCGCGAAGCAGAACGATGCGGTTCGGTTTCTTGGCCATTGACCAAATTACCTCGCGGCTCGAATGGAGGTCTCACTGAAAACAGTGGAGTTGGTTTGGTCGGAGGCACCATTCACTTCAAGTATGCACCCGCTTCCCCACCCAAACTCAAGTTTCACTGGCTAACAGTAGATGTACACTTAGTTTGTGATCTGGTCACCTCTTACCTGGGGAATTTACAAAGACTCAATTCCCCTTATTCGTCGCTTTCTCTCGCTCGTCCGCACCGCAGCCATATATTTGGCCTGCCCTGCAATTAATATGGCGATGGACTCCTTCATCTGTCCTGGCGAATACAGAAGCCTCAATGCAACTCGCGGTCATCTGCGAGTTGCTTTGATGCTCAATCGCACCTGGACCCTTGGCGAACTGATGGAGACGGTCACATTCGGAATATCTTATTCGGAGCTCGCTCGAGAGGATGCGGAGTATCAAAAAGCCGACCAAACCACTTGACTATTGCGGGCGCACCATCAGTGGTGCAAAAAAATGCGGATTGGGTGCGCAATGCAAATCGAAAGCCTGCTGAGGCTTCAGAGCGATGAGCGGTGGAAAGCAGTAACATGCTCCATTTTAAACGACCCTAGCCTCGACGAGAAAAGGGAGGGGGAAAGAAGACAGCGCGAGGGAAAGGACGAACAAATGACATACCTTGTGCGCTGTTTGTTCTTTTGTTTCGGGATAGCTACTGTTTGTTTTCTGTTGGAGATTTACTGTTTCTGATCTTATTCAGGCGGGGGAGGGCGGATGGGGGAGGGAGGAGAGTTGGGTTGTCGACAGTTGAGCTGCTGAACCTGCCAATAGTTTTTGCAATTTATACAGTTATCCAATTCGAACCGGTTCCTTCTTTAGTTTGCTCGTAATAGTGAAGTTGGTGTGGTGGATTCTGTGTAGATATTTCCAGTTGATTGGAATGTTACTCTGCAAAAAGAAAGGTACAGCGGTTCATACTGTATGACTCGATCCATCTTCTCCACCCGAGAAATTCTGACGGTGACTCGGTGAGGCCTAAAGCGCGATCCCGGGTGCAGCACATCGAGTTGATCATCCTCCCACCAGGGACGGACGAGCAGATGCACAACCTGATCGGGAACGAAACAGTGAGACAGTGAGCGAGCCGTCCGGATAAGACGACTGGTCACTGCGCGGCTTCTACTGTAAAGGGCGAGAAGACAAAGACATGAACATGAAGATACGGGCGGATGCGGTTGATGGCGTTTGCGGAATGGGTGAGTTCCTGCGCCGGCTGGGATGGAGGTGGGGTCGGGCTGGCGGTGGTAGAGATGATAGGCGAGTGGAGGCTGGCATTCTCGTTACGTGCACATGGAATCTTCTTTTTCTTGATAGGATCTACAATCTATTGGATGCCCCGCGGTAGGGAGGATGAGAGACGGGGTTGCGATACTAGTCACTTATCTGGACCGTGGACAGACAGCGGTCCTGGAAAAGGTATGCCGCAATAGGTAGTCTAAATAGGCTGAGTGCGAGTATGATCAAACAAAAACGTGGTATCCAACACGCATGATAACCCTAGACTTCATCATAACTATCATCACCTTCTACCTACAGTTTCGCCTTTACATGATCCCTCGCTGCCAACTCCCTAAGCGCCTTCTTCAGAATCTTCCCCGACGCGTTCTTTGGCACGGCCTCCAAGAACACAACGCCACCATCCAAACGCTTATACTTAGCCAGCTTCTCGGCAGCCCAATCGTATACCTCCTTCTCCGTGAGCTCCGTTCCAGGGCGCTTCACAACATACGCCCTCGGCAGCTCCTCGCCGGCGGGGGTAGTAATACCTATCACTGCCGCGTCGATGATCCCCGGGTGCTGTAGGAGCACCCCTTCGAGCTCGGGCGGAACAACTTGGAAGCCGCGGACCTTGATGAGTTCCTAACAGCGGGCACTTTCCGTTAGCGAGTATTCTGGGGGTAGGTGAGAAGGGTGGCTGGGGCGGGAGGGGAGGCGAGGGGAGGGGAACCTTTTTCCGATCGACGATGTACCACTTCTTCGTTTTTCCATCGCAGTACATGATATCGCCAGTTTTATAGTACCCTTCGTGGTCAAAGGACTCCTTGTTCGCCGCGTCGTTCTGGTAGTACCCCTGGAACACCGTTCTTCCACGGACCCACATCTCGCCGGGTTTATTGTACTCGCGGATCTCGGTGCCGTCCTCGTCGACAAGCTTCGCCTCGACGCCGGGGACCAGGTAGCCCACACTTCCGGTCTCGTCGTGCTCGCCGGCCCAGAAGCGTGTCGCGATGCAGGACGTCTCCGTCATTCCCCATACCTGTGTTGTTGTTGCGTTTGGCGGCAGTAGCTCCGAGTAGCGGCGCTGGAGATCCAGGCCGAGGGGCGCAGCGCCGGATGCGGCGGCGCGGGCGGAGGCGAAGCACGCTCGCTTGACGAGGGGCGACATGACGAAGGCCAGGATGATCGGGGGTACGACGGTTTGCTCGGTTACGTAGAAGAGCTCGCACGTGCGGAGATATAGGGCCATGTCGAAGCGTCGGAGGATCGTGGTGCGGCCTCCCCCACGCAGGGGAGTAATGTGTGCTGCGGGCACGCAGGCGGCATGGAACATTGGGAGTGCAAGACAGTATGTTGGTTCGTAGGAGCGTGGCTTGTAGTCCTGGACCACTGTGTGCTGGGCGACGAAATTTCGGTGGGAGAGGTTGGCGGCTTTGGGCAGGCCAGTGGTGCCAGAGGAGAAGAGGCGCATCGCTGTAGTGTCTCGTGCTGCCTCAGCGCCATGAAAGCGGACCCAGTCTGTTTCGCCGCGGGTGAGGAGGTCTTTCCAGGACTTGTAGCCGGCTGGAACGCCCTGTTGGGGAAGGTTATCGAATACCCAGTAGTTCGCTGCCGGAATGCCGCAGGCGTCACCAGCGGCGCGGATGGTGGAGAGAATCTCGGGCTCGACTACGATGAAGCGCGCGGAGGAGGCGCGTATATGGTGTGCTAGCTCTGACGTTGTATACGATGGATTGGAGCCCGTCCAGACTCCACCAGCGGCGATGGTTCCCAGGACGATTAGTGGGTAGTTGATCTTCGGAAGTTAGCAAATGCCCATGTAGTGTCAACGGACGAAACTGACATCGTTGAAAGAGTGAAGCAGCAGCGTATCCCCTCTCTTCAATCCCGCATCCTTCAATCCCTTCGCAATCTTCCGAATGATTTCTCGACATTTTACGCCTGTGAGGGTGCGGGAGGTATCGTTGGCGGAGACGAATATCTGCCTAATATCAGCATAGTTCCACACAAAGTAGCCAATTCCCAGAACGCACGATCTTTTCCAGGTCATATATCGGCTTATCAAACATCCACGAGAGGAGGTCGGTATTCGGAACATCGATCTGGCCTTCCGGCTGGAAGAAACCAGGCGCCATGGCTGAGATCGTGGTCGAGATTGGATCGAAGGAGGAAGTGCCTGAGAAGACACGGTTTACGTTCTGTGCGGCTCGCCGTGATCAATGTGTGGGGGAGGAAGTCCTTAAAGCTGTTCGGGAAGTGCGGTGGATATCCTATTTACTTGGTTGTCCAATGGTCAACTAGGAAACCCCAGCAAGCGGGCAGCAAGTGGAGAGTGCATGCAGCATCCATTCGAGCTGCAAGAACGGAGAGTTGCGGTTTAACTGCTCTCGGCACCCAAGATCCCGTTATGCAGAGTGTATCTAGGAATCTTGGATGCTCACAAAATTCACGTTCACCCAAGCGATTCTCATCCTCGGCTCGCTTCTCCCGGCACCAGTCTGCTTGATCCGAGCCAATCAAGTAGATGCTTCTCTTGATCCAAGAACCGTGGGGCGGAATGCGGGGAAGCCGACACCCGGCAGCACTGGGCTAAGCGAGGAGGATGGTGATCTGGGTCTTATCGAAGAGCCGTTTCTCGGTCACACTGCTTGCTCGAATCGTCACACCGAATGCGTTATCGAAACTCTCGTGGTTGGGCTGACGACGCGTAAAGACGATGGTGATGAAGGAGCTTGCACGCGGTCTGTGCCGCTGTACTCTATGTGATGCTGACCTCAATCCATAAAGACGAAGAATCCCGGCAGATTGGCGCTAGATGGAATGCCGTAGGTTCGGAGTTAGAGCACTTATTTTGGCCGTCGCGACGCGCAAGGGTGGACTGGTCACTGGAGGTGGCGGGGGAATTTCAGGATCGTCAACCCAACGGACCTCGGAGGATTGCTGATGCTGGAGTTGAGAATTCGAAAGAGCCTGAAGTGAATGCAAGTGGAGAGTCTGGCGATGAGGACGGTTGACGAGGTCGGTTCCTTCGCGGGGAAGGCCACACGTGCAGTCTAACCCCGCAGGGCTGGACCGATTACATCTCACATGTTTAGCGATCAAGGTTCGGCCTTTCTTCGTCCCATCCACATCTCCACCGCAACTACGCGACAACTCCGACATCACCAATCACCAGCCGCCTGGCATCGCTCGTCCTTAAAATTCCGTCCGACCTGCTGCATGCACAGGCCGATGTGAAACGTCTCACGCGATGCACCGTGATCTGTCCTACCAGAGAAGCTTCTTCACTTGAATCTACCACGCGTCGGGACTTGTCTCGGCTCCCAAGTCAGACGAAATCAAGCCGTGGGACCAGTGTTTCACCAGTTCTTTACCTAGGTACCACTCGCCGATGGATTTTGCCGTTTCCACCCTAAAGGTCCTCTTTTCGGCTCAACGAGACGGAAAGACGTGCTGACGAAATGCCTACATGAATAGTTACCGAAGCCGAGGAAGCCGCATGTCGCCGCACGAATCATCCGTTCTACCGCTCTACTCCACCTCTGCATTGATCCCTTCTCCTCCGCGCACCGCTCGGACGAATCGATCGAGACGTGCATACGACGAATACACGATGCCACGAGCGAGACGGGCAAGCGAGAGTAAGACCCAGCGATTGCAACCTCCGGTCCTCCCCACCTGCTGCAGCTTCTCATGCGGGGTCTACGGCCCAGGACTTCTCGACCGGGGCCACTTGCTATCGTGATTAGAAGAGGGTCGTGCTCGTATTTATTCTAAATTTCTCCCTGTCATCACCAGACAGACGTCACCTTCAGCAGTTCACAGATGCGCGAATTGAATTATTCGGTCGGAAAGCCTGTCATTGCAGTGGATTTGAGCAAAGATCGGATCGGACTCATGGGCAAGTGATGGCGAATCAGGCTATGAGTTTTCCATGGATGAGGTGAGCAACCAATGCGATAATTTTGGAACCGAGACTAACAAATTCTACAGCCTATAAAATTTTCCGAACGAGTTGGAGAGCGAGTGCAGTACCCAACGCAGACCCGACCTCGAGAACGATCCGGAGGATATCCTTTCTCGCCCCGTGCGTGCCTATTCGACAGCATTATTCATGCCGTGACGACCACTATGACAACAGACTACAGTCCATTTCTCCGCTTTGAATGGGTGCTTGTTGCAGCGGAAAGTGTCCAGGAACATCGGAGTCTTCATCACGGGGTTTACTTGCTGTTCTTCTTCGAGGCGCCTTACGGTACGATCATCGGACGATCATCGGACGCGTTCGAATAAGTCACGGAGAGGTGTTCATCTTGTCCTAATCGCTACATTATCCTGCAAATCGCGCAAATCGGACGCGTTACGTACCCGCAAGGTGTGCACCAAGGAATGCAACTCGTACACGTTCTCGAAACACGGGAATCTTCACCGCCGAAGAGAACCGTCAGCACTTCGGTTCAGCCCTCAGTCCACACTGTTTTGTCATCTTTCTCCAGACGATCCAGCCGAAAATCACGACAGAAATCCACCTATGCCTACCAGCCAGATCCTTGTTGGAGCGATGGAAGCGAGGTCTATTATCCGCAATGACGGCTAGGTGGCTGGTCGGTAAATTATTTGGGACGCGGTGATAGTGCGAGGATATCCATCAGGAGGTTCGGAAGGAGACCAGTCCTCCTGTGGAGAGTTGCCCGCGGGAGGAGTGGAAGTTATCAGGAGATTCGAACGGAGACCAGACCTCCCGTCGAAGGTTTTCCGTGGGAGGAGTGGGAAGTTATCAGAAAGTTCGGAAGGAGACCAGACCTCCCGTCGAAGGTTGTCCGTGGGAGGAGTGGGAAGTGGCCGTCGCGCGACGGGTGATTAGGCCAGGCTAGAGAAACAATGCAATTGCCCCTCTCTCGTACTCCTTTGGAATCTACCGAAGAATACGAAGGAGTCTAAGACATCTCGTACCCCGCACTGGATTTTGAGAACAGATGGGGCATATGTCTTCCTGCGATGTGTCTGACTTGTCTCAATATTGGAGAGAATTTGGATGCATAGCGCGTAGGTTTGCATCAAAAACGGACAACCAATTCTCGGCTCCAACGGCAACCATGAGGAGACAACTATCGGCCATGCCATAAGCAGCACACGACGTCACAGAAACTCCACTTTCTGTTCTCCGTATAGTTTTTTCTTTTTTGCTTCCTATACAATGAAGAACCATGGCTCGGGTCGGCTCGGTCTGTCAGGGGCACCGTTCAGCCTAGATCCGCGCTACCCCGGATTATTGTCCCCCGAGAACCTCGCGATATTCATTAATATGATAAAGTGGGCCAATTTGGGGATATACCCGGGTTTGGCTACACGTATAAAGGCGCGGGCGCGGGACTGAAACACAATGAGCAACTCAACTTCACTGCCCATAATGAAGGTTCTATTTCCATTGCTTTGGCTATCCGCCGTCGTTTCTGCTGCTGCTCCGACCCTTGTGGTGCACAATAACGGCACCAATGGTGAGTTTTCGACGACTATCAGTAATGATGTGATTTCGATGCATGTGGGACGACAATATGGTGGATACTCTCATCGAACCTCAATTGATCGTATATCGCTAATATCAATGCAGGAACCAAACTCATGTACAAAGGCGAAGACCTTGTCAAGAATGCTACCGGTGCTTATGGTAGTTATGGTAATTCGCCCGTTACATGAGATTGAAGACGGGAAGACTAACATCTCGCGGCCGGACGCTATTACGACCTCAACTACACCTCCGTCACAATCACCTCGCGCACCTCGCGCATGCTCGACGTCGCCTACACATCGAAGGAGGGTGATATTCACTTTGTTCTTTTCACTGGCCTCTCTGGCTTCTACTCGTATTTCGTCAACACTGCCTTAGGCGTACAAGGTGCGTCCTCTCTCCCAGCCCTATCTCCAGCCGTCACTAACATTCCATCCAGGCGAATTCCGCACTCTCTACCGCCTCACCCCGGAGCTCTTCCCAAACGGCCGAACCTACCTCAAAGACGCACCCCTCCCCTTGTTCGAAACCATCCTCACCTCCCCCTCGGTCCAAGATGAAACCTGGCAAGCCCCAGACGGTACCTACATCACCAAATACGACAACTCCTTCTTCGTCCGCCAGTCGGATTTCTACGGCGTGTACGGTCCCACTGTCGGTGCATGGATGATCAACCCGGGCAAAGACTACCTCAATGGCGATCAATTAAAGCAGGAACTCAGTGTCCACCGCGAGAGCCGAACAAATGACGCAGTGCTGTTGAACATGCTCCACGGCACGCACTTCCAGGGTGCGTTCTCGGACGTGATCCCTGTGGGAAAAGTGTTCGGGCCATGGTTGGTGTACATCAACGATGGCAGCGTAGCGGACGCGGCAAAGGTGGCGAGGGAAGAGGAGAAGAAGTGGCCTTACAGCTGGCTCAAGGACGAGAAGTACCTTTCGCGGGGAACGGTCGAGGGCCGCTTAGTTCTCGCCGACGGGACGCCCGCTGCCGGAGCAGCCATCTTCCTCGGCGACGAGGGCCGGACGATCGCGCAAGGCACGACATTCCAGTACACCACCAACGCATCCGCCTCGGGCTACTTCAGCATCCCCAACGTGCGCACCGAGAAGCAATATACCCTGCAAGCCTGGGGTAACGGCGGCAAGCTCGCGGGCGTGACCACCGTCTTCTCCAAGAGCAACATCACGCTCTCTGCCGGCAAGCGACGGAATCTGGGAACACTCAAGTGGACGCCGCAGCCCCGCAAATCCCTGTGGCGCATCGGTGCGTTCGACCGCAAGGCCACTGGCTTCAAGCTCGGCGGCTTGCCCTACACCCACGGCCTTGTCGATGGCTGCCCCGGAAACTTGACGTTCACTATCGGCGTCTCGAGCGAGCAGGAGGACTGGTGTTTCGGCAAGTCCGCGGCTGGGACCTGGAGCGTTCTGTTCTCCGCCAATACCGTCGCCGCCAACGCGTCCTCCGTGCTCACCGTCTCCCTGGCAGGTTACAGCGGCAGTGGCACGCGCATTGGCGGTGTCGGCAGTTCGCTCGAAATTTCCGTCAACGGCGTCAACGTGGGGGATAACGCCACGCCGCTCGGTGGGAATGATCCGGGACTCTACAGGAGTGCAACGTCGGCAGGCGAGTGGAGGTATTTCGAGTGGGCTCTGCCAGCCGGTGCATTGAAGCAGGGAGATAACGTCGTCGACTTTACGATAGTCACCGCAACTAGGTGGAGGGGCGTTATGTGGGATGCTGTCATGTTGGAGCAGAGCTAGGTAGGGTGAGATTTCGTGAGGGGCGCATGAGCTGGAGGAATGGGAATAAATAAGCAATGGTAATATGATGTAGCATTCCCAGCATATATGATATGCGCAACGAGAACAATTGTGTGACTGTCTTTCTGTCGTGAAATTGCCACCACTGCTCTACCATGCAGTATAAACACGTGCCGTAGCCATTTCGCCACCCACACCGCATGCACTCCTCCATCACGAGCCACGAGAATCAGCATTAAACAGCCACAGCAGGCAGGTGGATCTATTCGCATTACTCTGGCCAGATATCTACCACATACCACATCCCCATCCCGTCCGTGTTCGCCCCACTCGGTTCTTCGTTCCGTGTCGGATACCTTGGTACTTGGTACGGCGCAAACAGAAAAGCAAATCCTCCACACTTTTTCGTTTTTCTTTTCCGCCTCCTCGACTGCAGGGCAGGTTACAGGTAGATACATAATACGTACATATGTACCAAGTAACTACTCTACATAGGAGGCATGTATTAGGTACCTTCTAGATCTGCTCTATGAGTACCGTACCTATGTTGCATCGCAGCCCCTTTACCCAGGTCCCCACCCGCACCCGCACCCGCACCCGCACCCGCCCCCAACTCTCAACCCCACAACACAAATCCAGTCTCCACCTTCGATTCTCGCGGCGGTCCATCTTCAGTGTTCAGTGTTCACGGCGATCAAGTCACAGTACAGTGCAGTGAATAAAGTGAATACAGCATAACCCTTCTTCCAGGCTTCTTCTATTATGGTACATCCAGTTACCTCTAGTCAACTTCCACGATTACACTGTTCCAACTTTCAAGCTCTAACTTCCAACTTCCAACTTCCCGCCACCTGTAGCACCTACAGTAGCATAAGCCCCTATGGGCCATGGGCCATCAGCCCTGCCCTCCTCCCGAACAAAAAAAGAAATCATTACGGCCATATTGTGCTAAGTGAACTCCGGAAACGAGACAGACCCCTCCCAAATACAAAACGAAAAGGAAAAAAAGAAAGGAAAAGGAAAAGCAACAGCAGAAGCTCCACAAAAAGGAAAAAAGGAAAAGGAAAAGGAAGAGAAAGATACATGCAAAAGTCCGAAACTCCTCCCAAACGAAACGAAAGCAAAAGACACACAGTGCACACACAAAAGGATAGAAAAGAGAGAGTGGATTCGATGATGATGAAAAAAAGACAAAGCAGAATAGAAGATGTCGCCAAAAAAACAAATGACTGTGTTGCGCTGGGCGACAGAGCGGCGGGAGATGAAATAATGGTGGAAATGAGAAACGCGATCTTCAGGGCTCGGCTCGGCTCGGCTGCGCTGCGCTAGGAAAAAAATAGAGTTGGAAAGTAAAAAATAGATGTTTTGTGATGAGCGAACGTCCGGACGTCGGCGTCGGCGTGGGCGTGGGCGGTAGGAGGCCCAGGCGCGGTGAACGGACCTTTTGCCGTTCCCCAAATTCGATCCCGCCGCGATGTGGTATGGTGTGGTATGATGTCGCGTGAAGTAGAATGAGACGAGAGTCCGTGACGAGAAGGGATAAAAAAAATGTCGAGAAGTGAAGTCTTTTTTGTTGGTGGGTGCCGGATTCGGATACACCACCGCGCTCACGGCTCATGCCTCATGGCTATGGCTTGATCGCCACACTGGTCGTCGCTTCCTTCGCATGTTTCCCCGACCTCCCGAACCTAAATGTTGCCTTCCAAAATGACTGGAACTGCACGAACCCAATCTTCTTCTTCTCCTTTTGCTGGGTAGAGGCGGCACCAGAAGCCGGGGACCCCGTAGACTCCTGTACGATCATTCCCTTCGGCAGCGGCGGCAGCGGGCGATTGATTGAGCTCCCAGAGGAAGATCCGGATCCATGAGCTGTCCTCGGCCTCGGGAACAGGCTGAGTCTCCGGTCCGCCGGCATGCTGCCGCCTGACGCCGTCTTCCCATGTCCCGTCTTCGGCCGATCGGTCATGGGCGGCGAAGGCGTCTGTCGTTCGTGGCTGAGCCCGGTTTTTGGACGCTCGATGGAGGCAGTGTGCTCATGCTGCCCCAGGCCGGTCTTCGGTCTCGGGGCGGGACTGAAGCGTCCCGTGGGTGCAGGACTGAACCGGCCCAGGGTGACGGCGGAATCTCGGCGTTCGCCGCCGGGGGTCGGCGGCATCGAGGAACGGACGGTGCATGCGGTGCGCGGGCGACTGGGCGAGGGGAGGACGTCGACGAGGGTGGGCTTCGCGAGGAGGAAGGCCGAGGCGCGGTCCGGTATGGTGGCCGTCTTCACGATCGAGCCTTGCTCAACCCGGCGGATTTCGATCTGGCTGGCACGCAAGTTGGCGTCTTTGCGGACGGCGAAGACGGCTGAGTTGGGTGGTGGGGTGTGCGTGGCGGACCGGGGTGGGTGTGATGGTGGTGGCAGCGGCGAGAGCGGGAGGGTCGGGGACATGGTGCGGCCGGAGAGAGCGGAGTGGCTGCGTTCTCGGTCGTCGATGACCGCAGCGGCGACGACGGAGGGGCGGCGGGCTTCGGAGTCGTTGCGTTTTGCTTTGGGAGGGTTGAGTAGCAGGAGGGAACATGATTTGCGGAGTTCCCTTTCTGTCGCTGGGTCGAGCGGCGGGATTATGGGCTGGTTGTAGTCGGATGTTGACTCGAAGTCGGTCTGCTGCATTGTTGGTCAGTTTGGGGAGTTACTTTGGCCACGGTGCGATGTGAAGGAGGAGCTTACAATCGGCGTCGGCCGTGATCCTGCTCTTTGTCTCATTGTGGGATGCGTGTATGATTATCTGCGACGGGAATGCTAGTATGGTGTATGGTACGATGTCGTATGGGTGTGGAGTGTTGTGGAAAACGGGATAACAGTTCGGAATCAACATGGCTCGAGTAGGGGGTGCCTCAAAGATTAAATAGATACACCTACAATCGACAGTTCGTCTGGCCCCCCTCCTCCTCCACCTCCACCTCCTGCTCCACCGCCACCACCACCACCACCTCATTCGTTTCTGATCTGCACGATTGGCAGCCACCCACTCACGGCCCACACCGCCATCGTACGGTGGTGGTGGAACAAGTTGTACCAGTACATTCGTAGCGTGGAGGGTCCGTAGTGTGTGTGTGAGGCCGGGGTTGACGCAAATTGGCGGGGAAACGGCCTAAGCGGAACACAGTTAACCCACCACGAACTGTCCTTCCTAGTTGGTGGTGTCAACAGCGTGGATAGACACGAATCTCGTTTGTTCGGAGGTTCCTGTTCATGAACGAGATCTTCAAAGGGGCTGCCTGCCCGACGTGACCGTGACCGGCGCACCCTGATCTTCAAAGGGGGAAGGGTCCTCCGCTCCACACGAGCAGTCAATCAATGTCACTGTCACTTGTCACTATTGCGTGGGCTCGACGATAGATGGAGTGTGTACAGTGTACTCATGTAGGTACATATTGCAATCTATGGACTCCACCGGACGGTGTAGGGTGAGGTAAGTACCGTAAGTACTTGGGTAGTTAGGTACTATCGAGTGGACGTTTCCCGCACCCGGTACCTGCACTTGATCGCGATCGATATCGTGAGATTCCGCAGTTCACGTTAATCTATAATCCATACCGACCTCGCCTCGCCTCCCAACCGCTGAAGCGCCCTTTGGCATCCCGTACCCTATCTCGCTCTGCCTCTCCTTTTCCTGCGTCCTCCAATCGCAATGGGTATATCGTGTCGGTAATCGCAAAGGTATGATAGTAGTTACCAGCTTCCCTTCCCTTCCCTGGCGTAGGTAGGTATGTACATACCGTGCGGTATAACGTGGTTTTCTTTTCCCAACTATTGCATCGTGAACCTGCCTACCTCCATACCCCCATACCAGCTTGTCGGCTCCCCTTCCATTTCCTTGTCGTATCGTATCGTACTTCAACCCTTGGTCCCACACAAGCCTGGAGCGTGCGTGCGAGGCGACTCCGAAGATGTGCCCGCAGGAGTGCAGCAAGTATGTATCGACATGGTAGAGTACTCGGGTGTGAGGGAAAGTCGTGCACCACCATCACTACCAAATGTCACTTAATGGGGTGCACCACTTACCCTTACACCCATGTACAGATGTTCGCCATGCAACATTACTGGAAGCTGACTGCTGCTGCTGCCGCTCGCAACTAATCGGTAGTTAATGCGAAGTATGTAACTATCCATCGCACAGTGTTCCTGCACTTCCCTATGTACCTGCATCCACCCAGCAGCATCCAAATTCCAGTCTTTTCCCATCATCAGCAAGACGGGACGAAGAAACAACTGGTTGTCTGAGACTCGCGCTCGTCGTATGATATGATAGGTAGCCGTACCAGTACATAGGAAGCCACCGCAAAAAGGGGGTTGCCTCCCCACGGAAGGGAAGCCTCGGTCTCTCGGCACCGCCGGGGTCGCTGCAGCATGACGGTGATCTTCTTTGGATGGTCAACACCGCCATTTCCGTCCGTCTAGTTAGGTGGTTAGTGCATTCAGGGACCGGCGACCGCCCGTGCTGTTGCCCAACAAGCACCGCGCCGCTGCTAGCTATCGGCACGAGAAAGACAGCCAAACGAAAGCCTCCCCTCCCCCGTCCTCTCGCTCTGGCAGGGTCGCAGTGTCGCAGAGTCGCAGCTCACACACACCACACACTTTCGATTTTGTCGCGCGCCCGCGACCGTAAGTGCAAGTTCGCGTCTTCGATCCTGCATTCTCCGTCGTCGCCGGTGATGGAGCTCGCCAGTGGCCATTTCTGCAAAAAGCAACGAGAGAGAGAGATTGCGTTCAGCTCCTGGGGCCTGCCTGGAAGGCTGGAAACTGTGGAGCGCAGGTCGCAGGATGCAGGGACGATTTCGATCGGGACGTGACCGTGCAGTGGGCACTGGGCACTGGGCACTGGGCATCATACATATCATCATATAAACGCGGTTGCGGCGTCCAGCAGCAGCAGCACTGAGCAGCAGTAGACTGATAACGAAACGAAACGAGGAGTTCGAGGACCCTCCCTCGACTAGCAGAGTATCACACGACACGCTAGAGGCTAGTTAGCTGGAGTTTTCAGCTAAAACATTCCGAGCCCCACCGGCGCTGGCTGGCCAAACAAAAAAAAAAGAGGAGGGAATCCCTCAGCTGACAGCTGCACCATCATAATTTTGCTCAAAGTGGATGGCGAATCGGGTATTTACCTATCGCAACTGAGAAGCCTTCCTATTCTCTGCAGTTCGTCCGATGAGGCGACGAGGCGTGCATGTGCATCATGTGCGACTTCGAATCTGCGACTTTCGATGGCGAAAACTAAAGACCAGAAACCAAAATCTAGAGTATCGAGTCGGGTCCGTCTTCGTCCCCGTCCTCTAGAGTCGCTTCCTTCTCAAATCTCTCTCTTGGACACCCAAGAGACAACCGTAGGTCCATAGCAGCAGCTGGTGCAGAAGTGGATTTGGATGTGGAGAATGTGGATTTCCGTTTCCCCCGCCCGTTCAAAATTCGAATTCGCCGCCTCCAGTCCGGTTTTAGCCACTCCCTGGAGAGACTGGAGTCCAGAGCGCAACCACCTACCCCAGAACCCTGGCGTTTTTGTAGGCGAGCTCAAAGGTTCATGTCCCTCCCACCCCTCCCCCCGGACACATCCAGGTTAAACCATTTTCCCGTTCTCGCTCTGCGATGCCAATCCAATCCAATCCTCACGGCGGCGGCGCGGGTTCCGATGTATGTACCAGTACACATGAATACATTCTGTTTCGGAAAACTCATGTATGATGTATCCATCCTTAACGGAATCGGAGGCATGAAGAATGGAGGTGTCTCTCGGAGTCGCATGCAGGAAATTCAATGTGCTCGTCCGCCCCTCTTCCCCAACGGCGGTTGGTACGGTATCCAGCATGGACATGTGTGTGTCCCTTCTGACGCTGCAGCCGTCGGTTTGACATGTCCGCCGCCGCCGCCGCCGCCGTCGCCGGCGCACAGACGTATGTCGAGTAACGGAATGGAAGGACGGCGAGGAATGGGCGGTGATGTTTCATGTTCATTGAAATTCATGTGCATGCGTATGTACATCAAATGTACAACCATCCCATATTATCGAGACGTAACGGCGCTGGCGCAGGAGCAGGAGTTGCGAACAATGTGCTGTGCTGTTCCGAGCAAATGTGGCGAATACATACCTGTTTATCTTTCCGTGGCACAGGCACGGGCGCAACCAGTCATCATCTTTCAATTCTCTTGCTCCTTGAAGCCTCACGAGCGCGTGGCCATTGAAGCACACAGGCAACGCGCCGAGCTGCATTTTTCATGTTGAGTAGGTACATACCTCTGCGGGGGTAGAAAGAAAAAAACGGCCACCCGTCCGGGCGCAAGCCTGGCATCATGGCATGCCGTGCGGCAGCCCAACAGTTTCCTCAGATCGGGCGGCAGCCGTTCGCGTTACCGTTACCGTTGCCCGTTGCCCGTTGTCGAGATAGATAACGAACTGCGTTCCGCAGAGGGAGGGAGAGGCCCCACGTGCACGAATCGTAGGCAAATCGTTTCCCTCGATGGTTCCTCACGATACCGCAGATACGGACCAGCGCCGAAGAAGTGCAACGGTGGAGTAATAGCTTACTAGTTGCTTGGTTAGCGTAAACTCGCTTTTAGCATAGCACGTTTTCCAGGATTCCCCGGATCTGTGTGGCGAACACACCTGTGATGCAGACATATATATGACGAATGAACGAACCCCAGAGATCTCGCGTCCATACACACTCTAGATCCGCCGAAGAGGATGGATAGGTATGTAGGCAGGTAGGTATCGCTGATTTCTAGCCGTGGGGCTGGCTGTTGCCAAGTGCTGTCAAATGTCAAATCACGTACATATTTAGGGTCTGACTTCAAAAGCTTCTTACGTTTTGTTTCCCCAAGGCAACGGGGAGGTGGATGATTCTCCTTCGGCCCGGTCGGTCTAGGAAAGTACCTAGAGTACCGTTTGCTGGCTTTCCCGAACGCCCACTTCGGCCCAGCAGTACCGTATAATCTCGGATATCGGTTTGCTTTTTGAAATGGATCTAACGCGATGAAGCGCGCTAAAGTGAAACCGGTTAGCGCCGGAGCGGCAACAGAACATCAGTTGCGGCTGAATCTGCTGAAGCATCGTGGGAATGGTCGATGTAGAGCTTTGTAGTACATCCTACAGAGACTAAGTCGATAGAAATCACAGAAATAATAATGGAGAACAACGAGATCACCTTTCCTACGAAAATAGCACACACCGACAGTCATATCAGAATTCGCAGCTCTTGTTCTTACGTCTATGGTTGAAGATGCTCCTGACAACAACGACAGAAATGAAGACAACAATATGGGACTGATCTCTCGCCAAAGATGTCTACGGGAACAGTGGGCACGCTTCTGACAGACTCGGTGGGCGCGTCCTCAGCAGCATGCTTGGTGGGTGCGCTCCCGGCAGGCTCAGTGGCGCGTTCTTGCCAGGCTCAGTGGGCGCGTTCTTATCAGGCTCGGCCGTTGCGCTCTCGGCAGGTTGAATGGTGTGCTTTTGACAGATTCGGTGAGCGTGCTCATGGAAGGCTCAGTAGGCCTATCCTCAGCAGGCTCAGCGGTCACTCTCTCAGCGCGCATGGGAGAGATGTCTGTTCCAGTTGAACGAGTATTAGCCAGAAGAAGAAAGCGACTGGAAGGAGTAGGTGGGCAGTATCTGATTGTAGAGCTGTTTCCTAACATCAGCAATTTGAAGATGATGATGTTGTGGCAGTCTGCTGGAGAGACGAGTTCTGAAGTTGGGTTCTGTGCATGTGGAGAAACATCACGGGCAATTTGCGCTAGTGATTTTGATACTGACTTAGCGCCAAGTGCTCCAAAACCGGCGCATAACGACGCAAATCAGTTAGAGCGGACTCTAAGCCTGCGTGAAACGGCGCTAACCACTGACAAAAAGCGAACCGATATCCGAGATTATATGGTAGTTAGTCCGACCACGGAGGTTCGCCGAATGGGAAGCGATCTGCAAATAGCTGTTGCAAGTGTCGACCGACCCCTCGCGCCAGCAAAGTCCACAGATGAGGCATTACATCATGCGCTTATGGAAGTAGATTTCACTGTCGACTTCGGCCACTTGCACTCGCGCACATATGATTTCCGTCGTTCTTTCCGCCTGGTGATTTCCTTCTTCCGGTTGTTTTTCGCTCGGCACCACAGTTTAATCCCGATGATGAATTCGTGAGTCGTGCTGGCTTCGAGCAATCTTGGAGTGAGGTAGGTATCTAACACTCCGGGACCGGTTCAATGCTGATCGCGCCCGAGTGAAGACGGCCGAATACCCGTGCTCCGCTAGCCGTCGCAACTCGGTCGACAGTTCTCGTTCATGCTTTATCACATGACTCGAATCCAGATACCGAGTGTCCTGGCCTGCGGCCAGTTTCAATTCCAGTTCACTTTTCTGTAGGTTTCCTCTTCGAAGAAAGCATGCCTAGACTGGGGACGAATAACACACTTCTTCTCCCATCCCGAATCCTGACGATGGTTATGTTCCTTGCAGAGCTATCCTGCCGGAAGAAGCAGCAGCTTTGAAGACAACACATGACTGGATTGCATGCATATACCGGAATATGAGGAATCGGGGATCTTCTCCGGGTGGCTCTGGGCCTCGAAAGAAGTCGTGTGAGTTTGTACTGTGCGCTGCACTATCGGTATCGGATGACAGCCACAGTGGAGACAAGCTCCGCGCGAATTTGGACCGGGCATGCTTTGAGTCCTGCGTATTTCCGAGCGCGGCGGACTAGGTAGGGGAGTGCCGATATTCCGAGTCCCGACAGCCCGAGCGGCTAGAAGTGCGCGCGTGGGGCTTGCTAAGTTGCTATAGGCAGTATCAAGCAATCAGCCATCGTTTGTTCATGGTTTATCACGCAGATCTGATCAAGACTCACTTCACGAATCCAGGCTCAATGTCGGGGACTGGGTATTGACGAATCCTCTGCCGGCCAGTCCGGTTTTCGGATTGCAGTAGGTCCGTGTGCAGGTGTCCTGTGTACGTTAACTAATTGGTTCGCGATGTTTCCCCGCTATCGGAAGGATTGCAACAAGCCGGCCGGGAACTGACGGGATCCTCCCGTCGGACCGGACCGAGCCTCTGGTAAAAGACACCTTCGGATGGAAGACACAAAACTACCACCTATCGCCGCGACTGCACCACCGTTGATGCTCATAAGTTAGAACTCTCCTCTTCTGCGGAGTGCATCACTCACCCCATCGAGAACCTAGGAGCACGTTGGGCGACGGGAGCGAACCGCAAAAGTCGATTATCGTGAGCACTGCCATTTAAGTGGGTACCGTTGGTGGCGGGCCGCAAGCCGTACGGTAGTAATTGACGAGATCCTCCCTTCGTACCGAGCCTCTGGGAAGAGACACCTTCGAATGGAAGACAAAAAGCTACCACGTATAGTCGCCACTGCACCACAGTTGATGCTTATAAGTTAGAACTCTCCTTTTCTGCGGAATTCGTCACTCACCCCAGCGGGAACCCGGAAGCATGTTGGGCCGTGGGCGACGAGTGCCAACCGCAAAGTCGATTATCTTGAGAACTGCCACCCAATAAACCTCTAGGTACCGTTGGCGGTGTATCCCAAGCCGTACGGTTGTCTAGCACAGCGGCAGTCGCACTCGAGTCTCGACTGTGGGTGCGGTCGGATAGGTAGCTGGCAAATCCAGTGACGGGGAAGCTGTTGAATACCGGTACCGCCATGGCACAGATACGGACCGAGAAACGCAGCAATTGCCGGTGGGACTAGGTATTCCGCAACTTGTTAGTGCGCCACGCTGGTACGTGTACACATCGACCTGGTGCCTCACCAATGACCGTTTTTGCAGACGGCTTTTTTGCCAACACTCCTCTGGAGACTGGGCCGGAGGCGGGATCGAGAGGAGAGCACACACGGAAGAAAGAGGAGGTTGAGGTTGATCGTGTATTCGGTAGATGATGATCAAGAAAGAAGAAGAAGATGATGATGATGATGACCCCGCCATGCCCGCCAACGTTGATGCCCACCGCTACTAACCGCATTCGCTCCCTCCCGCCGACAGGAGTCCTCTTCACTTCTTGCTCCCGCCGACAAGCTACAGCTCCTCCATCGCTCCGCCACACCGTCTCAAGCACCCAGCTCCTATGGGAGAAGGGTTGGCCGGGTTCTGGATCTCTGTTGTCATCGACTCATCATAGGTAGATTGGAAGCCCATGGCAGTAACCGTTTACTCAAACAGACGACCTCGAATTCTTCGATTGAGTTGTGGGCCGAGCGCTGGGTGTCTGGCGTGGCTGAACTGGTGATATGTGGTGTGATGTGTGATGATGGAGGGTCGCCGATTGAAAGGGTCACACAACACTCTCTTCCACCACATTCAACGAGTGACGAAACTTTCAACACGGCAACCTACAGTAGCATCTATCTGGTTTGAGCTGGAACACGTCTGTGTGTACGTCCGCCGATAAACGAATCACATCGGAAAAAACTCGTCAAACGTGGACACAGTACCTAGCCCACATGGCATATACGATATCTGAGGCTCATGAGCATTGAGCACCACCGATGGCCGACACTGAGTAGGTATCCTGATTCCCACCCGTAATTCTGCACGACAAGATGATAACCGATGATATAGATAGTGCGTATGAGGCGACTTATACCTAGAATACTATGCCCGCTCGACTATTACTTCCAAAGTATGATCGCCTCCTTATTCGCCTCCTTATTCGCCTACTTTCTCACCCGCCAGACCTTCCCACCTATCCGATTATGAATTGCCTCCTGGAGCCTTCGAGAACCTGCTACTAATGATTCTCTCGTATCAAGATCTTTCGTTTCCTGGGTTGCATGCCGTGTAGCCGGCTTCTGGTGCCGCTCACATCGATAGATCCTCCTACCCTTGTGACCAGCGAATGCACAGCCATGTATACCGGTATTTCCAGCCAACAGCATTCACAGCGCAGCGATATTCATCTCAAAGCCCGAGGCACAAAAGGCGAACGCCACCACGGCACAGAAGCTAGTTCTCCGCGCTCACACACGGGCCAACGACGAACCACGAATCTCCGAATGCGACAGGTTCGGCCGCAGCAATAACAGCGAAAACTTACTTACCCTCGAGTCCTCGACAATAAAAACCGGAATCGATTTGACCGGGAACTTACGTTCTGGATCGACCGTGCTGGATTGACCGTGAGTCCGTGACTGGATGTGAGAACACGACGGTCGCCTTTGGGTTTGGCTTCTCTGCGGACCGGGCGCAACAGGAGTGCGGGACAGGCGGACCGACGTCGTATCGTGATGGAGATGACGGAGTAAGTCTTGGGCGTGCGGCCCGGCACGGTGCGGATGCAGTGTGCGCGGGGGTGGTCAGCTTGGATGATTTGTGAGGGGCTTGGGAGTAGATACTTACAGCATGCACTCAAGTTACCTACTGGAAATGCTGTCCTTTCCTCACTGCGATCCCGGCGTTCGTGTCCGTATGTGCCCTAGAGGTTCTCGGATCCATCGCTGTTGGGGTTGCTCGCTTCGCCTAGCGGGCCGAGACTCGAGTGTAGAACCGAAGCATCAAAGGATCTCAAGGGCGGCGTGGTTCTGGCGGTATGCGTAGGCACGAGGTGTGTATCAAAGGGTGGCTGCACTGTGCATTACCCGCGACGGTTGATTGTGGTCGGTTACTCTAGCAGTTGGAGGTTCGAGCGGGAAAGATTCAAGCATACACAAATAAATTTACCTTCGCTACTATTCTTGGTACCGGTCTCCCGGGGGCCTGAAGCACCAGTGCACTATCAAGATCGTGAGCGAATTATCGGATGGCGAGTGATCTCGCATGACGTCGGGCGCACAGCTTCTCGGTAAAATCGGCCGCGCCGGCGGTTCGCAACGGAAGCTTGCCCACATCCCGCACAGCGCGCCCGGATCGCCACTTTCCTACAGACAAAGCTCAGGAGGCCCGCCACGCTTAGGGTTACCGACGAGTCGGCGACAGCTTCCCAGAGTCCCAGTTGCAAGTGCGACCTTGATCGCGGTACCAAAAATAGAGCGAATAGTAGGTTAGATACGAAGTACCGGTGAAGGTTTACAGTTCATGGGGCAGTTTCAAGGTTCCCTGGCCTCCTCTCGAGTCTCAAGCCGGGTTAACCTCTGGATGGATGGCCGTGAGGTCTGGGAGTAACCTTACCTGGAGATCGGGTTCGGGCAATCATTGATCAAGGAAGCCCTACACTCTACGAACCTACCGCTGTTGTTTCTGCATGTTGGAATTATGGTGAAAGTGCTGGAGTAGGTGGGTGGTGGTGGGTGTTTGGTAGTAGGCGCTGTCATCTCGACCTGCATGCATGCATGTACATAGAGTATGTCTGCCTGCCCTATTCATCTGGATATTGGATGCTTTCTTTCGTTCTTCTCCCCTCTTTCTCCTCCGTCCTCAAGTCTCGACATTGCATCTTCCCTCGCTTCATCATCTCATCTTTACCACACTATACACACACCCGCGAAGAAAATCGGACGCGGTTAACTTGGCTTGCGGATTCGCGCGCGGATTTGCAAAGGTTAACGGCAACGTCGAACGTCTCTACCACCGAAATTTCCGGTGCCGAAACTGCGCACTTTTCTTCACTCATCCCATCGAAATCCACAACCTCACCTCACATTCCTTCACCTCCACGGCCGTCCCCCCCACGCCACTTCGCCTCGACCTCGCCGCCACCACGCCTCGACCTCACCGAAAATGCCCCCCTACCCACCCCCCACGTACCACCGCCCGACTCCCGCCTGGGTAATAATCGGCCTCCTCACGTCCTTCCTAATCCTAATCCTCGAAGCGACGCTGTTCCAGAACCGTGACATCTACGCCTCGTACATCGTCGGTCTTACCTACACTAGCGCGATAATGATAACCTGTTTCTTCACGCTGCTCGGCCACCTGCTCGTGCGGCGGTACCCGCGCCTCGCGCCGTACCTCAATATCGATATCGACCTGGCGAGCGTCATGACGCTGCGTGGAGGAGGCAGGGGAGGAGGACGCGAGATGGCCGAGGGGAGGAGGAGGGCGAGTATCGGCTGCTGGGTCGAGAACACACCTGCGCCGGCGACGGCGACAATACCGCCAATACCGCCACCACCGCCGCCGACGCTGCACAGAGCTGTTACGACGGAAACGTGGGCGACGAGTGATAGCTCGCGGGGGGAGCCGGAGCCATGAGTTGTGTGTGTTCCTATGTTTCCTGCACGCCTTGTGCTCAGGCACTTGCGGAAGTGCGGGTACGCAGGAGGTAAGGGCAGATTGAGTGCACCAACACACTCGGATACTCCTTGCGGATGAATGATTTACGGATCGACGTTGATACCCGATTATGATGTGCTTTTGCAGCCCCGGCGGATTATTACAGAACCATCGTTACTGTTACTGTACCTACTTCTACTGTTCTGCATACCGAGTTCGGACTACAGATTCGATTCGGACTTGGGGCTTGTGTTGGAACTTGGATGGGATAATTGGAGGGATTGTGGATTGTGGATTGTATTATTGTAAAGGGATTTGTACAATATTGATTGTGAATATGTGTTATGAAGTGATAAAAAACACAAGGGACTGAACTCAGGACTCGGGAGTTGAGTTTTTAGTAGTTGTAGGGGGAGACTTCACTTCCGAACTGCGAAGTCACGAAAAAGTAACGCATGAGCCGAGCGAGCTCGAGGAGAACCCGTAGACCGTCCCTCTCCCAGCACACGGACTCACGTGACACGATCAAGTAGGATGTGAAGTCAGGCCCAGGGCCGGAAAAACGAGTCTCCGATCGCTCTGGAAAAAACTAGCAAGATCTAACTGCCGGAAGGGAGCGGGACTTGAATACGGACCGCGCATATGATAGAACCTCCCGCTTCTTCCGTGTGGGGGGCCTGAATTCTGTACGCTTTGTACGGATCTACTAAAAAGGTTAATGGGTAGCTACTTTAGATAGGAACGGTCCTCCACTTCCATCACGACACTATTCTTACATCATAGCAGTCAGACGTCCTGTCGTATGTCTTATATAGGATCGGACAAGGGATCTACCACCGCAACCCTCAGCGGTATCCACGGGGTATCACTCGACTCGACCATCTAACCCGTTCGGAAATAATGTATTACTGGTAATCGTGATTTCGACGGCCACTGCGTCCCACTGCACTGTTGTAGGTACAATGAATGAAGACACCGCGCCCAGCTGCGAATTCTTCCTCACCTCAGCACTACTGCTAATCGATCGAAACATCGCCGGGCCCGGGGGAGCTTCGTCGAGGCCGGATAGATTTGACGAACGATTACAGTTTCTGCCCGCCGAAACACTCCTCTCCCTTGTGAAAGATGTCCGATCGGAAGTGTGATTCGACAAGATACACAACTTGTGTGTGAGTGTTGAGGGAAAAGGGGATTCGTTTTGTCGCGTACGCGAGAGGGATGAATGCCGAGCGGTACGTTAGAGTAGGTTTGGCTTAGCTGTAGACGATGAACTGTGTTTGTACATACTATCGAGGTAACTACTGTGGGGTTCTGGAAGTCACAGGATCCGTCGGATGTATCATAATCTCTTGAGATAGGTACTAGAAGTTTCGGATGCAGATATCGTTACGATTCACGAGAAAAAGTCACAGAGACACAACTATCATTATAAACGTCGCCTTCATTGCCAACCCATTCCATGTTAAGCCTTTTTCTTTCTGTATAGGCTATTCTTTGCAAAATATTGCAATTCTGGTCGAATCCACCTCCATCGGAATGGCATCGGCGGCAGCTACTTCGGAGCTGATACCTTAGCTTTTTCAGCTGTTCAGCTCCGGAGCTAGGCAGGAGCTGCCGAGGGATCTAACCGGTATAACTGGTATTGAAGACGCCGCCGAGTGCATGGTCGAGGTTTGTTTCGGTTTCCGGTCAAAAGTTAGATCATATTGATGAGGAGCAGCGGATGATGGAAAGATACCAACCACACACAAATCGAAGGAACCTGACGATGAAAAGAAACACGCAATTCGAAATCAAACACACTGAACCGCCAGCCAGCCAAGCTCAGAAGCTCCACCGACCAATGACCAATGACGCCGAGTGATCAAGAATCAAACCAGAAGAAACAACCACCAAATGTGGCCGTAACCAGCACTCGAAAAAAGCAGAGATCATCGTGGATGAATCTCACGTAGAATCTTGTCGACTTGTCGTGGGATTTATGGGGGAGGCAAAGGCCTCCGCCATTCATGGAGGAACCGGCCGCAATGGGGGTTACCACATAAGTGGTAAACCCCACAGAACGGCTGGACTAGGCCCACGTCGATCTCTCTTGAGTGATGGGACAGTCTGTCCCATCACCCAGATTCTCCATCTGTCTTAGACAGATGGAGAATATCGATCCACCGACTGACTTTTACAACAAATCACATCGTCAGCGCGGTTGTTCGAGCAAGCATCAAGTGGGAGTGGGAGTAGTGAGTCTGCGGAAACTTACTCGGCGCATCTTCCAGGAACTGCATTAGTCCTGGTGTGTCTCACAGCTCCACAATGTGGGCATCGCACAACCTCGTTGTTTCCTTCCAGGTCTTTAATCTCGGCGATAACGGGAAAGTCGAAGGGTGGTGGGGTTGCGGGTCTGCAGCCCAATGGCGAATCCTCAGCTGCGATGGCCAGAGCTGATTCTGCAGGGTTTTCAACTGTAAGTTAGATCCTATTGATGATGAGGAGCAGCAGATAATGAAAACATACCAAGAATAGCGACCAATCTAATGTTGGCCAACCGACATCCATCGGAATGGTATCGGCGATTGCAGCGATGCTCACACACGACGTCGCCGACGTGTGTGAGCAAACACTGGAGCCACGAGGACTCGACATCGGATCTAAAGAACTGTGTTTAGAGAAAGGAAATAAACTCGGATATGCTCGGGGATAATCACTGCATGGTAAGTAAAAACTCTGACTCTTAAAGTCCTTGATGCAGTGTTGCAAAGAAGTTGGTGTTGTAAAGACAAGAAGTTGAAGTATTGTGAAGAAGGAGGAAGAAGACGGAACGATGGAAGTTCCTGATGTGTTTATAGTTGGCGCGCCGTAGCGTGAATCATTTTTTGTTTGGGGCAAGTTGGAATAGAATATTTCAATTCAGTATATTATACCGACACTGCACGTGACGTATGATTTGTCGAGGTGATTGCATCGCTTCGTCGGCTAGTTACGACCCCACCTTTCAGCTTTTTCCCACAAGCAAACACACTACATATGCCAGGTATCTATGTATATCTGATCGATCAAATTGCACACAACGTTCGTAATGCCGTGTGGGGTCAATTAGGTGCCGTGATACAATAGTCTCTGTACACGCGTTCGCATCTGCTTGTGCGTATATTTCCGTGAGCCCCAGGCTATGCCAGACGAGGAGATATGTAATTACCACTTCTCTGTCTCCGCTCGACCGTAGGCTTTTGGCAGAACTGTATATTCGATCGTAAAACAAATCCATCACCAGGCACGGTTGACCAATCTACATGCCTACGTCGCACCATCACCACCGTTGTCTCCCATACGACAGTCTTGATGGCGAACAGCTGGATCTGTCGCGGCCACGGAGAAGTCGTCAGCCTCGTTTCTGTAAGCATCTTGAGAAAACACGACTTAATCGATCACCTCGCCAGTGTCGTTGCCTAATCGTGTAAAGGTTCACTGGGGGGCTGGGGAGAGCAGCGCGTCCGTGACAGGAGATTGACGATCAGGAGTGCACGGTATCATTCAAGAACGGACGCTCAATAAGACAGGCACGCGGGTAGCAAAGTTCGCGTTTGGTCGCAAGGAATGGTTCGCACCACGAGCACTTGAAGACTCCGCGACGGGGACAGCAGCGAACGGATATAATGGTGCTAATTTCAAAACGCAATACTACTCTCTCAATTATCCGAGCTCCACTTCTCTCTCCAGCCCTGCGCGACATGCTCCACCGTAGCCTTCTCAAGAAACGCCCATCCTTCCTCCTCGAAGCTGCACTTCCCTTCCTGCCAGCCCTCTATGTACTTGTCCACGCGCGTCTCCTCCACCCCATCATCTACTCCCACAAACCATTCCTTCTCGTTCCCCTCCACGCGCAACGTGTCCTTTGCGACGTCCCACATCACCCCGCCTCCAGCGACTGAGTGCTTGTAGAAGCACATCTCCCCGCACTTTCCACAGAACAGCCGCTCCACCTTCGCCGAGCTCTCGTACGTTCGCAGCGCTTCCAACGAGGCCGCGGGGATATCGATGAGCGAGCGCGGGACGAAGGTCCAGTTCCAGTAAGGAGCGCCGGTGGTGGTGCGGCAGGTGCGGCAGAAGCAGAGGGTGGTGGCGAATTTGCGACCACTGCGATTGTTAGCTCGGCTTGAAGTTCGGGTGCGGGGAAGTAGATACGGCTTGATCCAGTCTTTCAGTACGGCATCGTCTTTGTAGTTTTCTGGCGGGCGCAAGACGCTGAAAGTGACGGCGCCGCAGAGGCAGCGGCCCTTCAGAGCCTCCTCCTGCGGATCATCCCCCTCGCCGGCCGACAGTGGCTCCGGCTTCATCCCATGCTCCCATCTGATCGTAGTTCCCCCAAGCACAGCGGCGCTCGCAGCGTCCTTTGGAATGTCGATGCAGCCGATCAGTGGGCTGACTCTGCCCCCGCCCTCGTGTCTCGCCAAGCGCGCGCCGCAGTATCCACAGAACAGCAGCTCAGCTCCGCCGGCATCACAATAAGTGGTGAGGAAGGTGTAAGCGGGGTGATCGAGCGTATATCCGTTATCGTCGGTGACGAGGTTCAAGCTGACGTTGCGACAGTGGCAGAGGAGATGAAGCGGAGGCATCCTTTGATGGTCGAGGTGAGGATAAGGTTGATTGTATTGTCACCGGCGCCGAATGTGGCATCCGAATTGCGGGGACGCAGGGTGTGACGTCATGCGGTACATGCATTGGCCATCACTCGTGTTGCTGCTTTGGGAGGTACGCAGGCGAGAGCGCCAATTTTAGGGACACTGGTGACTGTGGTTTGTCCCAATTGTGCAACCGTCAACGAACACCCCTCGAGAACGACAACCAAACTCACCAAAATGGCATCAACATCCTCTCTGGTGCCCGATTTGAACGGTGAGTTGCGATTTTCATCTTCCATTGACTATGCGGGTGTATTCTTGCGCTCTTTACCAACTTGCAAGTTCACTAGGCACTGGGAGCGCAATCCATAGCGCTGGCTCCGTCACGGACCAGGGCTTCGCTTCGAAGGGGCAGAGTCGTCAACCATCCGAAGACCAAGCCGCCCAGACCGCCGACGCGATGAAGATAGCACATGACCTGCAAAGTGCCACTAAATCCAATTTTCAGTCCGATAATTCAATAAACTCGAACAATGAGAAAGGAAATCCTGAAAATCGAAAGCAAATCAACCACGACTTGTCGAATGGCGTCGGTGAGCCTGCCGGGCGGCCCTCCGGTCCAGTTTTCAAGGGTGAATACTTCTTTCACTCCCGTTCCTATTTCCAATTCTACGTGGGGTGTTGATATTTTCCCCAGTCCGATGGGGACGCTGTCCCCGGACAGCTCGCGAAACCAAAGTCCCGAGACGGACATCGCCAACCAAATGCTCGAGATGCAAGAAAGTCGTGGATGATGGGGGCCCGTACAAGAAGTTTTTGCTCTGTACGAAATGCTTCTGCAAAAGGGTAACGGACTTGGCGGACGAAGATGGCTGGACACCGGAGGAAGCTGCGGAGTTCATCCGGATTGCTAATTTGGGGGTTTAACGGGTTGGGGAGGCGTTTTTCTTTTGTGATGGAGTTCCGGCTTGATAATGTAATAGATTTAGTGGCTCTTTTCTCTGGTAGGCACGTAGAAACCTGCTGTGTGTTATGTTTCAAACTCGCAATGGATCCCGGAAAATTTCACATCGCGCACAGCCTCGATAGGTTCGAAGAGCCTCCTCATAGTTGCTTGGGTAGTCTGTTAGCCCCATTTCAATCGTATATGGATTGATGTAACAGAATTGGTCGAAATGCGTGTTTAAAAGGCGTAGAGTTGGTACCCGCTCCATGCTACTTGCTTCGTCACTTGCGCTCCATCCTGCATGAAACGACAACCCACCCGGTTCCTCCCATAGCAGCTCGAATCCTTCTCCCTAGACGGCAACAGACCCACTCTTCTCCGTCGCAATTCCTATCATTTCTCCTCACTTGAAGATAAAGGAGGATCACTTTCATTCAAAAGCAGAGCATCCACTATTCGTCCAATCGTCCACTATCCGTCTAATCGTCCAGAGTTCGCTCGAACACGGCGCCTGACCAACCTGTCTTCATTACTTGACTCGAAAGCGGTATCCTCACTTATCGGCATGAATCTACCCTCCCTGCGGACACAGCTTTCGTGTCGCAGCGGCATCTCCGTCGGCGGATATCGGCTCGGTCAAGAATTACGCAGTAACTACGACAATGTTGCCGGTTCCGCGGATCGCTGGCGGTGATCAGGGACAACACCCTCTCGGAGGCTTCAGCAGATCATCCGCGATCTCAAGAGATATCTCTCAAGAGTTCACGGGAAAGAAACCAAATCTCACGGCAACGATCCCCATTCGGCTTTCTGCAATGTCCCTGGTTCTGTACATTTCGATTCGTCACCACGGAGGAGATCGATTCCATCCCGAAATCCCCCGGAAGGTAATAGGGATGCTACACCTCTGTGGGTCTTTTCCGTCTGGCTTTTAGACGACTCCCTGGTCTCAGACTCTCAGGGTTATGAGCAATCGTCTACTCGGAAGAGGACGGATGGAATGGATCAGGGTGGTAGAGGCAAGCGGCTTGGGATGTATGGATACCTCCCGTATGTCGCTGTTATTACGACTTACTGATCTTTTAGGAATGTCAATGCCCCACAGGAGATCGACTGCCCAGGAGACAGACTACAGGGCGCTTCGACGCGGTGAGGCCGAGTGCACGGTTGGTGCAGAAGACGACTACATCGGACGGCTAGATGCGTGTTACTCCCGATACTCTCGAGCGAACAATCATGCACATCGCCATCGATATTGGCCATGGTCTGGTTATCTTTTGCTTACGGTTCGGTCCGGCTAGCGACTTCGGGAGCTGCTACATTACTCTTGCACCTGGCACATATGTTTATGAGAGGACGGATGATACAATTATTGTTTGCCTCACGGTAAAACTGCTTCATTCTCTATATTACAGTAACGTGAAGCTGACTGAGAGAAAGGTGGATACAACTTCATTTCGATCTCCAACTCGGCATCCGCAAGCACTAAAAGAACGAGGACAACGAGGGAAAATTTGCAGTAAAGATGGGAGTCCCTAGGCTTCCGGACGACTCCCTGATTTCAGGTGTTAGCCGCGATGGGGTCCTGCATGCCGACTCTAGTCTCACCGCGACCACACGCGGCACAAGTCAAAGGCTGTGAACACTCCAAATCATCTTTTTGTTCACAATCCCGCTTTATGGCACAGGCCACTTCGGAATTTGTTCCAACCAGTGGATAGCCGTGCCGAGAGGATCCTGAGAGATGCAATGCAAATGGTGTCTTCGGATTTCGTGAAGGCCGAGATGCCACGACCAGCCTTTTACGAGAAAGGAAGGGTGGATTGCCGGCCTGAGATTCCAGTTGAGGTTGGTGTTGGTGAGAATGTGGGACCTCGCTGCGGAGGGGGTTGGGATGATGGGTGGAATGGGTGGAATTGGTATCTGCATGAAGTCAATTTTATCGACCTCGATTCAAAATTCAAACCCCTGAAGATGTCAGTCCCTGTGGTCTAATCACGTCTTTGGTTCCCTGGAGAGAGATCCACTATCACCCCATTCCCGCACGACGGCAGTCCCACCATTATCTCTGCATCTTTGGATCTTCCCCATCGACTTGGCCCGTGGTACTCCCGAAGTGTACCCATTCTTCGAATAGAAAGCCAGAACGGCCAGCCCCACCGGATGACGGTCAAATACGGCGGAAAGATCGTCTGAAGTGTGGGATAAACGTGATGAGTGGGAAGCACCCACGTCGGCCTTTACTCCGAAGGTAGTTATCCGCCCGCAGCCACTGCTACCCCTCCGGCTGTTAGCTAACGATGTGTCTCGTAGTGTCAGCGCAACGGCATTCCACGGCTTCTTCGATCACGGCACCCGGCGGTCTGCACGTACGCCATATCCCTACGTGGTCAGGCAAGCAACAGCGGCGGCTTTGTGCCGTCAATCACCACCACACCGCCGATGGCGTTGCTGGAGAGGGAAGACTCAAACATGGGGGCTCAGCGATGGGGACGTTTGCGAAACATACACCGGGTCTTTCCTATCATGAACCACGATTCGCGAGGAGTTAAACACAGTTACGCTACTACAAAGCCCACGCTGTGGGATAATCACGACATGTCTGTTGCAACGCACTCACAACATGCTGTGTGGGGTTATTTGAGTATCCGGCCTTCGCAACGTAAGCTGCACCACCGCCGTGGAGTTGGAAACGTACTGACAATGGACATTTCACGCAATCTGGGAATTGAAGGGGGAAAAGGACAAAAACAAAACAAAAGCACATATTCTTCTTGTCAATCCGCTTGTACTATAGCAATTCAAATTTCAACCACACGCTGCCGCTTCGGATGCGTTGCGAAAAGCAAAAAGGAAGGAAAATGGAAAAGAAAGTAACCACTGTTGGGGGATTTACTAAAGCAACCCCGCCCAAACGGTGGCTACTGCTGAAATTGTTTTATGAGGCGTTACAACGGCGCAGCTCCTACTCCTCCTTCGTGCGCCTCCATCAGGTTCTGCATCTCTTCGTCCAACTTCTCCTCCTGTTTCTCCTCCACGTCGATCTCCTCCAAGTCCTTCTTCTCCGGCCACTGAACGTCGACGCTAGTGGGCATGGGGATCTTCACCGACACCACGCCGTGCGGGGCGCGCTTCGAGCCTCTAGGCAGGCGGCAGAATGTGAAGGCGGGCTCCCTCAATTTCCCGTATTGTACTCTGAAAGCTACGTCTCGGCGAGCCGCACCATGGTGCTGGGCGCGAGCGAACAGAGGCCGGCCATCTTATTGCGGGCCGGCTTCGAAGCCGGCCGTCTTGTTACTGGTTGGCTTCGAAGCCAGCCGTCTTGTTCCTGGTTGGCTTGGAAGCTGGCCGCCTAGGTAGTTCTGCGGGCGCGGTGTCAGATGCAGTGCGATAGGAGTGCTGGTCGTGCTTGCCTAGGCGGCCCTGCGGCCAGCCGTTGTGGCAGTAGTGAGCTTGGGGGTGCCTTTACGGAGATTTGAAGTTCTTCCAGACATTTCTGGTATCCAAGTTAGTGTTGCGTATTTGTCATATGCGCCTCGTTGCGCCTCCTCGAGTGCGCCTCGGGAATCCTGTTTATTCTCAAACTTACGCTTGCTGCTGTCTGGTGTGTCTAGCTGCCAGTAGCAGGTCATCCGCTGTTCTTTGCGAATGAATCAAGCAACTGAAACATCGCACTCATCTTCCTAACAGTTAAAATTCATTATTTGCGAGTGAGTGTGTGTGATAACGTATAACACGGATCTACTTACTTGAGATGGTAGACTTGTGAAGGTTCGATATTAGAATGTGGTGTTGTTGAAGTTGACGTAGAGAGTTGTGTGAAAGCGAGATGTGTGTGATGAAGAGAAGAAGAGAAGAGAAGTGGGTGGGCGCGGGGGGGGGGGGGGGGGGTGGGGGTTTATAGGTGCGTTGGTGCGCTAGGCTTGTTCGGGCCCTAGGGTTGAGGATAAACTTCCATGTCTGAGGCTGGCGAGATTCGAAAATTCGACCCATACTTTTTGCTAGATTGATTTACTGTTTTCTTCGTCTTGTAGCATATTCCACATCAAGCGCCTGTCCACGCTGCGCCACAGCGCCCGCACGTTAGAAAATGATACTGAAAAAATTGCTGTAAATCTGTACTTTCTGAAGTTGCTTCGAAATTGTAATCTTTTGAGGCTTATTTCAGTTCTCTGCCGGTAGAGAACAATCCATCTTGCATTCACTCAGTCTCTCCTCTCGCTGGGTGTATGTCGAACGTGAGGCGGCACTGTGAGGGGAGGCCGAAGAAGCATACCGGTTCTCCACCGAGATACGAGCTTTTATCTTGGTTAAGTCTGTGGCACCACCAGCAGTGATCATCATCTCGCTGCATGATCTAGTTCAAGTACGTACCTAGGTAGCTGTGAGGGCGTGCCCCGCTGTGCTGTGGCTCTCAAGCAGCGTTTCACACGTCATCGATAGAGGAGTGAGTAGCATCGCATATGACGTCCCTCCCCCCCCTTTCTATATCTTTCTCCCCTTCTTCCCAACCCACCATCAACATCATCACTCTCCTTCTCCCTTCTTCCTACCCTACCATCAACACCCCTCCATCCTCACGACAACTCCCTTATCTCTTACCATAACCTTCCTCCACCTCTCTACATTCACACACATCCCCACTCCCCCACACAACCCCAAATTTCTTCTCCCCACTCATTTTCACCAAACCAATACCACCCCCGATCAATCGCATATCAATCCCCCACTGATCCGCGAGATGTACAACCACTTATCTCTTACCATCGTCACGCCTGCATCGTCACGACTCACGACAATGTCTCCACTTCAATTTCATCATGACAACTCCCTTATCTCTTACCAACACTATCCTCCACCTCTCTGCAACCCCCGATCCCAGAAAGTTTGGCCGCTACTATCGTCCCTGCCTGCACACCGGTCATCCTTTTCCTAGCTCCGCCTACGACATGACTACGCCCTACTCCACGAGTCCAACCCCCCCTTCCCCCGGTTCCTCCTGCTCATGTTCTGCCTTGTCTTTGTTGTCCTACGAGGCATCTTACTCTTCGTTGTCTTCTTCTTCCTCCGAGGAAGATTCGGAGCAGTCTTCTTCTTCTGACGGATCGTTCCCGTCGTCGTTCTGGTCGTTGATTTTTGATTTCATTCTTGATTTCGTTCTTGATCTTGTTGTTGACCTCCATTTGATCTGGTCGTTGATTTCCTTTTCCTTCTCGTCTTCCTCGGAGAAGTATTCTTCGGAGGAGTGTTCCTCGTCGACCACCAAAATGGCGGCGAGTAGGACGCGAGCTTCTGCGTCGTAAAACAGTAGATCCTGACGCTCGTCACCACACAGAAGAAGAAACGTTACAGGTAGAAACCCCACGCGGTTGTTAAAATTGAATCGTTGTAGCGTCGTTGCATAGGCTTATCACTTTTGTTTTTTTTCATTCATTGATTGCGTTCGACCTATCTAGATCATGGCAATATCTAACCGTTCGGCCCCCGTTTCCCCGCCACTGTCCAATTCAACTATCATCAGGCAGCCCGATATGGCTTTCCCTGTCCCCGCCGTGGCCTAATACATAGGCTTGTCACTGCAGCCGTGACATTTGATGTCACTTGGGTAAAGAGTGACGTATCGTGAAGTCCTGCTCCAGAACGGCTGTCTACAGCACCTGTGTTGTAAATCGTGCGGACGGAATGGGCACGATTACTCTAGTCCCTTCCCGTTCATTCCTTTTGTAGGCCAGGATAAAGTAGTCCGTCCCTTCCGTCATTTTGCCGCACGGAGCTTTTTGTGATGCGATTCATGGTATTTCCGCTGCAGGTACCTGTAAAATTGTTGGCTGTCGGCTACGGTCAAGAGCGATCAATCCAGCACTAACGTACTGGTGGACGGAGTACTCCGTGCAATACAGACCTCTGGACGGTCTTGATGAATGGAGTTCCTACATTTCCGGCAATGGGTTGGTAAATACTACTGGGCTGGGCAGGACTGTTCGAAAACTAGTTAGCTGGCTGCGAGCCATGTACCATAATCACCATTGAGTCACGATGAATTCGAAGGGTTACAAAGTCATTGAAGATGCAGATATCTGCGATAAAATTAAAAGCAAGAAAAATAACAACTCCTTCAGCTCTAAATATCTTCCTCATCCTCATCCTCCACCGATCCGTTCCCTGATGGTATCATCTCCTTTGCCAGTACACAAGAAAAATAACAACTCCTTCAGCTCTCATCTCTCAGCTCTCAACCTCTTCGCCTTTCTCATCCTCATCGGTTTCGTCTTCTCCGCACCATCAATCGTTGCTTCTTAGCGTTAGCACGCGCCTTCCTTCTCCTCCCTTCCTCCTCCCGGTCTTTCTCCGAGCAGGGTTCTTCCTCCTCTTCTCCCTCCTCTTCTCCCTCGTTCTCCATCTCGGTGATGTCTTCTTCGTAAGCGGCTAAGAGGGTGACTCTGTGTTGTCCGGCGGAAGAAGAGGCACCGCCGGGGCCTGCTGAGACAAGAACTCCATGTCCCCAGCGACAGGTAAATCGGCGATGAACGAACGGATGAGGTGGTGAGGGAGGAGGTGACGCTGGTCGTGCTCGTGGACAATCTCGTTCTGTGCGTTGGGACAGCAGGTGCCTCGCTGCGACTTTTACGTTTCTTAGGATCGGGCAACGTGGGGTCGGTTGAGGTGGAGGTCGTCGGTAACAGTATCGCTTGTTGGAGTGATGATTGTGGAGGAGGCGGCTCTAGGCTTTGAGGCCGAGCGGGGAAGGGGGTGGCAGACGTGGATCCCCAGAAGGGGATGGCTGGTGTGGAGCCGGGGATAATGACGGCGGCCATAGGTTGGAATAGTGTGTGATTTGTGGTGGTCGGTTTAAATAGTTTTTAGTTGCGACCTGTTGAGCCGCAAAAGGTTGTCGTGGTTGGGGTTAGGAGGAGGGGAGGTAGTGAGAGGAAGTTGTTGGGGTTTTTGGTGGAAGTGGTGGTTGTGAATGGATGGGGGTATGTATAAAGCGAGGGGCGGTCACGTTCGGGAGGGAGAGAGACAAGGTAGATGGTAGAGGATGAATGCTGTAAGAAGGGAGATGTGGAAAGGCGAAGTTGATGGTGGATGATGAAGAAGGGGGAGGGAGAGAGAGCAAGGGCGAGAGAGGAAGGGGGAGAGAGGAAGGGGGAGAGAGGGAAAGGGGGAGTGGCGGAACCCTACATGGTGCGTGGGATTGAATTGCCGTAGCGTTGTGACTCGTTGCTGAGGCGTGTCGCTGCCATCGAGGCTTGAGTTGTCAGTCGCACATCGAGCGATCACCCGTCCCCCGTGAAGCGCTGCCTGAAACCCACAGCACCCCGTTGGGGAGCAGACAAAAAGAAAGTAGGAGAGAAGGTCACTAGAAGAGCTGTTCGCCGATCAGCGGTGCGGCTAGGTGACCCTGGAGTTCCCAGGAACGACGGAGGTAGGGAGGACAGCGCCACCAGACGTAGAGGAGGAGGAGGAGGAGGAGGATGAGGAGGGAAGCAAAGCATCGGCCAGCGGCAGAACATGAGTGCCCAGCAGTATACTGTGTATGCAGCATATGTAGGGAGGTGCGGACGCGTGGCTGACGATGTGATTGTTTGTTCTTGGTGCGGACAATACTATACTGGTTCGATTTCCTATTGAATTTGTTTGGGAGGCAGGGCAGCAACGGCACCACATGAGCTGGGCTGTACTAAGTAGATCACTGACAGGCTACGAGCCTACTATCTGTTGCGTCGTGATGAGCTCAGGAGAATACAAAATCATTGATGATGCAGTTGTCTGCGATAAAATTGAAAGAACAAAACAGCACCCGCAACAGCCTCCTCCCCGTCCTCGCAATTCTTCTCCCCTTCCTCCCCTCCCTCTATCTCATCTCCCTGCTCATCTTCCCATTCATTCATCATAGATTGAATCATTAAATCATCTCCTCGTCTTCTTCCTATTCATTCAACAATCATCAAATCATCTTCTCGTCTCCTCATCTTGCGCTGCCGCTTGGTCTTGTTGTCTCGTCATCTTCAACTTCGACTTCTCCTCTCCTCATCTTTCCCTTCCTTCCTCTTCTCGTCTTCTCGTCTTCTCGTCTGGTCATCGTCGTCATAGTCGTCTTCGTCTTTGTCGGCCGAGGCTTCCTCGACCAAGTGAGTCTTAGATGTCCCGGATGTATTATGCGTCTTTCTCTTCTTCCTCATTTTCCACCACCTTCGTCTCGTCTTCGCCACCCTTAAATTTTCCAATGCTTCTGCAAATGTCATCTCTGTTGTAATTCAATATCCTACACGCGAGCCGCCGCATAGTCGACCATGCGGCTCTCATCCTCGACCGCAAAACAGACGGCAAGTAGGCCTAGGAGACTGAGAACGTTCAGATAGAACGAAACCTCGACCGCCAAATTGCCGACGAGTAGGGCGAGGATGGCCAACTTCAATGGGGGAGCTAGTCGGTAACGGCCTCCAGGGCCGGATTCGTGGAGTAGGGCGTAGTCGTCTTGCGGTTGGAGCTGGCCGAAGGATGACCGGAGGGCCGTTTGTGGGCCAGAGCGACAGTGGTGGCCATACTTTCTGGGAGCGTGGGTTGTAGGAAATATGTGGAATCAGGACAGTCGAGAGGGACGGGATCGGGGTTGTCGAGATGTGTTTGATAGTGATGGTAACAGACAAGGATGTACGCCGGATCTTGATCCATAGGGAGTTGTCGTGAGGTGGAAGGGTGATGGAGAAAGGTAATGAAGGGGTCGTGATGGCAAGAGAAAAGATAGAGAGGTGTAGAGAAGGGTAGTAGAACGGTGCAGGATCGGGTGTGGGAGTTGTAGAGAGTTAGAGAGATTCGTAGGGGAGGGTAGTAGAACGGTGCAGGATTAGGTGTGCAGAAACGTGGAGGATGGTAATGGTAAGATATAAGGGAGGTATCGTGAGATTGGAGGGGCATTGATGGTAGGGTAGTGAACCAAACAACGATGAAAACAGGAAAGTAATGAAATCAATGAGATCATTGAGAACGGTGATTAGAAAGATGATGAGGAAACAAACAACTGGCCGACAGAAGAGAGAGGTCTGCCTTTTATAAACAAGGGCTCTCCGAAAATTTGGCCGATCGAATCTGGTGTAGCCAGGTCGGCGAAATTTCGCCGCTCGTGCATCTGCCATGGCCGCCTTCAAATCGAATCACAACAAACCTCTTCGCCCTCGGTCACACCGGCAGGCAGAGCTGGTCTCAGCGAGTCCCAGTCTGTTCACTACCTCTTTACAATCGGTCCCGCCCGAGTCTGCACCTCCGGGCCGAAACGGACGCGCCAAGGCGTCGTTTCCGCTAGGTCCCACATTAGGAAGAAGGGGGAAGGAGGGAAAATATGTTGATGGTGGGCTGGGAGGGAACGGCAGGTGGACAGACGAAAGGGGGAGAACAAACTTTGAGTGGTTAGTGATGATTGTCACTGCCGTCAAGGCATGGAATGCTACTCGCTCATTGAGTGATGACGTCTGAAGTGCTGCCCGAGAAACACACTCGACTGGCTGGCAGCGAGGTGCCAACTCCCGACCGGCTAGAGCCTAGAGTTGGCAGGAAAGAAGTGACACGGGTCCCCATAGTGTAGATTGTAGATAGGCTGCATGCGAAAACAATTGAAGATCTTGCTCTCCCTCTCCGTCCTACGGACGCTCATGCCCGAGCATCCTTCTCATCACCCAGCAGAGTCCATACTCCTGCGATGAACAATGTCTACTACACCGAACCCCCCTGCCCTAGGTCCCCAGTACGACTCCCTCTCCCTCGAAGAGCAACTTGCAACGACTGATGTTGCAGCTTGCACTCGGACTCGCCAGATAGATGCGGAGTACATATCATATTTTCGCCATCGTCAAGATAGGCTGTATACGAAATAAATTGAAGATCTCTCTCTCTCTCTCCCATGAATTAGGTTTTGCGCCGGAAAGATCTTGCAGGCATTTGTTATTGTCCTGAAGTATTCAGCACTCGAATACCTGCTACCGTGCCGGAATGATTAAGCCGTTCGCTATTCGGTACTCGAATGGCGGCTATTGTATCAGCACGATTAAGCCATTCGTTATTCGCAATTCCTCCACGAAGTCATCGATACTTAGTACTAATACAGTAGGACTATGCGAGCATGAGAACAGTCATCCCTGTTACAATATCTCACTATATCACTCGATCACACAGTCACGTGAACTATAAGTTTCACAGGCCCTTCCTTCCTCCAAGTTCAAGCGGAGCGCAGAATACTGTCGTCAGATATGGGGCCAGTGTCTGGCAGCGACACCTACAGTATTTAAACGCCTTTTTCTCCCACCTACGGGGTTTAGGCTTCAACCTATCAATGATCAAACCACACGATCGATCGCTCCGGAAAATGGTAAATGCAGCTGCTTCCTTTGGGACGAACTACTTTCATTCACAGAGTGCGGAGGATATGCTGCAGCCTGTCGCTCATGCTCCGCCCCTTTTCTCTATCCTTCGCGCCAAACCCAAAGTTCCAAGGAGCACCCATGGCACTCGACCAGTCCACCGCGCACAACATCCTAGTCCTATGACGTCCTCCTAAAACTTCATTTCCTGAACATCTGGGAGGAACAGATGACGTACACGCCAGGGCCCAGAACCATGTCCTCACCCAGCATCTGGGTCCGGACATGCTGGTCGAGCAACATGGCAGTCGGCTGGTTGGTTTTGAGGTCCGATCGATCCGCCAACGGCAAGCAGGAATTCCAATTGGCGCTCCTTATATCATTGGGATGTGGGGCTTCACTGTACTTTTGTGCGGGATCAGGGTAAAGCCAGGCGATCGGTCACTGCCAGGAATGTTCCTGTAGCTCGAAGCAGCATCCGATGACGACCGCACAGTCCGTACTCAACCGATCTCAGTGCTGTATGCTGGGTGCTCTTCTTCACTGCGCTACAGAAGACAACCCCACGGTCAAACACCAAAAAACACTTCGATCGTTGAAAGGATGCAGTCGAGCTCGCGATCAGCTCTGCAAGTCTCATCGCAGTTTGCGCGTTCATCCCGACAGTCACTCCATAAACATGGGCTTCGGATGAGGGGCTGTCTCGCTCCATAGTCGTAAGTGACTCGCAAGGTGTTTGATACCATCAGCAGCGTTACTGGAGCCACCTGGGATGGTCCGCCAATGACGTAACTTGCCTGCTACCTACCTAATGTGACTGCCACCTAGAGGGGAGCTGTTTGTATTTTTTCTATTGATTGGACATGGCGCTGACGCATCTGGTTCTTCCCGTCGACTCCATCCCATCCACTTCCACTCCACCTCACTAACTTCCACTCCCCCTTACTCACTTTCACTCATCTCACTTACTTTCACTCCACCTCACCTACTTCCAACCCTCGCCCCCCCACCCCCACTCTAAACACAAAAACTACGATCACCACCAACTCTACCCTTGGCAACATCAACTTTGCAATCAACAATCCACTAGGATCGAAGCTCCCATCCGACAACCCGGAACAAAGCTCCTATCTTCGAATCACCTTATCTCTTCCTCTTCTCGCACCTTTCCCTCTCATCCCATTCAAATCCCCTTTATCATTGTCCTCATCCATTTCCTTTCCTTTTCCACCCCCGATCCATTTACCCACCTTTTCAACTTCCTGCTGTTTTTGCAATTGCAACTTGCCATCACAGCCATCACGCCATTGCGGTTGCCTTTGGGCTTCTTCTGATGATTTTACTCCTCGAAGAAACGAGCTATGACCGTGTCAATCGGTTCAATAATCCCCTTCACCCTGGAGCCTACTTCGAAAACAAGCTATTTACCCTCTCGGGGAGGATGGGGTATGAGGCGGGAGGCTGGAGAAAGTTTTCTCAGACGGTTCTTGACATCTGGCTGGTCTCCCGACAGCCACAATTTCTCTTGCTATGTGAGTGCTCGTCAACTATTTGATTTTGAAGAAAACTGACGTCTTCTACAGTCATTTACCACGGTATGACGTACATGTGGACTGTCGGACGCAATGGAACTTTGATTTCCTACCTAGTACCCCCAGTTTCAAAAGGAGGGTATGGGTTTGATACGGTCGGCCTTGGGTTGATCTACTTTGCACCCATTGTTGCAATGATTCTTGGCGAGCTCTTCGGCCACTTCGTAAGTCACATTCTCGTCCCCTTCAGTTCGTAACGATAGGGCTAACATCATTCTCAAGTTCAACGACGCGCTCCAGAACCGATTCAGCTCTCCGCGGTATCAACTTTGCAACCAAGAATCCAATAGGATCGAAACTCCCACCCGACAACCCGGAATAAAGCTCTCATCTTCTCATCTTCTCATCTCTTCCTCTTCTCACTCCTTTCTCTCTGATCTCATTCAAATCCCCTTCATAATTGTCCTCATCCATTTCCTTTCCTTTTCCTTTTCAACTTCCTGCTTTTTTGAAGTTGTAACCTGCCATCACGGCACATCACTCCACTGTCCCACTGCGGTTGCCATCACGCATCACCCCGTTGTCCCACTGTGGGCTCAACAGCACTGCTACGCCAGCCCACTCCAGCCAGTAGCTAGGCTCGGTGTAGACTTACATTAGGTGGCAGTCGGGTGGGGGGGGGGGGGGGGGTGGAGATAGCAGAGATTGGCAGCACGGTAACTTATTGAATGTGGCTATGCATATTGGATAGAGTGGCTTGATCTGATTATGATAATGCTTTCATTGCTTTTAGCGGGGTCGTATGTGTCCTTATATGCCACTAGGCAGAATTATAATTACTGCATTAGGTGGGCCGGCGCGGCTTGAGAGGGACCGGCCGGTTGTTTTGTTAGCCGATTGTTTTTATTTCTGTTTCTTGTTGTTTTTCTTTTTATTTCTCTTACCAGCATCAAAATAGACAATCAACCCTCGCATAATCTCTTTTCACCGTGTGTGCTTTCGTTTATATCCCGCCTGCAGCCTGGAGGCGTGTTAGCCTCCGTCCTCACGTCATCAAACTCATGGTGGCCTCTCTGGCTCCTCAACTCCACTCTGGCGCATAAGCGTCTCTTCGGCGGTGGAGAAGGTCGGTACATGACGAAATATCTGGCGAGAAGATTGATTGAAGATGATGAAAGTTACAGTGCAAGCCGAGCTGGAGATCCACCCAAGCACTTCACTGGATGGTCTCCATGGTCAGAATCTCGCAGCTAAAGCCACAAAGAAGGCCCGCAACCCCCAAGGCAGTCGATGTACACGGTACACCGACGGATCTCGGACAGACACCAAAGCGACCTGCGTCGGCAATCCTCAGCGACAATTCCGAATTCGGTCAGCTCACACCGGGAAACTCGCAGAAGTGGGATGCTACCGAGGGGACCCGCGGTACCTTCACCTTCACCCGCGGCGATGAAATCGTTGCACTGGCGAAGGCGAACGGCCAGCTCGTTCGCGGACAGTAAGTCATCCGTCTGCCCCCATGACCCTGACCCCACACTCCTGAGCGGCGGTTAACGAGAATATCTTTCAGCACGTTGGTTTAGCACTCGCAGCTTCCGTCATGGTAGGACAACTAACCGTGGATGTGCTCCCCCACCCTGCAACCGAGAGCTGACAAGAATAAGGTTCTCATGGGTATTCACCAGGGGGCCTACGACGTGGAGTGCACGGCCATTGCCCAAGCTCTGCAAGCGGACGTCCATAGGCAACACACCCTGGGGCCTTGGCAGAGTTACCATCTTCACGGACGCGCAGGCGGCCATTAGAATAGTGACCCATTGTGCCTCCGGCCCCGGAAAGAAATACGAAACCCAGGCACGAAAGCACATCGCCACCCTCCGCCGGAGGGAGCCAGAGATCACCATCGAGATCGAATGTATGTGACGAGACCAGTGCAGGCAACAGCCCGAAAAGCCCATGGGCTGGGGAAACGAGAAGTCTGAAACAAGCTGTCACGAACCCACACACCACAGACACTATGCAATGTGTCCTCCTCCGCCTCTTCTCCTCTCGTCTTTTCTTCTCCATACTCACAACTTCTCCTCTCTCGCGCCGAACGGGCAGCCATAGCCTCCATTCTCACCACCATTTTCACTTCCCAAACCAAACATGCGATCATCACCCAATTTCTGACAGCTTTGGACCAGCTGGCTACGGACGATGTCGGTAACGTCAACCACAATCAAGTCTCGTTCGCCAAGGAGCACAAGATGGCATTGCTCGAAAACATCGCTCCCACCGCCAACGATTCATTCTTCACGGACGAATCGGGCAGTAGGAGGACTGTGTTGCGGACACCAAGCTTTTGGATACGCTTTCCACGGCAGTGACGAACTACAAGTCCAAGAGAGGTCCCAGGTTCTTCTTCTCCAACAACACGCATACGACTGCGGATCCAACAAGCTCCGACGTGCGAATGAGGTGCAGGAGTGGCATACATATGTGGTATGTGAAGGGTGGTGTGGTCGGGATTTATGATCCTAGCAATGTAGCCAAACCACAGGCTATACAGTAGAGGGACATGAGGATGGTGCCGTTGGCACTGCAGTTTCTAGAGGCGCTGATAAAAAAGGGTATGAAGGTAGTGGAAGTTTGGATTGGGGGAGGAGGATATACGGAGGAAATGTGCAATGAGATGAGCCGTAGGTGGATGTATGCAGAGGTGGTTGAAAAGGCAGGTGCGGAACTGGGCAATTGGGAGGAGAGGGGCTGGGAGAAGTTACGGGCGTTCTAAATGGTTGGAGAGAAAATGAGTGTATGAATGTGAGTGAAAAGTAATGATGTTGGTAGAAAAGGCGGTGAATGGAAGACGTATAAAAGAGAAGAAATAAAAGGCGACGAATGTAAAGTGTGGGAAAGAGAAGGAATGGAGGTTGGTGAATCAAACGTGAGTGAAGGAGAAGAAATAGAGGGCGGTCAATGGTATCACGGCTCACGAATGCTGCCCCTTCCTGAGTACTCTCAGTGTATCACTTGGCTGCCGGAACCACCTAACCGGGTCGTCGTAGATTAGGGCGGACCCTGTTGATATCAGAGGTTGCTAGCAGCCCTCAGAGTTCATTGCTAGCCTCCAATCTTTGGGAGCATGGTTTGGGTAAGAGTGAAGTGTCACGGAGTGCGAAGGGGTGGCGGAAGCGGGTTTGGGACGGAGATCTGGCGGCACTGATGTAGGCTACGCTGCGGGACAGGAGCAGACTGGGGTAGCGCAGCAATATACTATGGAAGTGGGGTATTCAGAGCAGGAGTGATATGGGTCCGGCACAGGCGGCAGGCCTGCGCTCGTGGGTAGGTTGCGCCGAGGATCGCTTTACGATCATCGGTCTCTTCGCAGACGAACGATGCAGCCAGTTATTCTTGGGCTTCCTCGCCATCACCCATGTGGGTATTGGGCAGACGGATCCCGGAGGTCGTCGAGGAGGCGTGGCATGTGAGGTATCGGAGTCGGAACCTAGGGAATGAGGAAAAGGCAGGCGGTAAGGATGTGAGAAGGGGCGGAGAGCGCTGAGCGGCTGAGGTTGAGGAGCCAAGGTCACTCACGCTGTTGCTCCCGATACCGTCTTTTATAGCATCTCCTAAGGAAGAGACAGGTGACGAGGGGGTGAGGAGTTGGCCCCAACTTCTGAACAAGAGATAGCAGTGGCAGTTGAATCCTCGTCTTCTGCTGCTGCCAGCAAATGTGTCACCACTACACCACGCTACATCATCTTGGTATTCACCCGAAACGCGCCTTACGTACCGGTGTGGAGTCTCCCAAGCGGGCTCCGATTCCCCCCCCCCCCCCCCCCCTCTCTCGCCTTTGTATATCTTCCTCCTCATTCTTCCTAAACCACCTCTCCTTCTCCCTTCTTCCTACTCTACTTTCAACTTGCTCTCCCTCCCTTCCCCTCTTCGTATGTACCCCACCATCAATCTTACGATACCCTCTTACCACTCAACCATCCTCCATCACCCCCCCCCACCCCCCACCCGCCCACCTCATGAAAACTTCCTTATCTCTTAACATCACGATCCTTCATCACCCCTCTACGGGTAGAATGGCCGGGAAACATCTGCTTTTGAATAGCTGCGTCTATACAACTACCACAACCCATCCACCCTCTACCCGGCCCACCCCTCCTTTGCTTCTACCCAATCCACCCTTACTTTGCTCCTACTCAACCCACCCCTCCTCCTTTGCTTCTGAAATTCATCCATCTTCCCCTCATCGTCCCTCATCATACCTCACGACAACCCCCTCTGGATCAAGATCCCGCATACATCATTCTATCTTACCATCACTATCAATCACATCTCTACAGCCCCGATCCCGTCCCTCTCGACTGTCCTGATTACACACATTTCCCACAACCCACTCTCACATAAATTATGGCCGCCACTACGACTACTACCCACACACAGCCCTCCGGCCTACTTCTGTCCGCGTGATCTCCAAGACGACTACACCGTGCTCCACGGGTCCGACCCTGGAAGTCATTACCGACTAGCACTCCTATTCATGTTAGCCTCCTCACGCTGCTCGTCAGCAATTTGGCGGTCGAGGTTTCGTTCTATCTGAACATCTTCGGTCTCCTGGGCCTACTTGCCGTCTGTTTGGCGGTCGAGGATAATCGCCGCATGGTCCACTATGCGGCGGTTCCCGGGTAGGATATTGAAGCACAAGAGAGTCACAATGGTGGCAAAGAGGAGAAGAGGAGAAGAGGAGAAGACGAGAAGAGGAGAAGAGGAGAAGAGGAGAAGATGGTTTAGGAAGACGAGGAGATGATTTGACGATTGTTGAATGAATAGGAAGACGAGAAGATAATTTGATGAGAAGATGTATGATGAAGGAATGTGAAGACGAGATGATGAGATGTTGAGATGATGAATGATGAATGATGAATGATTGGGAAGACGAGCAGGGTGATGGGGAAGAGAATGAGGCTGTTGCGGGTCGCTGTTTTGTTCTGTCAATTTTATCGCAGATAACTGCATCCTCAATGATTTTGTATTGTTCCGAGCTCTTGGCCACGCAACAGATAGTGGTTTCGCAGCTAGCCAGTGATCTACATTGTCCAGTCCAGCCCAGACTTTCCCGAAATATTTGCATCGGTGGCCGCTCATCAGCCAACATCTCCACTGTGGATCATATCTCCTTCCTCCTGTTTGTATGCTCCCCAACCTTCGTCCATATGGATCATCTCTGCTGGCCTCTCCAATGTACAATGACCAGTGTTTGAACTGTTGAATATATGAGGTAGATAAACATGACAATGGTATTCGATACAGCAGCAACATCGCGAGCAGCGAGCTCTCTCTATATACAAGCTTCATAGACTAGGAAATCTCTGCATCGATCCCTTCAGGATGTCGGTGTTCCGTCACCCGGGACCCGTCACCAGTTACCCGTGCTCGGGTACCTCACCAGAGTACACTAGGGACATCACGACCTCCGGACGTCCCATATTCTGACATGAACAAGTGCTCTCGTGATAGCTTAGTAGTTCTGTTGCACCACCAGCATTGATCATCATCTCGCTAAATGATCCAATTCAGGTACGTACTACATAGTAGCTGTGAGGGCATGCCCCGTTGTGCAGTCGCTCTCGGGCAGCGTTTCACTCGTCGATCGATGAGTGCCAAGTAGCATTGCATGCCTCGACGGCAGCGACAATCATCACTAACGACTGAACGCCGATTGAAATCCAGATTCCAAGCACCGCGTAGGTTATGTCAAACGAAGCCTCTCCTCCCCCCCTTTCTATATCTTCCTCCCCTTTTCCCCAACCCACCATCTTCATCCTCGCTCTCCTTCGCCCTTCTTCCTACTCTACCATCAACACCCCTCCATCCTCACGAAAACTCCCTTATCTCTTACCATAACCTTCCTCCACCTCTCTACATTCACACACATCCCCACTCCCCCACACAACCCCGAATTTCCTCTCCCCAGCCATTTCCACCAAACCAATACCACCCCCGATCAATCGCATATCGATCCCCCACTGATCCGCGAGATGTGCAACTCCCGTATCTCTTACCATCACCACGCCTCCATCGTCTCGACTGACGACAATATCCCCACTCCATCATCCTCATGACAACCTGCTTATCTCTTTCCAACACTATCCTCCACCTCTGTGCAACCCCGCTCCCAGAACGTATGGCCGCCACCGTCATCCACGCCTGCACCCCGGTCATTGTTTTCCCAGCTCCGCCCGCGACACGACTACGCCCTACCACCGTCTACAATGCGGCGGCTCCGGGCCCTAACTATCCATCACCAATCATCTGACGAACGACACGAAATCACTCTTCCACTACTCGCCGTCGTTTGGCGGTCTAGGACGCCGCCCCAACCAGCGATGATGCAGCGGTTTCTGGCTCTGGAAGGTCTCAAATTTCAATTGGGCGGTCGAGCCGACGTCCGCACTGCCGATAATGCGGCGGCCCCAGTTCGAGAGATGGAATTACCAATGACTCACAATGGTGGCGAAGGAAGATGGAGGCGATGGAGGCGATGGGGGTGATGGGAGACTAAGAAGAAGAGGAGGAAGCATCCTCCTTCGAACGTCGAAGACACCACCGATGGGGTTGCAATGAAATGAATGGAGGAGGGGAATCGCAGCCTAGAACTTGGAGGAGGAAGATGAGAAGGACGTGATGATGATTGAATGAATGGGAAGACGAGAAGACGAGAAGATGAGATGAATGATGAATGAATGTGAAGGCGAGATGTTGGGATTTTGAGATGATGAATGCTGAATGATGGATGGATGAGAAGACGAGCAAGCAGATGAGTATGATGGAGGGGAGGAAGGAGAGCAGGACAGTGGGGACAAGGATGGCAGGAGGATGTTGCGGGTGCTGTTTATTTGTTTTTCAATTTTATCGCAGATAACTGCATCATCAATAATTTTGTATTCTCCCGAGCTCTTGACGACGCAACAAATAGTATCTTCGCAGCCAGCTAGTGATCTACATTGTCCAATCCAGATTTTCTCGACATATTTGCACCGGTGACCGCTCATCAGCCAACAGCTCCGCTGTGGACCATCTCTCCTTCCTCCTGTTTGTATGGTTCCCAACCTTCGCCGACACGGCTCTTTGCTGGCCTCTCCAAAGCGACCAGTGTTTCAACAAGTACTCTCGTGATAGCTTCGTACAAAATCATCGAAAGCCGGGCTCCGAATCACACGTCATCTCCTCGTTCCCCGATGATCACATACGCCCCATTTCAGCGCGATTAGCCTCAACACCGGCTTTCCAACCTGACCTTTCCCTCGGGACACCGAAAACTGTTCACCATGATCGGTCAAACTTCCAACTGATGAGATTTCCGCGCTAAATCGTCTACATACTCGCAGAATGTTGCAGTGCAGCACCGTGGCGATGCCGACGAGAGCGCGGATGGGCAGTGGGGTTATATATGGTAGAAAGAGCAACATTTACCACTTGGCGGTGGGCGTGAACGATTACCGGTGAGGAGTGGACACGGGCACACAGGATCACTCGGCTGGAAATTGGGCAGAGCAGAAGTTCGGTCGCGGTTGAACTTTCGCCATAGTCTAGATGGGCTGCATGCCAAATAAACTGAAGATCTCTCTATCCCTTTAGAATCAGGCTCAACTCAAAAACACCGACATCTGGCAAGTAACTCTGTGTGGCTCGCGACAGCCCACCCTCGGGGGAAGTATGGAAAAGTACTTTGCAGTGCGCGAAGCCTCGATTTCACGATTTATCAGGTACATCTGACACAGTATTTATCACCTTTATTTATCCTTCTCTAGGCTGTGGGATGTGGGATGTCTTTGATGAGATCTTCTGGCTTTTTAATGGGGGCGTTCTGACTCTCGAGCTATGTGTCGGCCTCTCTGGGAACTCTAGATCTCGAACAGTCGACATCGATGTTGTACTTCTCAGATGATCTGAAAAATATGAACAGAGATGATTGTGCAGAGAAACCAATGTGAGCAATTAAATCATTATCATAATTAGGTCAAGCCACTCAATCCAATATGCATAGCCTCATACAGTAAGTGAACTTCCTCCTCCTCCTCGTGCTCACCATCCTGTTCCCCTTCCTCCCCTCCATCGTCCTCATCTGCTTGCTCCTCTTCCCATTCATTCATCATTCATCATTCATCATTCATCATACATCTTCTCATCTTCCCATTATCTCGTCTTCCCATTCATTCAATCATCATCAAGTCCTTCTCGTCTTCTCGTCTTCTCGTCTTCTCATCTCCTGATCATCGCCCGAGGCTTCCTCCTCCAGGTGAGTCTCTAGAATCATCCTCGGAGGTTTCTTCGAAGGTGGAGGCTTCCTCCTCCAAGTTCTAGGCTGCGATTCCCCTCCTCCATTCATTTCATTGCAACCCCATCGGTGGTGTCTTCGACGTTCGAAGGAGGATGCTTCCTCCTGTTCTTCCTATTCTTCCATCACCTCCATCCCCTGCATCTCTCCCATCTCCCTTCGCCACCATTGTGGGTCATGGGAAATTCCATCTCCTCAACAGGGGCCGTCGCATTGCCGGCAGTAAGGGAGTCGTTCTCGTCCGCCAAATTGGCCACGGGTAGGGCCAGGAGGCCGAAGATGTTGAGGTAGAACGATACCTCGACCGCCAAATTGGCGACGACGACGGTGAGGAGCGCCAACGTGACTAGGGGGAGCGAGTCGATAACGGCCACGGGGAGGAAGGCGAGCACCATGAGGAGGTTGCCGATGGATTTGTTTTTTTCTTTCTTTTAATTGTATCGCAGATGACTGCATCATCAGGACTTCGTAGCGTTTCGAGCTCGCTGTCACCCAATATATGTAGAAGGCTCGTAACTGTACCACCAACGGCAGAACCTTCACTTTCGCATTTCTTCGCACATCCTTCCATCCACGCAACCTCATCCCTGTCATCCTACAGAATAAGAAACAACCCTGACCCCCACCGTTTCTCCGTCGCGTCACCCATATTCTAATGGATGGAGACAAAAAAGATAACTCCTTCGGGTGGGCTTGAACCACCAACCTCTCGATGACCGAACAACCACAGATGCGGTAACTAAGGTAACAGTCGAACGCGCTAGCCAATTGCGCCACGAAGGATGTTTCATGTCTGTTGTCGGCAAAGCCCACTACAGAGAAATCTTAGATAAGCCACTTCTGATTCACCACTTATCGTGTGGTCCCACATCCCCGCGACGGGAGAATTGTTATCGTTTTATCGCTGAAGACGGCAGCATCGAGGAGTGATCGTCGCTATAATTGTCTCCACACCCGAAGTAACTATTCTCGAGAGGTGCGACGGCATTTCCTGGAGGGGGCGTCATTGTTGATGTTGTTTCGCCATCTCGAAATGCAGCCCGCGACGGGGACCTACAGCCCACAAACAGCATTCGGTGACTAGGCCTTTGGCCTTATCGAATGGACTTCCCGACACCCGCCACTTCCGTTGCATTGCACCGGCGTTGCCATTCATCGAAGAATAACCGCGCCGTGTGTGACGGAGATGAGCATGTCCTGTCGGTCCTTTGGATGGAGGAGACGCCGAAACCGCGAAGTCCCTGCAGAAGCGTTTGGAAATCCTCACGAAGCTCGATTGCAAAGTCCTTCCAAGCTCCAAACCCTAGCACGCAGCTTCTTCGTCTGCATTAAGAGCATTCAATGATAGACTCTCAGGAAGAGACTCACCTACCCTGCTTCTCTAGTACACTGTGCTCAGAGCGCACCAGCCCCTTCTGTAACAAAATTCGTGCTTCCGAATGATCTTCCTCGTGGCCTGGGGCTATCCCTCAGGATGCCCGCACAGAAACCGTCCGCTTCCCTCCGTATTGTGAGATCCTGCGGGCAAGGAACCCACACACGAAGATAGGCCTCTGCTCTTCGTGCATCGATCTCTCCATGTAAATCTTGTCTCGTTTCATCCGAATAGTGGTTTTCTCCAGTAGTCCGGCTTGTGTTTATTCCAACCCTCGGCACCGTAGCCAATCAGCGTCTGCTCAAAATAAGAGTTGTTTGCTTACCGATCGGCCGGTGGAATCTCGCAAGAGGAGACCTTCTCTGAATTTTCCACAAGCTGAGAACGTATGGCATGGGAATTCCTTCCACGGTCGTGTCCCAATTGTAGGTGAAGATGATCTCCCTCAGATTCTCACTTGGAGGCCCCGATGCTCCCATCGAAGTGGCCATTCCCATAGTTGCAAAGCTGCTTATAATCGCAGGTATTGTTTCTCCACCGCCACGTCCCGTTTTATTGGTGACCAAAAAAGCGTTCTACGAAACTGACGGAATTGCTGTAGCCTCGGAATACCTTTGTACTCTGTCTCACCGGACCGGGCAGTAAATGCTTCCAATCCGGCCGTCGCAACAAGATCGAAAAGGAGAACATTGACCTCCACAAACCACCGACCGCCTATGAGGACTCAGGAGATAAAGCGCAGCCGTTCGAAAAATTTGCCTGATCTAGAATCTATTAGGACAAAATTCTCGGGTATTATGCGATACGCCCTCCAACTCACCCACACATTTGCTGGGTATTTGCGATGGCCAACACCAAATTTGCATCTCCCAGCGCCGGCAAGTTGGAACACTGCCCCCAGCAAAACGAAATGCTCCACGAGCAAAAGTAAACTCCTTCGGGTGGGCTTGAACCACCAACCTCTCGATCGCCGAACCCCAGTAGTGGAATTAACAGTCGAACGCGCTAGCCAATTGCGCCACGAAGGATGTTCGATGTTCCAGCTCGAAATTGGCTCATATGCCGTATTGTAAGACGGTTCTGCGAAGAAGGAGGCTGTACCGCGGCTGGTTGAATAAGATTTTGAAGTCAGATTGGGCTTCTTAACTAGGAGAGTTCATCGAGTGAGGCTAACCATGATCATGATGATAAGCCACAATGGCACAGTGACTTCGCCACACGTCCAGCGCCGCCAACCTGCCGGAGTTCGTCCGCACTGAAGCGCTTCTTCGCAGTACAGGAAAGCGTGATGTCCAACAATCAACCGAAAGCGGCTTCGAAATAGCTCAGAGACATTTGAACTCGTCCTTGTAATGGGACCAGCGCGTAGCAGCGGAGATGTCGACGTGACTTGGCGAATGTTCCGAACGATATTACTCGTACTGCTACTGGGTGACGGAGAATATGACCTTTTGCTGACACCCCGGCTCCGCTGAAACGCGTTGATGACTCGGAAGTAGAGCGTGCTTGTGGGAACTCGAGCACATCTTCTGTCCGCCCGGGAGCGTCGGAGTATGAATGCGTCAAGCGTGGAGTTCTCGCGGTTGATTGACGAAGGGTAAGGCTGTTGGCACAGCCCAACACAGATGGTGGCCCCGATCTCCTTCCAAGGCCGGAGCTTATTGAGATGTAGCGCGCGTGCCGGTGTAGTAGTTTCCATATAACCGCGAGTGGCTGGCGGGAAAACGAGTGAACGAGTGGCCGCGGCCCGCGGGAGGGAGAATATTGAAGGTGTCTGATCTCTGCCTTTACGCCACAGTTGGCACGATCGCCGCAACACGTAACAATATATCAGAACTACTCCGTATCATATTAGCTCCACGTGTGAAAGTTTTCGGTTTGAAGGAAGTTTCGAAACATACTCAGATACTCCTCAAGAGCGTTACGTCGGATCCAATCCATCTTAGCGGGATGTCGCCTACTTGATGGACAAGTGCAGTTTGTGGAACCCTCATTAAACTCCGACAATGCGTGTCGACTCGTACTCTACGGCGAACACAGGTACAGTTGTCGACGACATCGCGATCTGAGGAGATCCATCGATGTAGCAGTCGGTCCGTGTGGAATGCGAGTTGGTAAGGTGCCAGCGACCGGTGATCTCTTCGTCAAAGTCTAGATAGGCTGTATGCGAAATAAAACAGGAAGATCTCTCTCTCTCTCTCGACCGGCGATCTACTCCCACATCACTATCGGTATGGTTCTTAGTGGATGGGCTGTGGATCCACTGCACAATCTTTTTAGAAAGGACACAAGCAGAGGCCGCCCAGGACTTCGAACGCCGCGGCGATCGTTGAACACCATTCGACGCAGACGTTGATGTGGTGGGATACTAATATCTTCTTCACTAATCTGTCAGCATCCGTTCCCGTTCGGTGATTCTGTATCCTCGGAGAAATTACAGACGTCCAGGTCAGTAATCTAATTTCCGTGCTGGCACCTATCACTTGACGGTCCGTGCTAGAGATGATGTCCAGAAGGCGTGTGGGATGAAGATTGGTGATGTCATTAAAGTTCAACGATGATAGCGATTGGGGTGAAGTGATGGGAGAGAAGGATCCACAGTTGGAGAACGGCGGGGAGGGATTGAAAGGGGGATCGCTAGATGAAGCGAGCTGGAAGGGATAGCATGAGCCGTCGTAGATTGACAGGTGGGTGGTTGGATGTGTGAATCGTAATTCTGTGGTTACGGCGATGTGAGTGTTTGTATCGGTGGAAGTGGGGTAGTAATAGATGGTGGTGAGGGTTGATATGCGCAATACATACGACCTCCAACCCCGCCTCAGAAGCTAGGACGAACGTGGCAGAAAATCCATGCACGCGTCTGAATGCAGGCCCATCATGCCAAAAGCAGTGACTCCCTGGCTCCGGATTCTTCGCTCATTCGGGCCGGAACGGGCGGGAGTAGTGCCGTCAATTTCCGACTGGCCTACGGATGACGATGCCTGAGAGTAGGTGCGATTTCTGCCAACTCCAAACAAATTCGCAGTGCGCGCAAATCAACCTCTGTATACTACATTACTTGTGTACAATCTCCCCCCTTCATCAGCTGTGATGACCGTACTAATTCAATGACCACCATAGCTTACACCGTCAATATCGTACGCACCAATTTCTCCCCTCAGTAGTCATTGATGGTATGATACATCGTCGACCACATCCAAAAACCTAATAGTGTGCAACACAAGCCTCTCTCACAAGCGTCCTCCGTGGCGCAATTGGCTAGCGCGTTCGACTGTTAAACCCCAAAGGCAATCGAGAGGTTGGTGGTTCAAGCCCACCCGGAGGAGCAATCTTTTGCATTTCAGGCTGAGAAGGAATGTTTTTTTCGGCGGGATATTGGGGTGACAGAGAATTCGGACTGCGTGGCAGTGGATGTGTCGCGGGGGTCGCTACGTGAGACGGGACGGATCCGTTTGGTTAATGACGAGAAGGTTGAATACTCGAGGGAGAAAAACATACATCTATGGCAGTGGGAATAACTGCCACGAGTCTGAAACGGAGAAGAGGAGGGGTGGATCTCGTTTAGCTGCAGAAAAGACAGTGGGAAGCAAACCAAGGCAAGAATCCCGATGCCACGAGGTGAATTTTCAAGATGCTAACCCAACTAGGTACGCTGTTGGGGGTGGATGGCCGCTCGCTTTCCGCCGGATGTCACACGGGGTCGCTGAAAGTTTGTAATTATCAGGTGAAAATCACACACCGGAGTTCTGGAAAGAGAGACCTTTAACGGCCGATGGATAATTTTCGAGGGAACTTCAACATATCGCCGCGTTCACTCAGCCTGCCGCCACAACTGGTAGTGAAGTAGGGTCACTGTTAATAGCAATCATGCAGAGTTCCGGGGTGAGGGAACATCTTCGAAGCGAGTCGGAAACGCGCGATTGTTTCGATACCTGGCCCACTATCAGGTAGTAGAAAGAGTCCACGTTACTGGTAATCACGTGGACGACCACGCAGCAGCGAACAGCCGCGCCCTGCGTGTGGTTTGTAAAGTGGTGCCAAGAGAATTTTGGAGGTCAATTGATTACAGTATTATCCAAGACATCAAACATCCTCCGTGGCGCAATTGGCTAGCGCGTTCGACTGTTATTCCCACTTCTGTAGTTTCGGCGATCGAGAGGTTGGTGGTTCAAGCCCACCCGGAGGAGTTTCTTTTTTCTCATGTCTGTTCTGCTGGAAGGCTGTGTTTTGAAGGTGCGAGTTAGAATATTCTAGATGGAGGAGCCAAGATGTGTCACGAGTGTAGAATCTAACTTCAAAACCTCGATCGTGTATGTAAGCAGGCCACCTATTGCGGTTACGTGTGGCTACCAAGTAGGATTCAGCTGCTTTTCTTAATTCTACATAGGCTGTCGGCGCTGCAGAGTGTACGAAGTCTGCATGGGTTCCTTCGCCCTGCTTTTAGTCGTCCCGCTTGACATGTTCTAAGTTTCCTATCACTGCTGTATCCTGCACTGTGGGGCTTGGGGCCGGGGGAGGGGCTCATCCATTTTGTTCCGCCGCCCGCGCGCAGCCTTGCTAGACTATGTACCTGGTATAACGAACTCTCGAAAGAAAGCATTCCTGCCCGCTTACGAGGGAGAGATAATCAATTTACTGTCGCATGCGGCCTGTCTAAACTTCAGCACGCCGTGATTTTGCTTAACAAATGGTGGCTTCTGAAATCACGTGTTACGAGGGATCGAGTGATCATATGTGCCAATGGTTTGTGCTCCTGCTTCTACCCAGTTACACACTTTGGTAGTGGCTACAAATGTGTGATGAGGGGTTATTATTCCGTGTGGTGCCCTTTGCGACGTTTTGAAGCAGGAATTACCTACCAGGGGACTTCGCCATCCCTTGATCGTGCACTAATCGTTCGAACCAGCCTCGGTGGTCGTTGGTGTTGGTCGTTCGACAACACAAACGAAACCCCGAGAAAACTCACCCCCCGAAAAAGTGAAAACAGCACATCCGCCAGGCTAACCGCGCGACAGCATCACATTCGCCCACGAAATGTCCGTTCCACGGACCCACCGCCCAGGCGCCGCGACTACAACTGATGCGTCGGCCGCTGCTGGTGTTTCAACAGGATCCCACGAGCTACCGACAGATGCTGTATCAAGCGAAGTTTCCGATACGCAACTGGAGTATATTGTTTATGTACGGCTGCCCTTTCCGCGGCGTGGCTTCGTCAACCCTCCCCAGGTATGACAAGCCCCACTCATATCCTCAGTCAGACCACAATACTTACCGACACTCGCATGATCAGGTGTGCTGGAATGAACAGAAGGAGCGGCATCTCTGGCGTACGGTTATGCGAGAGGACCGCACACAGCCTATCGATTGTAAGTTTTCGAGATTGCCAATGCGTCTTCGGAATGGTCTGCTAATCGCTGTCTAGGGAACAAGCTGTATGGCTTTGAATCTCCGCCGCTAGTATAGAAGATTATTAACAAACAAACATCATAGTGCCGAAGACCTCCAGGTCACCCCGCTCTTTTGCATGCGTGTGATAAGTCTGCTCATCAACCAAGAGCAAGCCAAGCTGATGAAGGCCGCAAGGAGACCGTCTACCTTTACCGCGCCTCGCGCTGGTTCCTCGACGCTGTCTCCAGAATCGGAATTGTTATCACCATCTTCTTCGATCATGTATGAGAAATCCCAACCCGCTTCCACGGATGATCCCGCCTGGGAGTTGGTGTCATCGTTGGAAGAATGTCGTCGAGCGCCGCATAACGTTGAACCGGGGTCTGTGGTCGAATGGGATCTGGATCCTTAGTTACTTCGATCTAGGAGTTTTCATGCTCCGAAATACAGTTTTCGTACGTGTGTGAATGCCCTCAAATACCCTCAAATGGGTGCGACCTGATTGTTGTATCTTATCGGCGTGACAGACTGACGAGGCGATGCGATACCACACCGATGCTCCCTCAAGAATAACGGCGTGGTTCGATTCATTAGTCTTCGAATATCTCCAGTCTTTGTGTCTTAAGTGTTTTCTCTTCATGTCGAGCAACAGAACCACCAGTCGCCCAGAAACACCCACCTCCATCGCCGTTGATATCCCCCGCCCTAGGCGCAAAAAATGAACTTCCGCGTCGGAAACAAAAGAGAAACTCCTCCGGGTGGGCTTGAACCACCAACCTCTCGATGTCGAATATTCACCAGAGTGAAGTTAACAGTCGAACGCGCTAGCCAATTGCGCCACGGAGGATGTTGCATGTTGGAGCTAGCAGAGTGACAGCCATTAAACGTCTAGCTCAGAAGCTTGATTATAACGTCTAGATCTGATTGGAAACCATGGGAGCAAGAAGAAATTGCCGCAGAAACATTCCGAATATGCACGAACAGTTGACACAAGGTGGTATGCCGCGAATAGTTGGTGTGAATATTACACACCGCACGGCAAAGCCAGCCAGGTTATTGTGTCGGAGAGGATGGACACCGAGCCTAATATTTAAGCCGAGATGAGTTTCAATCTGCTTCCTAGCTTTCCGCTCATGTTGATTCTTCCTGACCCGTTCTATTCTCCTGACTGCTGGAATCAATGGAAAGTTTGTCGTTCAAGGTTCGGTGGTGCTCTGTTACTTCATTTTTAAGCAACGACATCCACGTTAAATAGTCCGAATTTCCAGGACCGGGCTTGCTGTATCGCGGGAACGTCTGCTATTATAGTTGTTCGAGCGGTCGGCAAATAATACTTTTGAACACTGATTCTACATACATACAGCCGATTGCCGTGGCCCTGGAGGTCGATGGTAATCGGACGCGACAGTCCTGTCATTTGCGACGAAGGCGGAACTAAACCCTCGTTGCGGTGTTGCCTCCAGAGGACTCCACGCAGTCACTTTCATCATGAGGTGCTACACTACTGATCTTTGTGGTGGTCACTCACGCTGAATCACTCAGGGGATCTTAATAGTCTGTTCAATGTGTGTACCATTATGAGTCACTCGCCCATAACAGTCCACTCCTGCGGAGATAGATTCCCAAAATACATGAACGGTGAAAACAAATTGTATAACTATATTAAAGCGTGCATCCTGACACATACTCTCTATGCACGAAATTAATACTTCCTTACGGATCGTACGGCCGCGCTTTCTTCAATGCAAAGCTGGGTTCCTCCAAGGTATGGTAGGGTTCGACCCTACCAGGGTCAACCCTAAGAAGGTTCATCCGTCTCGGGTTAGCCTTGAACACCTGTCTCGCGTATTGCTATACGTCCAGTGTTCTTCATCGTCCGGTCCGGACGGCCAAAATGCTGGACAGTTCGAGCCTGGGACGGACGGCCCACGGGTCGGTCTACGTCCGGCGGTGGAGGATGACCGTCCAAGTCACGTGAAATGATTTGCCTGATTGATGATTTCTTAGCAGCGATATCCTATGCACCACCTCAACAGTTCATTCCTCACGGCTCCACTAGCTGTGACAAGTAATAGTATTCTGACTCGGACGCCTAATGTGCGGCGGCGACCGGGCCTTATCACAGCGCTGAGCGCTCTAGGCACCATATCATACTCGGCAACCCAAGGTACACGCCTGAAATCAAGTTTTTACCCAACAATTGACGGACTGCCATCGACAGCTGTCTGCGCGTTGTTCGTCTCGTCTGCCTGCTGAAAGAAACGTGGCCCTCACGTGCTAGGCTCGGTCAGGCGCGAGGCACGCCGTCCGTCCTCTTATGAGGCCCAGGACGGGCCGGACAATGGAGAACACTGTATAATACGTCGCGCATAACAAAACAAGAAAAAAGAATACACGAGGCGGGATTTGAACCCACGTCTCCGTCGGCCTTCGCCTGTCGGTTGGGAGGACGGCATGCTAACTACTGCACTACTCGTGTTTCGCATATTACGTGGACGACACTGCAGGACATGAACTGTAGCCTTGGCGTTGTGCCAGAACGGGCAGGTAGTGCTGATCATACGCAGTCTTGTTTGCTGTGGTAATGCAGAAGGAATTGATGAACGCCGGTGCAATTCATTCATATTAGCGCCGCTGTGCGTCCATACTTTTAGAGTCGGGCATTGCGCAATGCACGACGCAGTTAGCCTCCTATGATACCCTACACTTGGTCGCATGCATACGTGGTTCCAAGTTGGGTGCCTGCGGTATTCACGGCGGGGTGAGTGTTGTGGCCACGATGAGGACTAGTAGGGGCAAACGAGGTGTCACGTGAATGACGGAGCCAGTGATGGATCCGCTGCGAGGCCAGCGCTGTATCCACAGCGAAGGCAGCCTGGTATCCATGGCAAGGAGCAATAGCGAGACAAGGTACCCGCGGCGGAGCCAGCACGGAGTTCACAGGGCTGGATTTAATTCACGGGGGTCTTCGTTGGTGAAGGGAACGGTGGACGCCTACGTCGCCATGCAGGAGACCTCATTCACACGTGTGGAGATCCTACTCAGGACTCAGTAGGGGCGGCTAGTAAGGTGTGTTAAGACAAGGATGCTGCGTAGTTCAGGGTGACGGCGATCGGCTGCGTACAGGAGGGATTGCCTCGATGCAAAGGGTTTGACTAGGCGTCTTGCATCGTGGAAAGGGGTTGCTCGATGGGTGCGGTGCATGACTTGGAGCGTCAACACGCACCTGAAGCAAAAGCCTGTTTTCCCGATGCATCTACCCCACGTCATCACCCCACTCACTCCTCCTCTTCTATGTGCACCGAAAATATTCTGACACCGACACAAACACCACTCCTTTATAAACACCCACAACGAACCAACCATATCTCCACAACCATCACCCTCAAACAAGTTACAACAACTACCAAAGAACCCGCACGGACTACAATACAAAAAATGAACGTCTTCAGCGTGATCTAGTCCTGTAAGTAATATGCTACATCGACTGGCAGGAGCTCACGAATAATATTTTATCTCGGTCTAGGTGTCCGACAGGTCGGAATGACCACTCCAATGAGGAAGGGAGGTCACGGCTCTTGATTTCACCACTTAGAACCATTGGAATTCTGGTATCACCCAGTGTTCTACATAGACCAGGCCGGTCGGCCGACCAGACCTGATTTTTTTCTGGTCGGGATACATCCCGACCGACCAGACCTTGCCAGGCTCAGTCGGCCCAAGCCGGCCGACGTCGGGTTAACTGCTAATTCTATCAGCCGCAAAACATTGCTTAGTTTCTAGCGTTTTTTAGAGCATTCGGGATATAACCCGACCGACCGGACCATACCCAAATTTGGTCGGGACTGGTCTATGTAGAATGCTGGTATCACCATTGCCGGGCTCGGTGTACGTCTTAGTAGCGGGGGTGGCATCTATGTGAGGTCAGTGTATTATACTTCCCACATTCACGTGGATCGTCTTTTACTAATCAATTTGCAGACCGAACGAGAACCCCAAACCGAGCAGCAGCCGTATGCAATGGCTACAAATGACATGCTGACTCGCTCAGCGTCGCCGCTTCTGTGGATTATAAGAGATGGAATGTCAGAGCCTAGAGAGAGTTTCTCTGCCGACAGGAAGCGAGAGGTTATGCGTCTTGATCGCGTCTTGATCGGATTGCGAACATGTTCGTAACCAAGTCGAAGGTTGATGCCTTCGCTGTCGTCGAAGAGGTGCGGCCAAATGGTGCACGCATATACTGCGTGACGGAAGGGTCTGAGGAGGGTGCGGCGCCCGAAGGCAGCGAGAGGGGCAATCGAAGTCGCCCCTCCCGCTGTCGTCCAGATACTTACAAAGAACATTAGTAGTCAAAAACTACTATAGGGTTCATCCCCCCGAATCCTAGTGACACCCCGCCGCCGGACACTAAGGGTGTAGCTTCTTCTAACATCATCACTAACCAATTTGTATTCACTTTACTGACTGATTATCCCAATAGCTAAGGATATTGGTACGACTTACCTGTCAGTGATGCAGTTTAATGTCCTCAGGCATCAATAGACCGAGTTGGGGAATAACTTCGGTGGGAACGGACGGATATCTTGGGGAATGGATATAGCGAGATTTGGGTTTTGCTTCTATATATCCCTTTAAATACTCTCTCTGTTGTCGGCTATTGTGTTCTGTGTCAAGCAGTCAAATCACCATCTGTCTCTCACTCGTTCGCTCAGATCCGCTTGACAAAATTACCCTCAGGTTTTTGAGCATTCAATCATCCACTGATGGAATTATCTTCCTGCTGGTGTTTTGTTTGCCCGGCAGATGCAATAGTAATTTGGTCGATAGGATACGCTTTGGTGGCCAACCGGCATAAGCACCGCCGCAGCTTCCAGCGTGAGTTCACGAGACGAGCCGTAGAACTTTAGCACAACCCGTGTTGCGGATCAGATCCGCACGCAGTTAATGCCACAAGTTTCTAGCTAAGTATTGGTGGTGTAAGAGGCGCCGTTTGCGACGAAAATTAATATACCGTCTGCGTGTTCGCCATATACATGTTCTAGCCTGCCGGGCAAAACTAGTATCTCATAAATGGACCGGCCACCCGACCAAGTGACCGGCCCCCGAAGAAGTGACTGGATATAGGAAGTGACCGGACAGTGGGGAAACTTTTCACGGACAGACCGGTCTTTGGGCATATTTGTGAGCAGGTCAGTCTGGCCACAAACTTTCCGGCGCTGGCAAGTAAAACTCAATCGAGTCCCAGCCGAGTCCTGTATAGAAGCCAGCAAACTGATTCCCGAGGCCGAGCTATCCGGCACGATTACACTTCACGCAGCAGCGGCAAAACCATCAACTAGCGAGCGAATATCCATCTCCTGCAATTGCAAGCCCTCACGCTGTACCAGCAAGTGCCGTTGTATGCATGAAGAACAACGTCAAATGTTCAGTCCACTGCCATGCAACGGAATTCGACTGCAATAATCTGTCGAGTTTGGAAACTCGTACGGAAACTGCCTTAATTGATCGTCCTCCTAGAACGCAACCATTACGATCAGTAATAGCAGAAGCTCCAGCTGCCTCCTCCGAACTGTTCAGTATCGATGGATGGAACACTCCACCACCCGCTACTGCTGTTCTACCAGCACCAACATCAGGCCGCCACAGTCTCCGCTCAGGTATCCAAACAGAATCTAGCCAGATAATGGCTCGGCCTACGGCTAAAAGCAACACAAAAAAGGTTATTCAGGGCGGTGGTAGTACCCAGAGAGATGCTGGAGGGAGGAGAGCGGGGGGGAAGTCGGAGAGAAAGGATGTGGGGAAGCCGGACGGGGGTTGAGAAAGCGAAGGAGGGTGAAAACCTAGGTGATGATTCGTAGATTGACTGCGTGAGCTGTGTGGAAAGATTTGAGTGTTGAGTCGATAGAAAACTATTGTGATGTCCGCGTATATGCACATAAATTTGCCCGTTCCACCCAGAATATTTTCTGACTCGGCTGTTCGGTCAGATCGCATATGCAGTCATTTGCCCCGCTGGCCGGTCTATTTATAAAAACCAGTTTTGCCCGGCAGGCTAGAACATAAATAATACCCATGCGTCGCATCGCTGTCTTTGAAGAGCCAGCTTAACTAGAAGGACGCAAATCGCTGGTATCCCACCTTCGTTTCCCATCCGATTATCCCAATCGATAGGCTTTCCAGCACCTTAAACTTCTTTTGTTCGAGGCTCTTTGGGATTTGTACCATCAGTCCAGCACTACGACGCAGGTGGTGCGTCGATTTGGGAATGTCTTCATTACTCCTGTTCAATATCAGCGTAGCATAGTCCCAGCTCCAGGCTTCGATGAATTGGTTATGGTTCAGCCGCCCCTGATCTCTAATGTGTGCTTGCCCTAAGTCACCGTCCACACAGCGATGTTGATGTACCCCACCACTGGCAATTCGAGGCGTGAAATAAGGACACCTCTCGCACCGAATAGCTTTAGAACGCCTTAGGTGAAGACGCAGGAAGCGGCGCGACGAAAGAGTCTTATATGTGGTATCGATGAAGAGAGAGGGGGGGGGCGAGGTCAAGAAAGAGATCAAGATCCATGGTCCGGTATTTGATGAGAGCAAATACCTGTCAATGAGTTACCAGGATAGCGGTCTGCTAGACAAAAATATCACAAACAATGCCACGTGCTGGCATAGTACCAGTGACTAAGTACATAAGTAGTCGATCGTGTAAAGAAAGTTGTGAAGGAGCCAAAGCCTCTGTCGTAAAAGTTGATGTTATTCGCACAGAAAATACTCAGCGATCGAGGCTCTCTAAATCGGGTGTCGTGCATGGAAATCGCCCATCCAGACTTTGGGCTGCCACTCCCCTTCCTTCACAACCACACACAAATCCACTGTCCACCCAACGGCAACCCCACGAACCACCCCGAAGCACGAAACGAACATTCGCGATCCGCCAGTAGCGAAATCCAGAAATCATGCCCATCATGCTATTCGCCACTGCCAGTATGCCTCCGCTTCAGAGACAGCTGACTAGAGACTGATGTTCCTTTCCCAATAGTGTCTGCGCCTGGTCGGAAGCCCCAATCGCTGCACCTGTTTCGTTCGCAAGAGCGTTCATTGTATGTCTCACCAGTTCTTGCTCATGCATACTGCCATTCGAAAGCTCACATGCGCCACCAGTGCACGGCAAGGCCATCCTTGGCAGAAATTACCATTACCTCGACAAGGACTTCTACAAGCCCGATCGTGGACAGAATCGCGGCCACAGTGGCGGTGACCGTGGTAACAATGATCCCAAGCAAGGTACAGTCTCTAAAACCTTCCGCGCTTCCTACGCTGGTTTAGCTGACAGATATTTCAATAGGCTCCGACAGTATGGATCTCCTGACGTTTTATGCGCTGCTGTGTTCGAACTGACGTCGAATAGTCTCACCTGTCACGTTGATTGCATTCCCACTGTGGGCAGTTGGCTATGGTTTCTACTATGAATACGTCCGCGAGAAGACTGCAAAGGCTGCTGAGGAAAAAGCTAAGGAATCTGGTACCTGATCGAAGAAGGCGTAGATTTTCAATACTATAGGGGGTTCACGAGCATGATGAAGCATTCTCGAATACATGGTAAATCATGTGTGAAACCCGCTTCGTCTACCCGGTACCTTCAATGCCATCCGAGAAAAAACGTGCGTGATGCCAAAGCCATGTGGAATACTAAATGGTGAATCATGTGTGAACTCGGCTTCGTCTACCGAAAGCACAGCCGATAGCCCGTTGCTAGACTGCACGCTCCCAAGCATGGTGATTTTTAGGCGTCAAGCTCTCAGGTATGGAGAAAGGGCGTGCCCTAGTCTGAGCGCTGGTGCACTATACGCCGTATTGAGCATGGAGTACCTACTAAAATAATGCCGATGCAATAGACAACGCCTTTGACGCAAACATGGACGAAGAAGTCTGGGTATGAGCGGATTCTAGGTGACCGATAGACAGATATGATGAGAATCTCCCTCTGACCTGGTGGATCCTCTAATATCCTACTGCTCCGGCCCACAAACCACCCCCAGGGTTGCCTCTACTTCAAGATAGTAGCTAGGTTAGGTCGATTATCTGAGCGGAGGTACCGTGATACTACGATTCCGAGGGTTTGTCGTTTTCTCGGTGTGGTGTGGGTAGATCTAAAACGTCAATTTGGAAGCCGATACGATAAGATGAAAAGACGGGGAACTTTTCACTTCAGTGTACCGTATTATCTCGGATAACTGTTGGCTTTTTTTGAGTGGTTAGCGCCGCTACACGCAGGCTTGGCGCGCTTCTTACACGCCGCATTTCGGGTGCTTGGCGCTTAGTCAGTATCAAAATCACTAGCGCAAAGTTTCCGTGATGTTTCTCCACATGCACAGCACCCACTTCAGACCTCGTCTCTCCAGCAGACTGCCACAACATCATCATCTTCAGTGTTGCCGATGTTGGGAAACAGCTCTACAATCATATACCGCTTACCTACTCCTTCCAGTCGCTTGTTTCTTCTCGCTAATACTGGTTCACCTGGAACAGGCATCCTCCCCATGCGCGCTGAGAGAGTGGCCGATGAGCCTGCTGAGGATGCGTTCACTGAACCTTCGCTGGGCACGCCCACCGAACCTGTCAAGAGTACACCACTCAACCTGCCGAGAGCGCCCCGGCCGAGAGCGCGCCTTCCGAGCCTCGTAAGAACGCGCCCACTGTGACAATAACGCGCCCACTGAGCCTGCCATGAGCGCGCTCACTGAGCCTGCCATTAGCGCGCCCACTAAGTCTGCTACTGATGACGCGTCAACCGAGTATGTCGAGAGCTCGCTCACTGTGCCTTGTAGACATCTTTGACGAGCGATCAGTCTGATATTGTTGTCTGTCGTTGTCGGGAGCATCTTGAGCCGTAGATGTAAGAACAAGAGCTGCGAATTCTGATATGACTGTGTCGGCAGGTGCTACTTTCGTAGGAAAAATGACCTCGTTGTTCTCCATTATTGTCTCCGTGATTTCTATCGACTTGATCTTTGTAGGGTGTACTCTACTTGTACTGTAAAGCTCTACATCTGCCATTCCCACGATGCTTCCGCAGTTTCAGCCGCATTAACCTAATCGGCTGATGTTCTGTTGCTGCGCCGGCGCTAACCATATTCACGCTAGTGTGCACTTCTCCGCGTTAGTTCCATTTCAAAAAGCGAACAGTTATCTGAGATAATACGGTAGCTAGTGATACCTTCAATTCGTGGCTCAAAAGACCGGTTCCGGACACATTAGCAATGTCGCGATAGATTGAAGCAAGCGTTGAAACTGCGAGTTGTGTGCCCCACCTCTTTCCACCAAGACCCTTCCACCACACCATCGACATCAAACAACTTACATCATCAGGAACGACATCCCCAGAAACATACTCGACTCCCCAACCTCCAGATACAACAATAATGCCGATGTTCTCCAAGCTTTTTGGCATGGGTAATTACTTCCGTACAGTCAGAATTCTCAACGGGATTAAAAACTGATGTGGTCTCCGTTAGGTGCCTCTTGCGCGGTAGCTGAGGTGTTCCCCAAGCTCAAGCAAGTCTCTATTGCGTCGCGCAATGGAATCAAGTGTGAGTCCCAGCTGCGCCGGCTCATACTATATGGATCACCATTCGGAAGCTTATGCAGTGTATGGACGTGCTAGTTCCCTACTACAAGCTCAGTAGCCGCGGCAGCGTTCGCTATGTTGCCTCGGGACCGGACAAGAACCTCAAAAAGAAACACGATGACGACCACAAGGGTAAGAGCCTTATCCATAGCATCCCGCACTCCTTATTGAGATAGGGTCACTGATGCAGCTATTGACAGGACGCTTGGGTACCACCACACTTCCGCTTTTTCCGCGATACTTATGAACTGACGTCTAGCTGCCCTCCTCGTCGGCTTCGGTATTCCCGGAGCCTGCATGGCAATCGGCCTCTACTCGTGCATCCTCCTAGACAAGAAGCATGCCAACGACAACAAAAAGGGCAAGTCGGAGGCGGAAATCGCTGCCTAGAATCGTCACATTTCGGTCAATTTTAGTCACCGTTAAAGCGAAATCTGGAAAACGAGTATCTGGGTCAAAGTTCTAAGTTCTTTCCGTGTTGTTTTACTTTTTCTCGTAGGCCCTCTCCCATGTGATTTGCAATGCGAATTTTGAATTCGGAAGATGCCATTAGACGTGTGCCAGTCGCTGCCACAGACGTCACGGTTCTACGCACCGCCATAGTAGTCGGTGTCAGTCAAATCTTAAAGTAGGTGGGCGGAGGAACCCCTCCATAATATGCTGAACCCCCACAGGTAGGAACGATAGCTGGTTGAGTAGAATCTAGCGGCGAAAGAGAAGAAGGACGGGAAGCAACACGCAAAGGATATGTCAATCACCATGCATCCGAAACAAGCGTTCCGCCGTCGAAGCCTCAAGGCGTAACCCTGCTGCTATACTTCAGAGTACCTGAAGCTGCCCCGGAATGAAAGATACTTGCTGGATAAGATCTGGTTGAATGGGTGATATTGACATTTAGAGGGCGAGAAAATGGGAGAAAAGGCTCCTAACAGCGATGCTGATTATATGGGGTGATCTTAGTTCATCCTACCGGAGGGGGAGATCATGATGCTGGATTGTGACCTCACAAGGAGAGCCTCAAAAGGAGAAAAATAAAATATCTAAAAATTACGCGGTCTTTCCAGTGATCTCATGATAGAGCTCATCAGGTGCGCTACAGCTATTGAAAGGACGCTGGATGTTTCCTGTTTTGGTCTTTTGAGCAGCGGGTCAACGACACACATTTCTACCAAACCCAACCTTTCGTCCCCCAAGCTTCCTCCTCTATCCCCCCAACCTCTTCCTCCCGACAAGAAACGTCTTCAACAACACCACAAAATACACCGACGACAATCACTCTCAAGATGCCCATCATGACTCCAGGTAATTTATGATATCTCCGACTGCTAGTAGCAGCTTCATTGAACTTGTTCTCGCTGCGCAGGTTCTCGCATTTACGGCAAGAGCGTCTTCAAGTTGGCCTCCCATGGCTACCGCCTCGGTGAGTTCCCGGTCTTCTAATTCATCGCCTGCAATTTCATCCGAGGACTAATGACCACCAGCGGCCAAGAAGCCTCACCCAAGTCGTCTCACTTCATACAAGGGAGGAGACGGCTACAAGAACTCCCATGACAAGATCGACGGTACGTTTATCCTTTTGTTACTTGAATCATAGGCATTCATGATCACTGACGGTGTTTCCTGACAGCTCGCTTGTGTCAGTTATCCCCTCGACGTTGAGTTGAAGCGCATCTACTGACCGTGACTAGTCGCGTGGCTGAATATTGTCGTCATTCCGGCTGGATGCCTGGGCTTGGGTCTCTACTGGGGATACCGCCATGAACCCATGGATAAAAAGGGTCGCGAGGAACTCGATGTTCTGCTACACACTTCCTTCTGTACCAAGTAGATCGACAGGGTGCTGGGACTACTAGTTAAACGAAATTCACGAACAAGTAGTAGTCAAACGTCCTCACCGACGTATCTGCTCCCGCATCGTGACCTGCCATAGGCCCATAGTGACGAACTGTTGAATACCACTACCTTGCAAGCGGACATTCAGCCGTTGGCGACAAGACGCTTATACGATCATCTATGCTAGGGAGTTTACTACATGAAAGAACTGGCGCCTACGAACACGTTGGGAGATATCCACAGGAAAAGGCACAGATGCGGAGTTCGTGATCAATGACACCGCTAATGGAGATACATTGATGATCTATCTCCAGCATTTAAATGCGCAGAATCCCACCGTGAAAACCAAAAGCTAACTCCATAAATGACAAGAAACACCAGAACCCAACCCAAGAAACAAAAAGAAAAAACGGAAAACAAGACCACAGCCCATTGACGCTGTAACACTCCTCACACCCTGCCCCACATGAACTCCTCAATCGCTGCCGAGTCGAGTCTTGCCCCGAGTCGAAAAGACGTTTGCTGCGATGGCGGCAGCCCTCTAACCCCTCGCGGTGTTGATGGGGAGTTTAAACCGCGTTTGGGTCCTCTTTGTAGTCCCCTTTGCCTCTCCTTGAGACTTGGCCGGCTCTTCTGCCGGCCTGGCTCGGGGCTTGCGAGGCTTCTTGGACTGAGCCACCTTTGACGTCGGGCGGAGATTTTTCGTTTGCGGCTTGGACATTGTCGACGTTTGTCCTTTCGGTTCGGTGCTTAAGTCTTTTTGCGATATGTCGGCCAGAGAATCGAGATCGTAGGCGTATCGATTTGCGTCTGTATGAGGTGAGGTCGGTAAATTTGGTCTTTCTTGCAAGCTCGTAGTGGGTTTCAGGTGTTTAGTTTGTAAGTGGTGATGCTGGAGGGGAAAGAAAGGATCAAGTGGTTTTTTATCCTGTTGCAGTGGAACAATTGGATGGACGATTTAGACGGCGCAATAGAATAGTCACGAGCACGATTTAGATTCGATATTTCAATGGCTGGATTCCATCAGCTACATCTTGGAGGTGAGACCATTTGAAGATGGTGACTGGATCATGACTGGATTATGAGTCCGGATTCAACGAGACACTGCAATGGATGGTTACAAAGAGCTTCACCGGTGAAAGTCTCTGATTCTGCATGCCTACTGCCATAGGAATCCTCAGTCAGATATGCAGTATTGGTGGGCGATCTGTGTAGTTCAAGTTGGGTACCCGCTAAATTGCAGGTTTTGTTGCTGACCCGCCACAGTGAGTACCTCCTTAGCGTGTGGTTCTTAGTGGAATAGGGGAGGATCGAAAGCTTTATCCCCAAGACCAGCAAAGCTACAAACAAATGATCAACGATAGCAATAGCGACGTCAAGTATCAAACAGCGGACTGAAGCTGACTTCCACGGCTCTCATTAGAGTGGGGTCACGTATGAGCACGCGTCAGGTGTGTCTTCGGAGATTTCCTCATCATCACCTCTTCGCTGACCACCTGGGACAGACAAAGCAGACAGTGCTCTTCAACGAAGCAGAAGCACTCGACTTCACAGTCACCATGGACGAGGAACTCACGGTTAGAGCACCGAGCGCAAATGCCGGGAGCCCTCACCCCCAGGGCTCTCGCTGTACACGGGTGGATCCCGGAACCACGACTCACGAGTTAAAGGCGAACGAATGGGCCAAGCTAGCAGCCAGCGACCCCACCAATCGCGGACTGAAGGGCCCCCGCTACCTGAACCAGTACGGCACCCGATCACTGCCATGGTACCACCCCCATCACTCGCATACCTGAGGCACGGAATCAGGAAATCCAAGTTGCAAAACCCCAAGGCATTGGCTGACCCCTGAGTCACCAAGATGTATCGGTAACACCATAGACCTTGCTAGAGACCCGACCAGATCCCAGCCATGGGCCATTGCCCCCAAGCACCCGGCCTCAAGATTCGACCAGCTGAAGACACAACACCGTCCTCCGAAGCCTGGAGGTGCGGCAAAGGGACGCACTGACGACCGCTTCGGATGGTGCAACTGCATGATTCTAGCCCAGGAGACTTGGAAGACCCGACACCACTTGGCAGAGACTGTGGGCAGATCTTCCGACAGAGCCAGGGCGGGGTAAGGCGTGCTTCAAGATCCGAGGCTTTTTCGCAGACGAGCGGTGCAATCAGGCCATCCTAGATTTTCTCTCCTCCAGTGCTGTGAGCAGACAGATCCTAGAGGCCGCTGAGGAAGATGCAGTAAGAGAAGTGACGGGGTGGGAGCTCAGGGAGCGGAGAGAGTGAGAGGCGGAGGTGAAGCAAGAGTGGGATGAGGAGGGTGCTTAGGTCAGGTAGCCGGGGTCACTCGCTGTTCCTCCCGGGTTCCCGGACCTTCGTTCATGATCATTGGTGGGATCCCCTGATGATGAGGCATGAGGGAAGGTGGAGTAGGGAGACTCCTGGGCGAGAAAGAGGAAGGTGGTGCGCTTACTATCACTTCCCTGATGTGCTCCATCTTCATTCCTAGGAGAGGCGGGCGAAGGGTAGGGGAAGCGACACCGAGCCGCTCGACGAAAGTCGTGTTTTAGACTGGGGCGTGAAAACGGAGGATATTGGTGGACAATGCCATGATCTAGATAGCTCGCATGCAATCAATGCGGAAAAGAAAAGCCTATTCGTTGATGGCCGCTGAGATTTGCCTGCTCGAAGAAACAAATTTTTATACCTTCTTCCTAGATTCCCACCATATCTCCGAAACAGAAGAAAAAGCCATGCCGCGAAACGTAATCCTAAGAAACAGTAACAAATAGCAGCGAAAAGACACGAACATGCAACGAGAAACAGATGTGTAGTTGGTGAAGCAGAGCGAACATTGATCGTCTCAAGCGTATAGACCGAAGGACGATTGGGAAGCAAAACAAACGAAAGGACAGGTAGGGGGCGCTCGAAAAGCAGACAATCAAGCGGGTTAAAACCAGAAGATCGAGCCGACAGCGCTGTAGCGCTGTGGGAAGGTGGAAGCATTGGTGAGAAAACCCCTACGGAATTTGTGTCAGATACGATGAATGCGGTGCCGTAGAAGTAGACAGGGAAACATACGTATGGTGCGTGATGTCAAGTGGTGTCAGTGCTGACGCCAGGAAGTAGAAGCTAAAAGATCGAAAACACAACGCTGTGTGAAATTGGAAGCGATGGCGAGGAAAAAAACCCTACGGAATCGGTATCAGAAACAATGTAGGCGAGCCGTAGGAGTAGTGGGGAAACGTACGTATCATGTGTAATGGCTAATGGGGTCAATGTTAGCTTCACAAAGTAGAAGCCGTTGCGAGGGAGGGCGTCGAGCGAAGGGAGTCGGAGCTCGTAGTTACATTCCACCACGCTGCGTTGTGAGATACGGGAGGAATCATCCGGGAGTCCGCTGATGGCTCTGGGTGTCCCTCATTTCCAGTAATGGTAACCTGTTCTACCAAAGGTATGTCGGAAACAGCCGCGGATGACCCCGAAACTGCGAGCGTAGTGACGGAAGCTGTCATGGAAATACTCTCTGCAGCACCGGCAAGGGCAGAACCCCCCGCCTCTACATCAATCTCGTCTAGAGCCTTGCGGTAACGCCCGGCGGCCCATTTACCCCATCCATAAGCGGCCATTACAAGCAACACCAGCGGGGGTCCGGCGATCAAGAGGGCGTTCTTCAACATCATGTTGATGGTGTCTGCGGGACCGTGGTGACGAGCTCGAGAAGCTGTACTGTTATGTAGAGGCCTGCCACGTTCGTTAGGATTTTCAAAACCAGCGCAATAAAATCCATTTACTACGCGCGGGTGCGCGTGCGCGGAAAACTGACTGGTTGAAGGTGAACTGGTGCGTGGCGGGAGATCGTCAACGGTTGAACGAATGTCAGTACACCCTGCAAACAATGTAAGCGTTTGAACCAGAATGACCGCACAAAGACCTGCGATGATGAAGCGATTATGGTGGTATTTTGTGCAGGCGCTGGAACGACTCTTCGGAATTGAGTGCGACGGTGAACTTGAGTGATACCTAAGATGCGAAAGCGGAGACACTGTGGTCGTTGTTCAACTTTGCGATGTTGCCGGCGGAGTGGGTTCGGGTTTTGTAGATGTGTGTGTGCTCAAATGCTCAGTAAAACGGCGTACTGATCATTAGCTACTATGAAGTAGCTCCTAACACGGGTTGTATCTTCTGTGTATGGAGACGCCAGCGAAGAGAGGCGACGGAGCGAGGATTCAGGTGCGGGCTGGTGCTGTTGATGGGAGTGTGGTAGTAGTTGATGGGATTGTGGCGGCCGAAGATGGGAGTATGGTGGCACAAGATGGGAGTGCGGTGGCACAAGATGGCAGTGTGGTGGCAGAAGATAAGAGTGTGGTGGCAGAAGATGGGTATGGTCCTGTCGGAAAGTAGAAACGGTCTGGCATGGCACCAATATAATGGTAGCAGAGCACAACACCCCAGGTAACCGCTAAAGATACCTCAACACCGTCCAGCAGAATAGAGGCAACTCCGAAGAAGATGATCAATTTCACTAATCAAGCTACACTATGGCACGACTTTACCGGCCCAGTAATCTATCGCCGACTGACGGCTTTCTTCATTTCCGAATGGTTTCAATACCAGGTATAGCTACATAGGTTCGCCAGCATGGCCGTCGTAAATAATGGAGAAGCAAATGAAATTCAATCAATCCACACCATAGCTCTGTAAAACAAATACAATCTATGGAGCCACTGCACTGGTCCCACAAACCCAGCCATTGGCACCAGATGGAATCTTTATACAAGACACCAGCCCTCAAAAAGAGCATGAACAACAAGGCCCGTAGCGTCCTTCTGGCCGTTATCTGGCGGCTGGTCTATCCATTTCGTTTCCTCCTGATATCCGCCAATCTCGGACTGTCCACTTCCCGCTATTATGGTTTGCGTCTGCCGGTGTACCGTATTCCCAAGGCTTCGGCGGCAGAAGTGCAGCCGCTTTGTTAGAGTCGGTACTGCCAGGGACGATGCTGACTAGGCGCTCATTCTCCACGAAAGAGTATTGCTGTGTTTCCCACAGTGGCGGGGTTATGTACATAAGATATTGCGTCGCCACGGGGCTTCGAGTGTTGCAAGTAACTGTCATTGTGTTCTGCCTAAACTTGCGAGTCGGAGTCCGATGAGACCGTAAGTGCCAGACTAGATAGCAAACGGCAACCCAACGACCTACAGTTTATACAGCTCTTTTGCGACCGTGAGGCTGTATAGCCACTTGCAGACGCTTCCTTTAGTCAGACAAAGGATCCGCAGTGTGGCTGTGTGAGGGCCCCAGCGGGGTGCCGTATCAGCAGTCGCGTTTGGCGCAGTAGGGGGAAGAGGGAGAATCAGGCCAGAACCTCTAACAATTAGCCGGTTGAAATGGCCACACTGGTTTAAACAGTTCTGTTCTGGTTCATTTTGTTCCCAGTTCAGTTGGGAACAGAGGCTGTTATTTCCCAGTTGGTTTAGATAAGTCTGGCAGTTGTTCACGGGAAAGCTGGCAGTACTGTCAGTTCAGCGAATGAACTGCCAGTTCAGGTAGGGCCTGGCTAGGGCAGCCAAAGTGGGTGAAAGAAATTCTAATAGGCACGGAATGAGCGATAGAAGATGGGCACAGTACTACTAGTTTATAATTACTACTCTGATGCTACCTACCCATGGGAGTACGGCGATTGAACCCCTTGATACTCTCCAGAGCTCCAGCGCACTCGGTACTTAGGGAATGCCGATGATCAGTAAGAATTATCTTGCACTCGGAAAACGCCCGTTAAACCCAAGAAGACAGGGCTAGGATTGCCCGGCTCAATCTCTATCGTCGGCGGGGTCCACTTATTCCAATCAGTGGCATTTGAAGAATTCGTCAACCCAGAATATCTCATTATTCTATTTGCTAGAATATCTCATTATTCTACTTGCTAGAATATCTCATTATTCTACTTGCTAGAATATGCCATTATTCTCCGTTCTTCTTCCCCCTTCTCCCATCATAGGTAGAGTGTATGGGTTAACAAAGGTATGAAATGTTCGTGGCACATATTTCTGGCTGACTGCTTCGTAATATTGGCGCGTGAAGAGGACACTGGAGCCCGATAAACGGTGGACACAGTGTGGATGATGAACCAGATCATCTGTCTGGCAAAACACCAACACAGGACCCAGGTCCCATTGACAGTCATCTACCAGATCAACTGGCGGAAATAGGGCTGGGTATATACCCAAAGCCAAGGATCTAATCAGAGTCAATCCGCGACAAAGTCAGGTCGTGTTAACATCAAAGGTGGTAGCCCGTTATCGCAGGCGCAGCGCCGAAGGCGTCCACGTTCCAGATGTCGCCAAAGGGACTATAGTAACCCGAAGAATATCAGCACATGCGGTCAAAAACATTGTCAGGCAAGCAGAGACAACGTAAAGGAACTCACCATAAAATTCCCCTTTCAGAATCGGCCAAAAGAAAAGTTCCTCGTGTTGCGGAAGATAGTACCATTAGTGACCATCTCGCCGTTGGGAAGTTTGATATTGTTGTCCTCGACCAGGACACGGTAACCCTCGGCGGACAGCTTGGTATCGGCGAAGCTCAAGATGGTTTTTCTCGCCTTCGCCAGATGCACACACCATAGCCCTTTGCGGCCGCCTCCGCGTCTTCAAGCTTCACTCTGGCGGCGATCCAGTGTGCAACAGTCACAACCATCTCACGACGGTTGGTGTTGCTCCTGAAGGCGACGCTATGGATTCGAGCATAGTCCCGAAACCCCGCACCCCCGCACCCCCTGCACCACGATGGTCGTGAGGTTGGGCCCAGCTGGCCCATCCTCATCGCCGCCGCAGTGGTGTCAGGCCAGACCAGATCAACTGGCCGGCCAGACACCAAAGGCAGGACCTAGGTCCTTCTGGCGGACATTGACCAGATCAACAGGCAAACATCCCGCGGAGATAGGCTCCAGGTCCTGCTGACGGCCGCCTACCAGATCAACTGGTAGGCATCACCTTTGGTGTTGCCACTAAAGGTGGGGAGGCGTCCACTTCCCAGTTTCCCCGAAGGGACTAGAAAAACCCGACAAATGTCAGCACATGAAGTCAAAGACATCGTCAGACAAACGGAGACGACGTAGAGAAACTCACCATAAAATTCCCATCTCAGAATCAGCCGGCGACGGCCGGCCGGATTCTTCATAATGGAAGCGTAGTGTCGCCACCGCATTCGATTCCTGTGTGCATGGCGACGTGGAATCTTCCGTCTCCCCGTCCAGATTGAATTGGTCCACGGCGTGCTGAATCTGCTGTGCGTAGACTGGCACACTTCCCGCAACCCATAGGCGTACTCTGTGGAGCTCGCCACCGTCTCATATTAGCGCGCTCCGGGCGGCGCCACGTAGTTATCAGCGGGAACTAGTCCGATATTGATCGGGTGGAAGGATGATTGTGTAAATCGGGCCGATTAGGTTGAGTTGCAAAAAGCGCCGTTGGGAATTGAATCGTTCGGCGGCGCGGGAGGGTGAAGTTGCATGGCAGGTGATGGTGGTGATGCTAATCAGGCGGGATCCGTATTTACATCTTTGCGGAAGGGATGCAGGTGTTGAGCGTATTACATACCGAACGGGTGAGAGGTAGCGATTGAATTGAAGGCGCTGAGCTTCACGCTCTGCACACCAGAAGCGGACCAACCGCAGTTCTGAAGGTGGTCGAATTGTCGGTCGAATAGATTCGGCCCGCCCTCCTTGGGCACCTAAGTGCCTTGTTGAGCTCCGAAATATCGAGCTCAATTGCCGGGTCTTGGTGCCTACACGGCACCAGCCGCATTCGTCAGGCTGCTACTGATGCTGGGGATTGAGAAAGTAGGGAGAGTCAAAAGGTTCTCCTTGTGCACCAAAGTGCTGTATTGAGCTCCGAATAGATGAGCTAAACTACCGCGTTTGGACGCCGGCAGCGGACCAGCCGCAGGTGACTGTCCGGGTTCTGAAGTTCGAGGAGGTGTGAATAGGGATAGATGTGGCAGTCGAGAAGTGAAGGTAAGGGGGGTGATAGTGGGGGCCGGGGCAAGCCCGGCATCTCTGGCAAGAACCGATTAAACTTGGTCGTTACTGCGTTGTAGAACTCGTGGGTGTTGTCGTTGGAAGCGGACCAGCCGAATGTCTCGGAGCGGTAGTCGTCGTGATGGTAGTTGTGATAGTGGAGGAGGTAATAGTAGCATAAATAATGGTGGAAGAAGTGTGAGTGAAGAAAGGAAGCGGGAGAGGTGGTGGTGGGACGGAGGGGGCTTTTGTTGGGGATTTTGGGGGCTGTGGGTGCCTTGATTGTGGGACTGTGACGGTGCGACTTTTGAATGAGGCTAGGGCTCGTGGATGATAATCGGTACGCCGTCCGCCTCTCACTACATATGACGCCGTATCGTCTTTCGAATTCTCTAGTCTATGGTAGATGGACAGCGGATGTCAGCACTGCCAAACCTTAGTGATTGGTTTCCTCGCACAAACCGGAAGTGAAGACGATCCAGGTTTCTTCCTGTGGAGTGGTTAGATATCTGCTAAAGATTTGCCTTTGCGGTCTCCGCTGAAATCGTGACGCCCTTGGTCTAGTGTGTTGAAATGTCCGTGGAATCCAAAGAGGCCATGCAATGCAACAAACGACTTTCCCCCAGAGAACCGCTTAGATACAGAAACTGCCACTCACCTCACAGTTTGTCAGTAAGTCTTCGCAGAATGTGTCTTCCTCTCAAGACAGGTGATGAGAACCATTTCCAATATCCGTGTTTGTACAAGCGCAGTGTTGATGAAAGATAGTGCTATCGTCAGTTCTGAAGATCTCTGAAGAACCAATGATGCGGCTAACGTGTCGCATGATCTACCCCGAGTAGACACTAGAGCTGCATTCACTCACTTGAAGAGATGTCACGACCGCGTTTTCGTCGGCGGGTTGAGCCTCGTGGCCGATAGGAGCAAAAGAGGCGGAACGCAATTTTGGGGTTTGAAGTGGCGGCGTCGCTCTAGGTGCTCGTGATAAAGTTGATAGGTGAAGCGGAGGAGAACGGCTGCTAGTTTTCTCTTCGGTGTTGAGACGGGTAGAAAAACGTATGAACAGAGGAATTGCGGGTACAGTGCGATCTGAATTATGGAGGTAATAGTACCGTTGAATAGAAGCGATGCAGGCTGTAGGACGATCCCCGTCATTCGTACGACAGCAAGGACAAGCAAACGAGTGCGACAGGGAGAGGCATTCACGCGTGGTGGCAGGCTGATATGAATCACTTCCCATCTGGCTCACGATACGACGACCCAGAATCTCAAAAGCGAGTAAATTATATTGAGTGGACTGCGCACGGTTGTGTTCCTTCTAGGACATTCAGAATTCATCAATTCGCACCACCAATTACCCGCTACTTAGGCTCATAGAAGATCTCTGAACATGGACGGCCTTGTAAATGACTCGGGATTTTTTTATGCCAATACATAACCGTCACCACCATCCATGACTTCATCGTGTGCAGCTGTTTCCCCTTCTGTATTGTAACATTACCTATTTCGCTAGAACTCTACAGGGGACAATAGGTTCCCCACCCTACCTTCAACAGCCCTACAGCGTAATCGAACGGCTAAGGGCTCGCTTGCATTCCTAATCGACTGGGGTCATCCTGGATAGCCCTACGACTTTACCGATGGGCGTAGGGTTCGCCTGCAACCCGAATCGGCTGTGTGAATTCCGGACAGATCGTGTCCTGAATCACCAATCACTTCGAGGTGTTCAATCATGGAGCAGCCGGCGTCGCATGCATTCTGTGAGATAAACTGGCGATACCCCAAAATTATTCGGATGATGGTGGTAGGAGTAGTCAAAGAAAAGCCAACAACATACTCGTTCTATAGATCGAGCCTGAATTACTAGTCTGCAGTCGCGGCTCTTCGTCAGGAAGCAGTGTGATATTAAAAAACAAGAACTGTCCTCAGTAGAATAAGAAACACCAACAGAAACAATACCGGGTAGGTCAGCGGCAAGTCGGAAACCATAGTCCGGAAGCCCCACGGAAACCAAGAAGAATAGAACCGACAATGCTGGAACTCATGCGACTCGGGTTGTCCTGGTGATCGAGCAAGAGAGCCTACTCGATTACTACTATCCAGCATCCCCGACGCACGCGAACTGGGCATTACTAGTCGGGGGAATGTCCGCTCGAACGACATTGGAATATGGAACGATTAATGAATCGATGGGAAGGTATAATAGATTTTGCTACTAATGGTAGTAGAGCCTGAAGAAGGCGATCATTTGACATCAGAGTGGACCTTTTCCTTCGATTAGAGAAGCATTACGTGTGATTTTCAAATATTACAAAGTCGGGGCCCTCAATTCATAAAGCCTCACATGTACCCCCCGATTTAAAAGATCCAGGGTTCACCGTCATCAGAAGAGATATCCTCCTCACCAGAAAAGTCAACCTCGTAATAGCTATCCCGAATCCTATCAACCCAAGCCATTTCATCTTCCTCGTCGTTGACGACGTTTTCCTCCTCCTCCGGAACAGCGTCTGGTCCGACCAAAACTCCAAGTCTCTGAGGGACGCCCTGTTGGTTGAACCAGGTACGTACACGATCCGGCGCATCGTTAACGGTGTATCGCATCGTGACTATGGTTTTGTCAGAGAACACCTGGGCTAAGGGTAGTGTGAACCAACCATCGGGAGAGATGGGGGCCAGAGGGACGTTGATACGGACACGCTGGTAGCCGCCCACGTTTCTGGCTGCCAGAAAGCGGCGGGCTCGGTCGATAACGAAGGTGTAGAGGCTACTACCGAGAAAAGCCATCACGATCGAGGCAACGAATCCGACCTTGAGGACGAACTGAAGGGCCGCGATAACCGAGGAGGCGAACCTGCGAACGACATGATAGAGCTGAAGCATCTATGTACATCACGGTTAGCATTCCTTCGTTAGAGCGAAGCTGAAGTTTGAATACTATTCTGTTGGAAACAAATGTGAGATCTGTGAAGGCGATATGGGTGGCTTCTATTACAGAGTTAGCTGTTGAGGGTAGAGGCGAGGAGTGAGGTTTGCATACCGATTGAAGCCGTCGGAGGATGTGAAAGATGGGCTGTCGGTATTGTCGTAGTTGATTCAGGATGTGGTAGGTAAGCTGTGGAAGTTGTCGTAGTTGATGGAGGATGTCGTAGGTGGGCTTTGGGTGTTCTTATAGTAGACAGAGGATGGTTTGGCCGATCGGATTGTGTCACCTGCGTCTGAATGTGGAGCCTTGCAGTCAACGCCGTTTGAACGTCAGAAACCCCCATTTCATCCATCCCGCTGCGTTTCCAAGCGTCCTCATGCAGTGTTCGACATGGTCCAGTCCGTCTGTCCTGAACCTCGAAATGGAGTGTAGCTTGGTAGTCCCTACAGGGGGGTCAGTGTTCGGACGGCCTACTCCGAAGAGAAACAATCGAGAGCAGGACGGACTCCTGCAGTCGACTGTAGTCAAAGACCGATAGTAAATGAAGAATAATCTCACGTGTCAACTGCTACATCCGCTCCCTAGTCACGGCAGAGGTAGAGAAGCAAACACTCAAAGCTGCTGAACAGCATTGCGTAGTGAGACCCAGTCTCATCATTGTTTGAATGACGACCATGACCGTCACTACCGGAACTACTCAAGGAGGGAGCTTTCAGCACCCTACTGCATGAGGAACCGACCCGCAAAAAGTGCCACCCTCGCCTTCTTGTAACTACTCCGACTATAGATCCCGATTCTTCTAATTGACCAGGCATCGACACAGCATGACTACCTATTCCCCTGTCTCTTCATCACCACCACCCTCTTTCTGAAACCCATTCCCATCGGAGATGCAGTAGTATTCCTCTTAGTAGCTGCCCACGGCTCCCCAATCGTCACCATCCTCCTCGCCATCTTCATACCGCTCAGTGACTTCGCTCTTTATGCTCTTCCGACTAGTACAATCACGGAAGCAACTCGAGCTCTCCGAGCGTTTTTAAATCGTTTATCTATACCATTCTGGTAAGCAATGTAATACACCTTTCACACTCATGGGAGGGCTGTCAAACGTTCCTGCGAGGCAAGGCCAGCATCTCGTAGAGTATGAATCCAATCCCATGGGCAGGGTAGAAGTGCAACATAGAGGGGTTCTTACTGATGTTCCCCCCGTTCTGACAGTAAGGTGAACCAACCGGCTCAAACGATCTCGCCGATGGATCCGAAGACCTCACGGATGAGAATGGCGCCGTCGATGAACGAAACGAATACCGATATCAGCATCGCGTAAAGAACCAGGCGGAGACTCGGAGGGTGAGCACCGGCGGCGTTTTCGAAAACACTGCTAGCTTGTGTTTCCCTCGGAAGGAGCCGAAAAATCCGTATTTGTCGGTGTGGAATGGCGCCGGCCCTCTGCGCCCGGGTCATGGAAAACAATGAGAGGGGAATGGTGTGTGTTGGTGGAGTGGTTGGCTGCGTATGTGGGCCGACCACAGCAGAGACGCATCCGGCTATGTACCTATCCCAGGCATTGTTAGCTCTCAACTACGTGCTTTCAAAGGACTACTAGGAGAGTGCCTACGCAAATCCCCATCCCAGCCCTCCAATCGCAACACATCGACTCCTCAATTCAACACCGCGACTCCTCCATGCTAACAACTTCACCTGTCTATAACGCTTTTACTCTCAAGCCCGCTGTCATAGAAGAATCCTACCATTCGCTGAGTTACTTCAGTATTCGGATCCCCACGCCAAATCGGTCGAAAAATCCTTCTGTCGATTACGCTACGCTCGCTGCCCCTTCGGATTACGACCGATTATCGCTTCACTTGAGCTCAGGATATGCTTGATGGGGTTTCATTTCTCATTCAGCTCAGCAGGGAGGTGCCAGCTACGGTGAGCTGTTTGAAACCTGGATGAAGGAGGTAGACCGTAGCTTCCGCCAAGCTACCTGGATTTCAGTCGCCGCCGTCGCCCGCCGGTTTATTTTTGGGACTGTGTATTGCGTTGAGTATATCTCTCCAGTTGGCGAGTTTGTGTTTCAACTGCTCATTGCTAGCCGCGAAGCTGAGCACTGCTCCGTTGACCTACGTTTGGTACCTACGTTTCGTCGGGAAGGAATGAGCTCTTCGCACAACGGCAGACCTCAGTCGGAGCCCGACAGTCTACCCGCCGGTATCAGTCTGTCCGATCGCAGTCTAGAACAGTATACTCTAGTATTCACGTCTGAACCTTTCCTGCTTCCCCGGGTACGGTATGGGTTTTCTGCTGGTACGTGAACCGGGAAATTGGGCAGTGGATTCGAATTAAAGCTGACGTATGCACAGCTCAGGACCACACGAGGCGGATAGACCAATGTCTTCTAGAGAAGACGACGAGCCATATATCTACGGGGTTATACACTTGAAGTCAACCTGCATGTGCGGGGAACAGGGGTACGTTCTCACCATAGAGACATGCAGAAACGTCTACCTTTTTCTGCAGCCATGCTAACCGCCGTCCAGTTATGATATCCAATTAATATCCGGTTATTATAATCAAAGAAGGAGCTGGGACTATCTGAGCTACGTCGGTAGCCCTCGCCGGCAAGTTTTATTCGCGGTGTTTGACGGCATCAGCGAGTGACATCGTGTGCACAAATGCAATATGTGGCATGTGCTCTCGGAAGATCCACAGACGGGTCGGAAAGTGCATTCGGTCTTCTACATCAGCTCAGACGTGGGATCACTGCGAGTGTTGTCTTTCAAGGGACCACAATCGACAGTCATAGGAGCCTGCCGTCACCGCCCCGGGGTAAAAGGGGATCGAACCGGGAGCTTCGGTTGTGGCCCCTGGCCAGTGGAAGATGCAGGTATAGGATATGACGGCGTTAGAGCTGTACGGTGCTTGCAGCACAAGGGTCGCTCAAGCAGATGGCTCGGTACATGATGGCTTCTTTAAAGCAGGTCAAAAAGGGCGGCTACATTCCGCCGGCTCCACCTTCTTCGTTAGTTCCTATTTCGCAACCAGATACAATACTGGGGAAAACTGGATACAACCTGAAACCTCAGCAGGATCCCCCAACGATATATCACCAAGTCGAAAACATCAATCCACCAGTGTTCTACATAGACCAGTCCAGACAAAATTTGGGTATGGTCGGGTCGGTCGGGATATATCCCGACCAAAAGAAACTCTGGCCTGGTCGGTCGGGCTATATCCCGAACATAAACTTTCAGGTCGGGTCGGGATAGGTCGGGCTAAGAAACAACATTTGAAGCCGGAAATGCTCTAAAAAACGCTAGAAACTAAGGAATGTTTTGCGGCTGATAGAATTAGCAGTTAACCTGACGTCGGCCGACATGGGCCGACCGGTCTTGTCTATGTAGAACACTGCAATCCACCACGCCGTTACGCCGCACGATATTCCCCCAGTCCTCGCAGTACGCACACGCCAAGCGCTTCATCGTATACCACAGGCCCAACTGTTTCTCTACAGGACTCGACGTCTTCGATTTTTGGACTACTTTAACCAGGAGCAAGACAATGATTCGACTGTGCATTGATCGATGGCTGTAGCTTTATGGGAGTATCAGCATACACGGCAAACGGCTATAATTCCATGATTCTTTTTCGACGTTTCAAACCCACCTCTCAAACAATGGTCTACCCGAGAGTCGAGGAGCATTAGCCATTCGCGCAGACGGCTGCACGGAGTTCTTCCGGGCACGGTTAATTTGCGCATCGGATACAAAACCCTCTTGCGATACGCCCTAGACAATGGCAAAAACAAATTTGTTCATATGGATCGATGAGAACCTGAAAGATGTATGGCGGCTACCCTACCCCTCACGGTGAATTGCCTCCATAAATTGATGATGCTAACGGTTTTTACTTGATCTAGCAAATCGAATTCGTCATCTGAACCGGAGATGCGGTGAGACACCCCATCGATATCAGGATCTCTCGTACCTCGGCGGAGATCTCCGACCTCAGCGAGAGGACGGTTACGACACGCCATCGGAGCCCGGGTACGTCCAAATGGAATGGTGGAAAGTACAGCTCAACTACATGAGGCAAAGGGGGATGAAGGCCATCATTATTATCCATGTGCCGCCTGTATCGACCGACGCCAAGATGAACGCCTGGGACGAATGGTGAATTTCACTATTCTACACTATGAGACGGGGGACGCTTACTGTTTCCGAGTTGCTGGAGGAAGTACGTTCTTTGGGCCCGGCGATGCCGGGATTTCATCCTCGCACACTTACTTGTACGGACACACGAAACTCGATTCGCGACCACTGTATGTTACTCAACAGCGATACCCTGAAGCCGCCACATCTCCGATATAGGAGGGGGAAGGGGAAAGAAAAGGGAAAGGCAGCCGAAACGAGATAGGAGGAAAGGATAAGGGGAAAGAGAAGGGCCGGAAATCAAGCGCTTCGGCGGCAGCCGAAGTCTGTCCGACGGTCAAAGAATCCAATCTCGAAGACTACCCGAACCTTTCAACGTCGTTCTCAAAGCCTAAGGCAATCATTGAAGCAGTGCAGCTCGTATGGGGAATACGCGCTGCGCAAGGCAGTGGACCTACTACCTGGTGACTGGACTGTTAACTAGGTAGTCATCATTTACGAATCACAAGCGGAAGTTAGCTATCAAATAGTTCGCCGTGTTGAGCATCATCCTCTGGGAGGGAGTAGGGGAGGACCGCGCGAAGCAGTATCGGCAGCTACTTGATATCACCTGTCGATTGAGGGCTGCAGATCCGAGCACCGCCTGTACGTTTGTACGTGACCCTGTGGCCAAGCGATTCCAACGAATTTTCATCTGACCTTTCACGTGTTCCCTAGCTTTCGGCATTTGCGTGGGGTTATCGCAGTCGATCGCACATTCATGAAGGGGAGAATAGAGAGAGGTCTTATTAGGCACCTGTCAACCATCCGGCGGTGACCTACCGGTACCCAAAGAAATACAATCGAAAAAACTGTGGCATTTTAGACTACAGAGCCGAAAACTATAGCATTTCAGACTTTTGCCGTTCAATATATGATACGTTCTCTACGTTTCTCTATGAACACGCGACTGGATAGATGATAGCTGCAGAATGGATTGATATGCAGGTCGTTGACCTCAAAGTCTACAAAATGCCGACACCGCGCCCACGAAATCAAGCAACATTCTGTGCTTCCGTCCCAGGGTGATCCCACCGCGAACCCATTCATAGCCCTAAAGGTCGTCAGAAGCGTGTTCAGCGCAACACTCTGCTATGCCACGGTTCCATCTCGAGGGAACGGCGGAAGATCCTCCGGGATTCGCCGAAACACGTGACATGGGCGGGTGACATCCTATGGAGCGCGGCTGGTCCTGCTCACAGCAGTTTATCACTCAAATAGTTGGGGCGTGTATGATATGTATGAGATTCAGCCTATGTAGTTACGTCGCAGAAGAAAGATTACCCATGTTGTCACGGCGTCACGCCTTCGGTAGTGTCTTCATCTATGGTACAGAGGGAGCTGCCGCCTAACGGGCCCACGTCTCATTACCCACGCCAACTTACGGGGGTGGTGAGCACAAACTCCCTAGGCCGCATTCTAGACGCGATTTACGGCCGAGTTGAGGTGCAAAAAAAAAAAAAAAGCAAACTCCGCACGGCGCACACCCTGCATATTCGGAATTGTTGGCGGCTGACCTCTATGTATTCGGCTCTGGCGGGAAATTTACAGGGCCATTTTGGAACCGATGGCCGAGCTACATAAACCAGGACGCATGGACAGCTATGACGCTCCAGACTCCAGTCGCGGTCTTGAACACCCCCGAAACTCCGATAACTCGGAGCTCTGGCATCTACTCTACATATAGCACTCATGAGTGATGAGGCACGATTCATATTTGCACTTTCACCCGATGCTTGGCCGCTCCTCTCAAACTACACATCATGTACGGTGTACCCAGTGGCACCGGCAAAGTACAAGCGCTTCAAACGTCATGCAGTGCAGAACTTTGGCGTTCCGAAACAACGAAAGGAGAACATTCAGGTAACGTCGTATAAGTAGTATTGAAATTTTCGGCATCCGCAAGTCTAACGTAGCAATATAAAATCAGAGAAAGAGGAATCCGTACATGCTGATGATCCTGTAAATTAAAAAAGCAAGGAGCAAACACCGCGTTCCAGCCCAAAAGAAATCATGAAAGCCAGAGAGACAGAACAGGTATAACCCATTATAAATTAAGTGTGAAGCGTGAAGTAAGTAGCCGGGTCTCTACGCAACGCTCCCCGATGTAGTGCAGTCGGCGATGCACGT